TTCTCCACCAAATCCAACGTCTGCCCATACGTCCTCACAGTTTCATCAAACTAACAGCAAGCGGATAAACCCTCTTTGCATCCTTCGCCATATTCGTAATCGCATGCAGAACCTGGAAGCCCGCCCAAAGCAAATTCCTGACCTCCTTAAAGAGGGTAATAATCTGCGGATCGATATTAACCGCCAACTGGAACCCCCCTCGGCTCAAACGGACAATCTCGAATAAACGCCCGCCAACGCCCATGTCTCAACGGTTGATGTCGTGCAGCCATGCATCGAATACGGGTCGGGTGTCTAGTTTTTTGCGGAATGCTGAGGATTCAGATTGGAGTTTTTGACCTTCTGCATAGAGCTCCCAGCCTTTACCGAGGACGTCTTCGACGCCTTTCATATATGTAAGGAGTTGTGGTTCAATTTGGCGGGCCCAGATGATGACTCCTGCTATTGGGGGTAGGTCGCGCATTTGAGCCATGTGGTAGGCTTCGGAGAAGCGGTACTGAGTTTTGAACTAGTAGTCAAGTAGGGTCAGTAATTGGAGGTGGATGGGAAAGAGGGAGGAGGGTAACCTTGTCGTGCAAGTGCTTAATGTCCTCCTTTACTGAATCAATAAGTTGTGTCTGGTACTCCTGTATCGCACCACGAATCTACACGAGTATCGTTCAGCAGAAAGATCGCAATAGGCGAAGAAAGCATGTACTTTTGGCCTAACGAAAAGTGCATCAAACTTCGAGAAAACCCTAAACATCTCATTCGCATTGCGCGCCGTGCCAAGTCTATCCCTGAGCCTTGCAATAATCTGGTTCTCGACGCGAGACACACGCTTGTTGTACGCGTTTAGCCGTTACCCATATCTCGGTGCCTTCTGCGTAAAGTATCCACATCAGCCTCCAGGAAAGAGAGGGAGAAAAAGAAAGGTACTAACCAACACTAACGTCCAAAACATCAATCCGCTTGACAACCTCATAAGCCTCCTTAACCTCCTCCTCCATATCCATACCCCCTCCAACACCTCCTTCTCCTCCAAGGCCAACCCCCAACCCCCTCGTCGGGCCCGTCATAACAGCCAACTGCTCATGCTGCTTCCTCCGCTCCATCAAATACCCCACCCATTCGACAAGCTTCCCATGTGCCGGAACATCCTTTGTCGGAATAAACTTCTCACTCCTCTTCCTCGCTACCTCCCTCATGATGTTTGTGAACTCTTTTTTTAAAAGAGATCATCCCACGTCCTGAATATCCCCGTCGTCTGGCGAGGAGACGTTCAAGGTGGGATAGGGTGTGTATGCTAGCCGGTTGGATGTTAGGATCCAGAGGGTTAAAATCTCGTGAGATTGCTTCGACGGATTGGGTAGGGAAATAGCTTGAGTTTTCTGTGTAGGTGGGAGAAGATGGGCGTGAGTGATTCGTGCACTTTGTCGAGGTCTGTGGAGAAGAGAAGGTTGTTGAGCGAAAAGTCTTTCATTAGTTGGTGTACTTGTGCACTGTCCACATCGTTAGCCTTGAGTACAAAGAGAGAGGGAGAGACGCACCGAGATCCGTAGCATCCTTTAACCCGGTATCAGCAATAAAACTAACAGTGGCACCTCTTTGCATTCCTCAGTGCATCCATGACCATCCCCACCTCCTCGCTCCTCAGCTGCACCTCTATCCCCTCCAATGCCCTTTCGAGGCTCAACCAGAAGTTGATCTCTTGCGATGCCGTACCAGAGGAAACGTCTCTCGTGAGCTTGGTCACTGCTTGGATGGCTTTGATCCATGCGTTGACGTGCAGGTGGAGAGAGTTGAGAAATGTGCTGTCTGTGAGGAGCTTTGATGGGATGTGGGAAATGTTCGATCGTTGACCTTGCGATTGAGCCTTTGTTCAAGTCAGCGAGAATGGCATCGTCAGAGGGAGGGAAAAACCTACCAACTCAACAGCCCGTTGAATCACAGGATGAACAACCAAACTTGCCTCTGGAATCTCCACGTTTTGTTGTAAATGCAACAAACCCAACTCGAGCTCTGCAAACTTTTTCTTCGTCATCGGTATGCCCAACTTGCTTCTCCACCTCCACCCCCACCTCCTGCGTCTTTCCCTGCCCCTGGTCCCTACAAACACATTGAACCATGGCTTAACTCCGCAGCTTACCACGGCGTGTAAAGACTCATACGGCATCTGGTCACCATCAAAGAGATTGAGGAAGTGAAGCTGCGCAAAGAGCGGTACAAGTGGGTTGAGGTGTTCGTTTTATGAGCGGAAGTGTTGTGCGTGCGTTGGGTGGTAAGTGAGATGTGGGGCGAGGTGGTATGTGTATGTCAGTGTTCCTCCGTCATCTGCATGGTTTCTCTGTGAACATCTATTTACGCGAAGGTATGAATAAAACGACAAACCTTCTACCTCGTCCTTCACTTTAACGATATACACCACCCCCCAGACTCAGCTGCAAACCTAGCAACACGCTCATCGAACTCGTCATCGAGCAGTGAGTCCAACTCTGATGGCAAAGCACCAATGACAGGTGGTAAGAGGGCGAGCAAATACATCCTGAAAATGTCTGTATTGAAAGAGAGCGGTTATGTTTGTGATTCTGATTGTGGTGGGTCATGATGGTGCCCGTTCGTAGCGGTTACTGTGGTGTCCATGTCCGTATTTTCGTAAGCGGGACCATCGAAAGGAGGGGGTGATGCGAATTTCGCTTTTGATGTTCTCCACAGCGAAAACAGAGACCGTGAAAGCGAAAGAGACCATCTAGGTGGCGTCCTCCTATGACTTGTAAAATGATGCTGTACGCCCGTATCAGTCGTCATCGTCTCTTACGGACTATAATCTAAACACGCACATTATTGTATCAATCCCTTGCTCTCGCGAGCTGTCACCAAAACGCGTTGTTTCGCCCCAAAAAAAGGATGGTCGCGGTTAAGAGACCTTTGTATCGCTCTCAAACCTCCTTAGAGACGTGATTGGGGGAGAATTGAGGGCACTTTTGAGGAGATTAAGGAGATTTGGACGCCGGTCACTGTCATGAGAGGACGTGTGATGGATAACACCATAATTGTCACACCAGGGTATCCTCCTCTGTGTCTCTATTTATCTGTGCATTCAACAGTAAATCCAAATTGTCAGCGGTTGGTGTAGTATCCATGTCTGTATTTGCAAAAGTGGTGATGGTGGTACATAAGAGGAAAGGATGAGCAAGCAAAATAAATTAAGGTAGACTCGACATGTGTTACGTGTAAGCGCCCTGGTCGAGCTTGGCTTCCAAATATCCCATCTTCCGCTGCGTTTATGGTATGTTTCATACCTTGGATCTTGTCTTGCAGAGCAGCATTGATAGTTTGTGCCTGTCAACTGGTAAATGTGGACCACCATCCGAACAGCAAGTTCAAACTGTTTACCTTCTTCAGCTTGGGGGTATTGCTCTTTAGCTCCTTGTCGATATGTTTTAACTCTTCCCTCAAGCCACTAAGGTGAGACTTGCAAGCAGCCTTATCAAAAGATGGGGATGAGAAAATGGCAACCCACATTGAAAACAAATACAAAACACGTTGTCTCTAGCCAAAGTTATTGCCGATTCAAGACGAGAAACTTCCGAGACGAGGTTTTCGTCTGTCTTTGCGCAGGGCTTCTGCTTGCTGAGTTCAAGGTGCTGCGATTGCAAGTTGTCACAGACACGAATCAACCCTGACGAAACCGTTAAACTCAATAAGGAAGTACGAGGAACACAATGATAATGCTGACCTTGAACGTCATTTTCGTCCCATTTCTTGCTGTTATTGTGCGTACTTCATCCTCCAGTAATCAAACCACTCTTATGGATGATCGTGCCTTCCAAAGGACCAAAGCAACAGCTGTCGTTTACGCACAAAGATCAACTCGCTGAAATGGAGGTTGTTATCCGTCGAGGGCAAACGTACCTTTCACCTCCTGACCTTTGTCATAACACACATATCTTGCAACCTCCATGGTTTTGCAAACAAGAGCATTCCCACAAGCGTGATGAATAGCTCGCTCAATCGCAGGCTCGTACTGAACCACATCCACGGCTAAATAAGCACCCTTGGCAAAGGTGCGGAACTTGTCGTTGATAGGTTTCACTTGGATTGTGACCAGTGGTATAAATTATGCATGTACTACGCACCATTGTCAAGAAGCTTGAAATGACAATACAGGTGAATGAGAAACATATTTCAATGCAATCAATGGCTGTCTTCTCCTCGTCAAAGACAATGGCGTCAATATTGCGTCCAAGGACAACAGACACCGCTGCTTCGTACTTTCGTTTAATTGGTTTGCAAAGGTCGACGACCATCCCTCAACACCTATTAATTATAATACATTATTCGGCCTTCACTTTCTGGAGATCGTCTCCAAATCACTCACCTGGGAAGATCCGCTGCAGGCTAGCCAACGTCTTCTTGAGGCGAGCCTCACGTTCCGATTCGTGCTTGTCAATCCCGGACTGCAATAGCTGCTGGTAGACGTTCTGAAGCTTCTCGTCCACTTCTGCGTCCAATTTCCTATTCACTACGTTGGTGCGGATAAGGATATCTCGAGTGAAGTTGCCTATGCTATTTTCTCTCTCTCAGCCTGTTGATTATCTAGTTCTTGTCGGACACTCGTCAGGTTTGCCTGTAGTGACGAAATTTTCACGTCGAGCTATCAAGTTTGATGATCAGCACCACTCAGCCATTCAATCTTGACCTCAGTTTTTCGAGCAGTCTGCACTCGGAGATCCTCGCTTCGCAACTCCTTCTTCTCCTCGTAACCTTTTTGCTTTTCAGTGAGTCATGCAAGTGTTCTGCTCTAAGTCTTTTCTTCACGAAGAAGAGCTTCAAGGGTCTGTCGTTCATCAACGGCGAGTTTGCTTGACGATGATTTCCTAATTATCTATGTGAGTAAAACATCCAGCTGACATTAGGGATCAGCCTACAAAGCACGTCCAGGCTTTCCTCGGTTAGCGCTACGTTGTGCTGAAATGCTTTTCTCTGCTCCTCTGTTCAGTAAGATCAGCTGGACATTAGGAACGAAAGCGCAAACCTTGAGCCTTGTCGGCATCTCGACGCAGCCGATCAAACAAGTTCTCCTGCCGAGTCTTGAGGTCTTTGACGACCTCCTCCTTCAATTTCTCAGTGTTATTCATCTTCCATGTAGCATGCATAATATGAGCCTCGATCGTGACGAGTTCAGGTTTCTACAAGATGTCAGTGACAGAAATTGAATGATAGAGCCAATAGACTTTGCTAGCTAACGCTTTCTCGGCCTTTTTGATTCCCTTCTCCGTCTGCATGGCGACCGTCCTAGCTTTCACCTGCTCCGCTCGCGCCGTCTCTAAAGCGTTGTCATGGACTCTCTGCTTCTTTACCCAAACCCGTCATTCGCGTGTGGATTGACAACAAAGAGTCAATAGCTGAACATCGCAAAAGGGCTGGGGTTAGCAAATAGGTGATGCAAGGAGCTTGCACCCAGTTCTGCATGCCACGCGGGGGAGGTAGTTATGAGTAGTGTTGCCGATGGGGGTGGTTGAGCAGAGCCCCCCGCTGGCGATGCTGGCCTTGGCGGCGATGGAGTCGTTCGTCGATAAGTCTACTTAATTGTTGCCTAATTGAGCAAGTGTTCCATAGATCCGGGAATACTACCATACTTGGAAGTTCTTCACCTCGTGGTATCAACATATCTTCCACATATTTGCTGCGTAGATATGGACTGCCTTTTTTAGAAATATCTTTTTCCAATATCTTCGACATTTATCCACCCACAGTATTCTTGATAATTCTGACGGAAAAAAATTGCTTAAATGAAATAAAAGATTTTAAATTTCTTTCAACTAATTCCGGTAGTTAAAAGGTAGTATTATTATTAATATTTGCCCCATTTTTCCCCATTATCCCCAGTGGATATATAAGCCAGGGCCCGCAGTGTCTTGGCGTTCTCCGGCCCTTCCCCCGTGTCACAGATCTTACAGATCGGTCACATCGTCGAGACTGTCTATTCAGCTGGTCGCAGCCTTACTTACAGTGTCTTGCATAATGCTTTGCAGCATGAATTTTTTCAAATCATATTTGATTATATTTGTAGTGAACCTGATATGTCACAACTAAGGCCCAACGAAATGATCCCTGTCCGGAATAAGCCTGAATGTGACATCTCAGGACCAGTTTAAACACAGCCAAATACAATTTCAAAAAATTCACGCTGCAAAGCATTATGCAAGGCACTGTAGGCCAGTACAGTTGCGGACAACTAAAGTCAACAAATTTATAGACCGATTTATTGAGACCGGTAGGGATTTTTTAAAAGTCCGAAAACCATCGGAATAGGCAGGAATTGAGTAGATCTTTCAAATGGTACGAGCCGATTTCCCAAAAGTGAGGATTTGTCAGAAAAAAGGTCCAAAATTTTGGCGCAGGCCCAAAAAAATCGATAAAATCTCGAAAAAGTCATTTTGGATAGATCTTGATGAGTACTGTCAGAATCCACTGAAAGAATAAAAATAAAATAGATCCTCCCCTTTAAAAAAAATTGCTATTATGCTGCCTAAACCTAGAGGCTGTCCTCCTAAAAAACATTGCAACCTTGCACGCCTCCAAAATAACCCTTTTTTGACTTCCATTCCATCAGTGACATCATTTTCTCAAGGCCGTCAGCCTGTCAGTGAGGGAGATGATGAGGAACTGATCACGAGATCTCGAGAGTCACATCCATTGCACAAGAAAATGAGGCAAGGGAAGCTGAGGATTCAGGAGAAGAGATGGATATGCAGAGAGTAACTGGGATGAGCTTGATTAGCAGGATTTTCCTGAGAGACTGGCTGAGATGGCGATGTACGATGCAAAAAAATTGGCTCAAAATTTTGGCGCAGCCAAAAACTCGTGGGAATAACATGAAAACACCATTTTTGAGCTCCTTTTGCCTGTCCAGTTTCAGATCTGTTGTCAGATTTCCGTCAAAAAATCAGGTTCCTGAGATACTCAATTTGTTGACTTTAGTTGTCCGCAACTGTACCATGCCGTTGACAAGAGTACCTGTGACATTTCGGCTGTGACAGCCTCCATCTTTCCTCCGTACCACTATCATCGACATTGGAGAACAAGTTTATTTTATTACTTGGACTCAGGTTCGATCTTGCCGTATTTTGGATCCTCGTACCGTGGATAAGTTTCTGGCCTAAACACTTAGCTCAACTCAGTCAAAACACAAGAATCAAGAGCCCTCTAGTTGCTCTCGAGCTTGCTCTGGCGGTGGTGCTAAGTTGAAGATACTTTTATCTGCACATTTTTTCTGTAAAGCTCTGGGTTCTCCCTCATAACTATCAACGTCAGATTACGCCAACGACCTGAAGCTTGAGCAGAATTCTCAGCAAAGTGCATATATGCGCGCAGAAAGCGATGTCTTCCCGGATGCTACAAGCTCTAGTCCTACTTCTTTTGCCACACCCGATCTCCCTAGGACTTTCGACTTTTCCGACCCGAGTTCCTCATCCCTGCTAAAATGTTGCCCGACGGCTTGGATCTTCCCCGAAGGCGGTGTTCCCTTATCAAGCAGCCCGCCAAATTGCTCAGACTCCTCTCCCCTTTCTGCTACATCCGACTTCTCCGAGGGCAACGGTGACGAGAGTTCGTCTAGCACATCTCGGTCTTCCTCAACAAGCTGCGAATATGGGGATTTCAATGATTCCGGTACAGGTCATCACTATACTTCTCCATCCTCGAACGAATTTGGCAAGCGCCTTCATGACCTACTACTCGTCGTTGCTCGGGAAAGCAGTTCTGTTGTCGCTGGTGGGCCCTCGCAGGTTTTTGGTCGTGCTGTTACGCTTTTGTTCTCATCCCCTTCTCCGCCGCCCGCCGAAGAAAAATCTCATAGCCAACATGGTGCGAAGGTGGCAATCGCCACATCTCGCTCACTGGAAACAAATCATATTAGTATTGAACCCAGGTTTCGTCCCAGCCCTTTTACGCAAAATAAATCGTTCTCTTTCAGCAGCACTAGCTCCCTGACAAGTATTTCGGATGATTCCAGTCAAGCAAGCTCCCATTCAGATCTTCAAACCCCAGTATACCCCCCACCTAGACGCAGAGTCAGCAGGCAGGCAAGTCAAGAAAACACAGGACATCGGTCCACTCGTCCGCCCCTACTTCAGCAAAGGTTAACTCAACTTGATGGAATGCCGCATACGCTGACGTACCGCACCACAGATACACGAGTTTCCCAAAGCTGATCAATCCACCAGCTCAATATAGAGTTATAAAACGACCCCAATCCTTCCTTGCTGACCAATTGCGAAACGCTGCAGGCGAACCCGTGAATAAAAGACTCAAAACCCAGGTGGACTCAGATAATGTGCAGTCTCGACAGAGAGCTTATGCTTCCCGATCGGCAAGTCTGAGACGGGCGGCAACTCTTCGTTCAGATACAACAGGGAAGGTAAACTTTGAATCTTCTTTCCCTTTGATGTCGTCTAAGTATACATCTAGACTCCCACCATGACGTATCCTTGTGTACCAACTGTCCCTGCGACGCCGCAAGTCGACTCGGCCACTGCGTTCCGTCGCAAACGGGAAGGTTATTGTTTCCCAGAGCGTCTGCCTCAAGGGGTTCCAATCATAGCTCCACCCAGTAATCACGTGGCGAGATTTCCATTGAGCGCCGAGACAATTGCTAAGATAAGACTGGGAAAATACCTAGCTCGGGAGGGTATGGGGAGGGTTCGGGACGGGCTACCGACTGGAATCTGTCAAGATGACGGAATGGATGACTGCTTGATATCAGCTTTACCTCACGAACAGGACAACAGCGATAGTGACGAGGAGAACGGAAATGAGGGCGAGCGAGAGAAAGAGAGAATTGGTCACGCTCAATGTCGAAACCGAGCCAAGGAATGTAACATGGCTTCGCGCAGAGAGTGGGAAATGATGTTAGATCTCGGCGAAGATTTCAGAAAGGAAGTATTAATCTGGATCTTAGAGGTTGTCACCGTCCGCTTTCACGCTGGTTTGCAAACGCTGACAAGCTTACCTCTAACATAAGGTTCTTCCCGATCTGCACGACGATGGATCCACTACGTCCTCTGCCTCTTCATCGCGTCACTCCTCTTTCACCAGCAGCTCCTCTCGGAACTCCTACGTTTCTTCGAACTTATTCGATCAGCTGATATCTTCTCCGGAAACTAGGTTTCACGCTGCCTGGATGTTTTTGCGCTATTTTTTCCTTACTATGTCTCCGGAATCGGCCATTTGGCTTGATCCTGCTAATGGCTCCACCTCCGTTATAGCTATAAAAAAGAAGCGCTGTCTCGAGGATATCGGCCGTATGCCCATCATTTGGGACATCGCCGTCGGCTGTTTGGCGCTCAGTGTCAAGGTCTCATTCTGACTCTATTTTTCTACTCTCACCCCAGGATAGTCTACTGATCTTTGTCTAGTTTCACCGTGACTTTCTGGAACCACTTTTTCCTGTTTTTGCCTTTGAATTTTGTGATTTGGCGCCCCACCGACTGGCATACGAGAATTTAGAAGTGCCTTCCACTGCTCGTCTGAAATATTCTTCCAACTGATTTGAACGCGTAGACTGCCCAACGAGATATATTTTCTGCTTTCTCTTACTCCCTGGGTGTCACCCCTCAGCCGATTATGGACGAGTTATGGATAGCGTTGCCCTCACTTCGATATTTGCTAGACTTTCGAGGCGGATGGAACTTTACTCAAAAGGAAACTTGGTGGAGGCTGTTCCAAGCTATCCGCGGTGACCATCATTGACTCTTCTACGAATGGGTTGGACGAAAAACTGACGTTTTCGTTTCCAAACACAGAAGCTGATGTTATGAGATTTCCTATCTCTTTGCTAACCTCAACAGCGCTGGCCGATGCCATTGTAACTTGCCTGGAGAAAAAGTACGAGTACGAAGCAGCATGGGATAGCAGCGTCGCAAGACACCGCTTTGCAGGGCGGCCGTATCGGGACGACCTTGAAAGCGAACAGCAGACACGGACAAGGAAGTGGACAAAGCGTGCTCGGCGCGAGGCAGATGGAGTCATTCAGGACATTCAGGCCTCGGTGGGGATAACAGACGTGGGTTATCAATCTCTTTCGCATGGCCATTCGGCATCTAAACGAAATTAGGACCAACTGCGGGTTTGTCGCGCTTGGTTCGCTGTTCTCGATGCAATATAATTGTGTAAATCCCTTTCTATTACTTTTCCACCTGCTTCTCCCTCTTGTCTCTCTCTCCACGACCAGCCACCAGCTGCGATGTTGATTCTACAATAGTTGATTCTTCAATATATAGCCCGTGCCTATATCACGAGCGTGATTGGTGAGTATGACTTTTGTATCCACAATGAACATGGATCCAGTAAGTAAGGCAGATGTAATTTCTCGTTTGAATACTCTGAAACTTTTGCCAGCAGCTCCCCGCATCCCTTCGGGCTTGGCGCGATCACAAACCATATAATAATCCTGAATGGTACAAGCCCTGGGAACAACTCCGGCCCTTCTTCCTTGAACGTGGCTATGAACTCTTTCGTCCGAGGTCTGGAGGCGAGCTCAGTATCCCCTACGGCACTCCCTCTCCTGCATTGGACTCCTTTGGGCTCTATGGTGATCGGGGGAATAAATTTTACAGTGGTATGGGACGCGTCAGTTAGGACTTCCTCGGTTCTTTTGCGTTCTCTAATCATTTCCTTGCAGTACCCTCTGGCTTTTGCAGCTCGAGATAGGTTCGAAGTGCATTCTCCCTTGTAAATGTTGCTCATTTATGCCTCTCAGGAAAAATAGAGATGTAGTCATCAAGCTCGTTGCACATGGCGATGAGGGGCTCAACGAACTCAAAATCCTACATCTCCTCAATTCAGAACCACTTAGATCGGATCCTGCCAATTCGACTGTTCAGGTTCTTGAATTCCTGAGTTTTAGTGATTGGCAGTTTGTAGTGATGCCGTTCTACGATGGATGTGATGAATCGCCTTTCTTGAGGGCGTCGGAATGTCTGGACTTTGCAGAACAAGTACTGTCAGTAAGTCAAAATTCAGGCGCTGGAACTCGGTGTTGGGCTACTCTTGGTTCCTACTCAGACGTTGGCCTTCTTGCATCGCAATCATATTGCACACTTGGTTGGTCACATATTTTTGTATTTGCCCTATATCTCATCACCTATGTAGGATATTACCCATGAAAATATTGTGATGAATCATCATGGGAAGGTCCCAGGGGACCCATTCAACAACATTTGGCCCCCTCCTGAATTTCGCTCAACCTTTCCTGTGCGATATTATCTCATGGATTTTGGATGTTCCGTCCACCTCCCACCCAGCTTGCCCCCCCGGGATCGCCTGATCGAACCGTTCAAGATCGCGCGAGAACAATGCCCTGGGGAAATGAGTGTGTCAACAAAATACGACCCCTTTGCAGCGGATATTTACGTTGTGGCAAGAGTCTTCTATAGCTTGTGCAGGGTACGTTTTTCATTTCTTTCCATATGAAGCGAAGCTCTACTTCCAGGATTTCGTTCCGGATGTTCCTGGATTCCTGGACCTTCTGCAAGACATGTCATCCTTTAATCCCTCACGTCGAATCTCTCTCACTGTGGCACTAGATCGGTTGAAAGTGTTGAAGTCGCAGACACCCTCTCAGGTGCTGTCGCAGGTCAAAGAGACCGAGCTATATGTGTATGAAATAATTCCTAGGAGCTTCTTCCGTACGTTGTTTGAGGTTATCTCTACTGGACGATTGATGTTCGCCTGTCGGTTTGTGTGGGCAAGCTTTCAAAAGTGGTGAGTTTCTCTTATTCAGTATCTTATCTGTTCTTACACTCCACGAGGCTCAGCAAGGGCTCCACGAAAATGGCTTGAGAATTTGCCCTACCTACTTTGCTTTGCGGTCATCGAGATATCATTGCATGATCTGGCCGACGCGCGTCAAGTCATGATTCTCGAAACTGTTGCTCAGCTCCTCTCAGCTCCCGTATACGGTACTTTCGGCGAGAACTCGTGATGTATTTTAATTTTCAAGACTGTTTTCAGGTTCAACTAAGGGACACGTTCTCAAACGCTTCGTAAACTTGCACGTTGCTCTAGATCCGGGTGGTCCGGGATGGGGCGTTCAAACCATTTTTACAGCGGTCAGTGCCGGATTTATTGTTACTGAGTTGTGTTTGAGTGACTTCAACGGAAGCAAGACGGAAGGTATGTTCGCATTGTATGAACTTGAGAATACTTGGAGTCGCATGGTAGTGTAAGAATGAGTAATTTCAGCTTTCCAGGAGGACTGTTGGTTCACCGCAGGGCTGAAGAATCGGCAGGCCGTTGTATGTAAGATTTTGTAAAATTTGTTGGCAGTTCTTGTTACGTCCAAAAATGCCGCAACGCTATACTTAGATAATGATAGCCCTGGCACGAATGAAATTTGAATCGTGCGGGCTGTTAAGCATGTTAAGTCTCGAGAAAACGGTGAACGGCGCCCCAAAGGTGAGTCAAGTTTGAGGCCTCAACAGTGGTCAATGATGTCGAGTATCAAGGCTCGGCACTGAGCGTAAGAGGTTCACGAAGGTAATTTTACTGTTACAGCATCGGTTGACCGGTCAAAATGGACTGCATGGTTAAAAGAGTGCATCATACGTACCTCTGGCTGTTCAGGATGGAGAGTTGATGTCACCGGAGCTTCTGGATCTTGCCCGGTCACCGGTCACCTCTACATGGGTAGCATCATCTTTCTACAGGATGGTGTGATCTGATAAAAAGTTTTTCACCTTATGATGACTGGCTGGAGGAAAGCTTTACGTTTCGGTTGCATCCTTCGCGACTTCAGCGCGATATTATTATAACAATATGCCTATTTGAGGAAAGTCAGTCCCACTCGGAATTCCAACGTTGCTTGACATGTTGGGGACCAGGGTTGGAGAAAACGTTCGCTTTTCCCTTGGAATCGAGGGCGATGATTTGGGGTGTCCAAGAGCAAAAATCTGAGGGCTGGAGTTTCAGCCAAGGTCAGCTGGTGCCAAGTGCTGGAAATTACTCGACGCGTGACGGGATCCGGAGCGACCCCTGTTTGCTTCCCTCTTCCATTGCTCAATCACGTTGGATTTTGACAAACATGGTCCGAACCGTCACAGTCATACATGATGCCAAAAGGCTTCATTTGAACATATAAGAGTGGTGAGGTCTCTTCGCTTTTTTTTCATGAAAAATGGCCACCGTTTACAACTTCGACGCCCCCAGGCAAACTTTCGTTGACTGCCGCGACACCCCGACTCTTCGACCCACCATCCCCCAAGAATTGATTGAAATTATAATCGACTTCGCCAGACACGACACCCCGTCACTCAGGACCCTCGCGCTTGCCCACCCAAATTTCAGCAACGCATGTCAGAAATATCTGTTTTCAACCGTCACCATTTGCCCCCCGAATCCTACGACAGAGAAAAAAACCACGCCTGCCCAGCGGTTCCTACAATTATTGATCTCATCTCCACATATCTCTCGTCACGTTCGTGCATTGACAATTGAATGTCAAGGGCACAGTGGAGACGATGAACCTTGGCTTCACACCGATACCTCTCTCCATCTCATCCTTCCCCTTCTCACTCGTCTCACCAAAATTGCCGTTGTAGGCGGAGCTGAGCCCGGCAGCGGCTTCAGCAAATCATACTTTACCTCCTGGTCATCACTTTCTTCTAATTTGCGATCAGCGTTGACTTCGGTGTTGCGCTCAGCATCCGTTGTTGACATTGAGATTGGTGGTTTCTCACTTATGCCAACTTCGTCCGTCAGCAAATGTTCGGCGCTGAAGCGGCTTTCTCTCCTCCCTGTTTACCTTGTAGACGACACCGGAATTGGAGCCACGCACACGACGCCGTCTGGCCCTCCGGATACTACCAGTGCGATCCCCGTTCAACGTTCAGAACTCGAAGAATTCGAAATTCGGCAGACATCTATTACCCTACGGAGGACGACAGACTGGTTGCACAGTCCAGGCTGTTACCTTGATGTCACCCGCCTACGAAACCTCAACGTTCACGTGGTCACACTCGAAGACCATAACAGCGTGGCGAGGATCCTGGAAACCTGTTCAAGTTCCCTGGAAAATCTGAGCCTTGACGCAGGTTCTGAAGGTCAGTGAACATCTTTCATTCAATTTGGATGCTCGCTCACTCTGTCCCGTCTATCTCTCTTAGTGAACACAGTCAGACACATTCATGGAACTATCTACCCGGCATCGACTCCTGCCAGTTCGATCAGCCTCGCTTCGCTCCCTAGGCTACGCTCTTTGACGCTTCACGCCACAATAAGCATGTTAATGTTGAACAACCGACGCTTTGCCGATCCTTTCCCATGGCTGGTCGCTTTTCTGGAGACGCTTCCGAGCTCTAACTGTCTCTTTGAACTGGAAATTTCCGTCGAGGTCGCCGTTGGCAAAGAGATTTTCAACAAAATCTCCTGGGAAGAACTGGCTCGCGTCCTCGTCTCGGAGCGGATGTCAAGTCTGCGTACGGCGCGGTTGGAGCTGCGGTTAAAGGAGCAAGTGTTGGTTCATGGGTTGCCGCAAGTTCTGGAGGGGATGCTGGATGCTGATGAGCATTTATTTGAGTTGCGGAGTAGACGGATTTTGGAAGTTGACGTCCAATGACCGTTATTTCTTGGACATGTTTTGCTTTTTGTACTTGATCTTGTTGGCTTGTAATCGCTACACACAACTGCTAGCTGTGATGGTGTTTATTCAAATTCAAGCTTGCATATCCACCTTCCATGCGTTTCCGGGGCTTGCAGTAGAAATTCAATCCTGCCAACCAACACCAATTCCTTGCTAACCATACAGGCCAATAATCGCCGCCGACGCGCTGACGAGCAACTTTCCAGTTCGAACTGGGTAAGTTATCGTTTGCCGGTGTTAGGATCGAAAGGCCGTCCAAGAGCCTGATTTGACCAAGATTTTAAACCACATCCTCAGAAATGTCCTATTTTCTTCCTCATCTTCCTTCCGGCTGGCACGTTGATGAGGCTATCAAGTCTGAAGAGGATCGTGTCGTAGTTATCCGATTCGGACATGACTGGGACAGCCAATGCATGATGATGGATGAAACGCTGTACTCCGTCGCGGAGAAAGTCCAGAACTTTGCGGTCATTTACCTGGTTGATATCACGGAGGTGCCAGACTTCAATAAGGTGACTGAGGATAACTGGCTTTCTGCGAAACTTCTGCTGACGTTCAATACATTGAAACTATAGATGTATGAATTGTATGATCCTTGTACCGTGATGTTCTTCTACCGGTATGCATGTGCTATTCGAGACGTAGGAAAGGAGCTGAACTTGCAGCTAGTAATAAACACATCATGATCGATCTGGGAACCGGTAATAACAATAAGATGTAAGTCGTGGTTACCACTCATATTTCATTGAGCGCTCTGACATATCCCTGCCTCAGTAACTGGGCCATGGATAACAAGCAAGAGGTTCGTACATGTGCTCAAATTTGGATAGCGATACTTATACTTTACCCCCTTAGATGATTGATATCATCGAAACGGTTTACCGAGGTGCATCGAAAGGAAGGGGTTTGGTGGTTTCGCCGAAAGGTCAGTCATTGATCGCACATTCATTCAACTCCCTAACCTCATTCATCTTCTTTGACAGATTACTCTACGCGTTACAGGTACTAGATGCCCTGAGATGGCCCTTGTCTTGTGTTCATCAACCTTGTTTCATAACCAATGTATGTACAACAGTGAACTGAACTTTGTTTCAACTTATTCGTTGGACTTTATGAGGCTCTGCTTTCCTTTTACGACGAGCATACCTTCTTCTGCCCTTTCGAGTTTTCGTTATAATCCAATCTGCCTTTCTTGGGGATTGGTTGTAATCGAAGCTCATTTGGGACGACAATCCAGTGGGCATCGTCAATGGGTCCGGAGGTGAATAGGGCCAAGCTCTTTTCGCAAGATCTGCATCACAGTGATTGGGCGAAGCTGAAAAAGACTCCAGTCCCGAGTCTTTTTCAACCCGAACAGTGCAATACCCCATCGAGGCATCTGAAGCAGTCTATGACGTTCTTAAACGGCAAGATCAATGTCGTTTTATATTGAAACACATTTTCAATTTGACGGAAAAGCGAAGGTACAAGCACAATTGAAGTTGTAAACGCTTAATCCTCTTCCACCTTGTGCTCAAACATGAAATCAGTCCTCAAAGCATATTTGAAACCCTTCGTCACCTCCTCTCCCGTATGCCAGATACCTCTCTGCTGAAAAATCAGAACTCTCCCCAGCTTGGGCTCAACATCAACCCATTGCTTTTCGTTCCCGCTATAAATTCGTGTGGCGCCTCCCTGTACGCCCTCCTTCCCGAGATATATTTGAAGCGTCACTCTGGACTTGCGCCCGTCAGGAAGCTGGAGTTGGCCATCACAATGACCTCTGAAGAAATTTCCGGCACCATAGCGCAGGTAGCTAAGGCGCTCATTAACCCTAACGTTGTCACCAGTCAATCGATGGGGCATATCGTGGAATAAGCCTTACATACCCAATCAACTTCCAAACACCTTCCACTCTACCAGGCGCGCCAACAACTCCTTCCCACTCTCCCCCTGGTCTAATCTCCAAAAGTTCCTGGACATAGGGGAGAAGGCGTTCATATAGTCGGTTTGCAGCCTCATGGTCGAATCGCAAGATTCTTTCACTGTTTCTGTAATCCGTGTTTACGTAACTTTCCTGTGGCTTCAAACCGTAATGCAAGGCGGCCTGTTTCCATGTCTGATCAGACTCCGCCAAGGCGATGAGAGCGTCACATTCATCGGGGGTGAAGACGTCATCCAATACTTTCATGTAGTAGCCCTCATAATCTCTTGCTAAAGGTGTTGTTGACCAATCAAAAACAGGCGCGTAGACGGCTGCAGGGGCATCAATGCGCGTGTCTCTTGGGTAGACCATCTCTCGAAAGCTGGCACTGGCAGTGGGCGGTAACAGAAGGGTAGATCAACCATGGCCATTTTAAATGCGACTGAGCATCTTGAAAGCATAGCCAAACTGAGTCACGCTCATGTTGCTGTGCATTTCGGTGCCTTGATCATGAGGACTGACACGTTGTTCAATTGAAGGAGATTTTTTTTAGTTCAGTTTGAAAACATTGCTAGATATCTAACAAAGTACCTTGCCAGTGACCACAACCAACGAATTTATTGCTCGTATACGATCCTGCTTGTGCATTATTCAAGAATCAACGTTTCAACGAATAGATCTGGGTAGTAGGCCGTTTCGTCTTCATATCAATCAACACCAAAGCACGCTTCTCCGCTTTCTTGTTGGGTTGCATGCCCCCCACATGACAATAAGCGAAACCGTCATGCTCCAGAGTCTAATTGACCGTAATTTCGCCATCAATGAATGTGTTCAGCGTAACCTCTTCGACCCAGACTTGAGTCCATTCGGCTTTCTCCTCCCAGGAATTCCCTCGACGGGCACGTTGGGTACAGTTGGTACCAAGGGTCTCGTCATCGAGCCAGACGTAGTCCTCGCCACTTCCACACTTCGCCTGCTTTGCGTTGTGCAAACCATCCCCGTCGATGGACGAAGAACAAGAGCCCTTCAGAGCAAGACCTTGTCGAGGTGAAGTCCGGTTGTCCCAGTGGTCTATCTCAAGAGGCGTTTAGGCCCACAGCATGTAACTCTTGCGGAGCATGACACGCCGTCCAGGACTCGTAGACCTCACTGATTTTCCACAATTGGTCCCAGCTGAGGTATGTAATCGATTGCAGGCGAGCTATTGAAGACCTTGCTCCTAGCATTATAGAGCACGAAGCGAGGATGGACGTGCAAGGTGATCACTAGAAATTCAGTAAATGGATATATGTGCGTTTCGTATGCAGAGATCATGTGAATGTATGAATAGAACGACCCAATATTTGCGTGGAGCACAAAGCTCCAGAAAGAGATGAAGGGCGTAAACCTCTTGAATGGGTGGATGAAGGGGCGGATGACGTGACAGAGGCGGAATGAGACATAAGGAGACTGGATGCGAGTGGAGGGTCAGAGCCGGAGGGGCGCAGGATGACGACAATTGTCGGGAGAAAGTAGTCATGAGGAATGTAGAATGCGCATGTGTGTTCCAGAAGAAGATTGTAATCGTGTGCTCATTGGAGAATGGAGGGAGGGTTAAGCGGTAGAGCAGATGATTGAGTAGCCGACGTAGATGTAGGATACTAACGATTCGTTAGTATCCTGTAACGATGTTGTTTGCGGGATGTGATGATCGATAAGTGTCTTGGCCGAACGCTCATACACTTCTACTTTACATGACGTATTATGTGTTTCCTGTATGAATAACTCAGGTTCAGTTACCTTCAATTTCATAACACGTTCAAGACTTACGATGTAACTAAACTGACGAAACGGAGCTCCCATCCATCTTCTTACGTAGAACTTCCCTCCATACAAACCCACACCAGAGTCGCACAATACTGCAAAGCGGCACCCTGACTGGATATCCAAGCCACCGCTTCCACGTCAACAAAGTGAGCACCAGGGTCACGACCCCAACCCCAATTGACAAGAAAAATCTGGAAAGAGGTGAAAGAGGTGCTCCGGGTAGGATAAAGATGCCCAAACAAGCTGCCCATGCTACTGGACCCAAAAGAACGCAAAGGTATAGCGCGAGTTCAAAGGGTAGCATGATGATCGACGACCATGCTAAGGCCAACTCGTCAGCTGGAAGGGAATGGGGGTGAAAGAGATTGGGCGCACGGTAGAACCTGATGATGCACCACAGATCTAGATCGGGCACTCCTACATAGTAACCAGTGTGAAGACCGTCGAGAGATGCCGGCACATGTAGAATCCAGTATACACCGATAAATTTGATGTGTTCTTGGCGAGTGATGATGGAATGCCAGGTCAACGTTGTGGAACTAGTGTGAGGTATTCGCTCGGGATCCATCCCCTCGAATTGAATCTTCAAGTCGAAAAAGACAATATTAGCGACAACCCTCGCAAAACGGATAGATAATCGCCGAGAACTCACGATATCTCCGGGGACCATGACATTCCCCAAGTCGACAGACTCAGTCCTCCTATCCCAATCTGTCGCAACCATCTGACGAGGGCTGGACGCAGAATGGAGGAGAGAATCGTATTTGAGCGTAAGTATACCCCTAATAGTATTCGGCTGACAATCAGGTCCGATGGACAAATGGTGGAGGGAATTCTCACATAGCGTAGTCTATTGCCATGTTGGCAGGCGGATAGAGCCTATAACCGTGTTCGCCCCTCATCCCAGGCCCAAGCCTTGCGCTTGGCCTGAGTGGATCACGAACGGTTACTGGAAATGGAGGGATTGGTTCTGTCATTATAGAGGTAAAAACGATTGGTTGAGCAAGGGGTCAATTCATGTTTATACAGGGCCGGAGCCACAAGTATCTGCAACTGAGTGAGTCTGCGATTTATAGGAGGCCTGGCAGACATTTGTCTCGCAAAGGTTTCTGCTTACAATTGAGGGCCTCCATGTCAAGTCGCCTAGGCCGTCCATTGTCCAAAATTTCTGTCCGACGAGCACTAAGACCGTCCACGCGCGTGTGAGGGAATCAGTTGAGCTTGAGTCGAGCAAGGTCCAAGTTCTGTGCCAGAAATTTATGCGATAACGTGACTTACTTGAATGCCTACTTTTCATGATCGCTGCGCATCTATGTTCAATCTATCCGCCCTTCTCCTCTCGTTCCAAGACTTTCCTTTAGGGGTACGGGGAACACCTGCTGTCCCAAATTCCAACAAAGATGTGCGCCATTTGATCTACTTGTTGAGGAACGTATCAAGATATCTTTTGATTCATTTGACATGGCCTACGATGACTTGTGTGTCAATGGCCCGGCAAATCCGCATGTGCTTTCGGCGCCCAATACTGAATCAAACGATGAACTAGCGAAACCCTCACTCGCTGCGAAAACCTATTGGCTGGAAGGAGACAAAATCAATGATACATTGTCTACCCAGCAAGCACACAAGGCAGTCTTTTCGAGGGATATTGACTATCGCACCAAATCTAGTTCTCAGCCCGATATAAAAGCGAACTCACGGATGCTACGCGTTGTTACCACATCCCCTTTAGTAAAACTGCATTCCTCCAGTCCGGCAACAAGAAGCCCAAAAATGGTTTACAAAGGCTGGAAGGACTGGTTTGAATGTAAATCTTGATTCTTTCGATTCTCGACATACCCCGCTTACCTTAATTCAGCCCACTGCACGCTTTGGAAGAAAGGAATCGAACACAGTGACATCAGCCTTGATAATCTAATGTTGGACCCCATCCTCGGCGTTGGTGTCCTGCATGACTTCGACCTCCTGAAAAACATCGGCTGGAACGTTAGAAGCGAACGACAGATTGGGACCGTCGCTTTCGCCGCTTTTGATCTCCTGAAAAAGGAAACAATAGAACATCACCCCGTTCGAATGTATCGCCATGACGTTGAATCGTTGATCTGGGTATTGGTCTGGGTTTGTCTAAACCTTGAAAGAATTGGCGAGAAGCCCAAAGGCATGGACCGGCTTAAAATGACCAGACAAATTTGTTACTTTCGTTCATGGATGAATGATCCCTCCGCATCTGAAGATGTGCGATCGGACTTTTTGAAGGACTATCTTACCGACTGCCATGCATCTCCACGTTTTGAAAAACTTTGGACCCTTGCAATGCGCTTTCTCGAATGGTTCAATGACCGTGACAGGTCGAGGGAGAAGCGTAAGTGCGCATGGCGAGTCTTGCTCTGGGGGGCTTTCAGGGAGCCATCTGAGGGCCACCTTCATCAAGAGATAGCAAACTTTGTGAAATCATTTGAAGCATCTCCTGCTTTTGCCTCACTTACAGAGTGATTTTGTCGTAGCAGTTATGTTTGTGGTAACATTGCGATTTGGAGATTATACCCTTGATCCTCGGAAGTGTATGCGTCCTCCTGGGCACAAAGTATAGTAGCAGTGTTGTCGCTCCCTATGGCGTGCTCGGTTGCCTCAATCAACAATTTACGCACCATTCTATTACAGGCCAGTGCTCTTCAACTGCAAGACAGTTGAAGACGGCTGTGCGATGAGTTTGCTAGTGCTGCCCTATGGCGCTGGCAGTGCTCTCCATAGTCAACAGGCCTAGAAGTCGACAACTTATCATCACAATTTGATTGAAATAACATTCAGTCATGACTAGCGTTACAGAATAATTCATAATATCATTAGTTATGCAGAGCTAGAGTGCCCTCTTCAAGATGACAGTTCGGAGATCGAGATACTAGCCGCGTAATCGGGGATTTGACCAGCTAACTTGTTCGGTAAATCATGATCGATATCCATTGGAACTTCGTCCACGTCCATTGCGTCCAGAGGGACACGTCCCACCCACGCTTGAATCCAGGCGGCCTTCTCTTTTCAAGCCTTCTTCGGCGACGGGTCGTGGTCCAACTCGGCGAGGGTAGCGTCATCAAGCTAAGCGCAATCCTGACTGCCTCCCGATTTCTGCTTCTTTGATGGAGAGGCATCTGCTGGTAGTTGTGTCGTGGCCCGTGTCCGCTTCACAGAACGGGGTGCTCGCCGAGAGGTCGTCCGATCGTCCGGGTAATCATCATTAGCAGGTGTATATGGAAGTCCTGCTGCATCAAATTCTTTCGGAGCACGACGCGTCGTCCAAGCTGTGTATATGTCATCGATCTTTTCCACGATAGATTCCAGCCCAGGTGTGTTGTTGTCCTCGTAATCGATTGCCGAAGCGCCATTCGCGATCTTGCTCCCAGCATTGAATAGCACAAAACGAGGATGAACGTGCGAGGTGACGGTAGGAAATCCAGGGAATGGAAATATGTGCCTTTCGAATGCATTTGCAGGGATCACATCTACATCAGTCGTGCCGGTTTCTTTAACCTTCCCTTTACAACTTTTCTGCCGATGGACAGGCATGGCTCTCATCTTACTGTTGACGACTAGCATATATTTGTATGGTGGAGGCTGAAAATGAGTCATTACTATCACTTTCATGACAATAGAGTGAAGAGGGCACGACATATCGCCATAACTGGAAAGTTATGTGGATCGTTCCTCGTGGCGTGATATTGTTCAATGATGGATTCTTCAGGCAGTAGAAAGCATGAATTCGCGTCGAATAGGCGGTGAAGATTTTTGGTGACTGGGAAAGAGGAGTGTTCCAATAAGGTCAGATCCACTGAACGTTTGACATACGGAGAAATATATTGCGATGTGTGTTGACATTTAAAGTACCGAATTTCATGTTCCACGAATACTCAAGGTTAGTTAACTGTGGGGGTCGTTAGTTGTGAGTGAATACTTGCGTTGGACTTTCAACTCACTGTCGCAAAATCAGATTTCCGAGGTAACACATGGGCGTACTCCAAGACATCATTAGTATTGTCAAGGAGACAAACTGCAGCAGCGACAACTTTTTCCTTGGCTTTAATGGGGGTCTGACGTTGTTCTCGCTTCTCTGGGGTGTCGTACGTCACACCGCCTCCGGTGTCGGATATCACTGACCGGGGAGGTGTGCAAAAGTGGCGAGGAACGGGAATCAAGGGAGCAGGAGGTTCCGGGGGTTCAGCATATGCATACGACGTGATCAATGTCTTCCTTCTATCAGGTTGGACTCGGCTTGGGGCAAAAGTACTTTTGAATTTGACGTGGGTTTCGTTAAGTTTCATCCAATTAGCGTATATCTTCACGACATCTTTTAGTCTTTTATCCACGTCTCCGTTACCTTTAAAGAAAGCCTTGATCTTCGAGAACTTGTCTAGTTTCTGTCCAGTGTTGAAAATGACGAAACGGGGATGAACATGAGAGACGATGGTTGGGAAGTCCTCGTATGGATAAACATATGTCTTGAAAGCACTTGCAGAGCTAATCTCCATGTCATCGACCCTTCTATGGATCGCAACCTGTCTCATATCTGGGTGGGCGACCAGGGTGTATTTATATGAATCATGCTAACACCGCAACTGTCTGTTCAGTCAACGTTTGGATAGAAGTGGGAGAAAAGTTTCACCATCACTGCAGGGAAGTCAATAGGCAAACCCTCGTTTTGATAGTGTTGATTGTATTCATCCAAAATATTCGTTTCTGGCAATAGAAGCCACTTCCCCTCGTCGAACAAATGATGGAATTTGGCGCTCACTAGGAAGGTGTTAGCCCGAGTTTGGGGTATAGTGAACAACTCACGTCGAAAGATGTTACGATGGGAGTTATGATTTAGCGTTCCCGGTTCGATACCCCAAGAACACTCGAGACTGGACATCTATTACATTGTCAGATGTTTTTGAAGTAAAAGGCTGCTTATAACTTACCAGCTCGTTTTTCTTGCCATCTGCGTGTGACACGACATGGGCATAATCAACCACATGGCGACACTCGATGTTGTCAATGAGGCAGCGTAGTCGAGTAATATTGCCAGGCGCTTCGTTGACCCTCTTGAGTACGTCGTCCGGAACATGATCATCGTAATTTCTGGTCAACGGCATAGTGTCAGCATTTGGATGGCGATGAATTTTGATTGGAGTACCATTTGAACCGCGTTTGTGGTGATTATAACCTGAGAAGAACAATAGAGATATTGTGGGTGGCTTGTCGGCTTCCTGTGGGCCGTGGCCTTGGTTGGATTTTGGTCATCATTTGAAAATTAGAATCTTGGCAGTTCTCGAGTGCGATAATTAAAACAAATCAAATAATTGAAACAACATTCATTCATGACCAGCGTTAAACAATAATTCATAATATCATAAGTTTGCCCTCTTCAAGATGACAGTTCGGAGATCGATACACTAGCCACGTAATCGGGGGTTTGACCAGCAAACTTGTCCGTCAAATCATGATCGACATCCATTGGAACTTCGTCCACGTCCATTGCGTCCAGAGGGACACGTCCCACCCACGCCTGAATCCAGGCGACCTTGTCTTCCCAGGCCTTCTTCGGCGACGGGTCGTGGTCTAACTCGGCGAGGGTAGCGTCATCAAGCCAAGCACAATCTTTGTTCCCTTCCGATTTCGCTTTCTTCGGGTTCCTTTCTGATGGAGAACGATTCCTTGGGGGGCGTTTCCTGCCATTAGGTGCGCGTTGAGAACTTGTTTTACCATCCGGATAGTCATCCTCAGCAATATTGGGGTCGAGCGCCGCCGCGTAAAAGTCTGGCGAAATTTGAGAACTCGTCCAAGCTTCGTATATCTCGACAACGTTGCGCAGAGTTGGTTCCAGTGAAAGCCTCGCAAATACGTACTCGGCCATGAGATAGCCCGTCGCTAGCTTCATCCCCGAATTGCAGAGTACGAATCGCGGATGGATATGGGAAGTGATGGTAAGAAATTCAGTGAACGGATATATGTGGGTGGTAAAAGCGTCCGCGGAGACGATGTCTGAATCACTGGCGTTTGCATTTTTAGCTTTCCCTTTGCCAATGTCGACCTCGCTGGCTGGAAGTCCGCGGCGGTGAATGGGATAATCTTGCATGTCGTCACTGACGAGTAGCCTATACTTATAGGGTGGTGACTGTAAAAGCTCGTTACCCTCTTACCTTTATAACTATGAGAGAGGGACGCACATCGATGGTCGGAAAATCTGTTCGGCTGCCCTTCGCGGCGAGATATTGATTGATGACGGAATCTTCGGGGAGCAGAAGCCATGAATTGGCGTCAAACAGGCGATGCAAATTCTTTGTAACTGGAGGGGAAGAAAGCTTGAACGGGGTTAAGTTCACAGAGTCGTTGACATACGGAGGGTGATGTTCTTATGGGTGTTCACATTCAAAGTGCCATATTTCATGTTCCACCAATATTCGAGGTTAGTTAACTATAGGGCCGTTAGCGAAAAAATACTTTTAATGATAATTGCTTTTTTTTTTTTTGACTCACTAGTGTGTCGTTCGCGCTCCGGGCTAATAGATGGGCGAATTCCAACGCATTGGAATTATTAACATTCTCGATGAGACAAAATGCACCGCCAGCAGCAGCAACAACTTTCTCTTTGGCTCTTTCGGGTGTCTTAAGACAAGCTCGCTCTTCCGGGGTCTCGTATACCAGAGATTTCGTGGAACGGGGCGGGGTGACAGGGTTATGATGGTTGACAGGAATTTGAGGAACGAAAACCGAAGAAGCAGAAACCAAGGGATTGACAGGAATAAGAGGATTAGAGACTGAGGGAGCGGGACCCTTTACACGCTGCTCTGGCGATTGAAAGTACGAGATGACGGATCTCGTCCCTCGACCAGGTTGAAATCGGCTTGGGTTAGAGGTCTGCGTAGACTCAGCATGGCTCCCGTGAGCTTTTGTCCAATGATGGTAGAGTCGAGAGACTGTCGTAAGTCTTTGACCCAGTTGAGCGTCCCCCTTTGCAAAGGCCACGATCTTGTCGTAACCCTTGAGTTTCTGTCCACTATTGCAAATGACGAAACGAGGATGAACATGGGAAACGATGGTTGGGAAGTCCTCGTATGGATAGACATATGTCTTGAAAGCACTTGCAGAGCTAATCTCAATGCTTTGGGCCCTTCGATGGATCGCAACCTGTCTCATATCTGGGTGGGGGATCAGGGTGTACTTATATGAATCATGCTAGTACCGCAGCTGTCTGTTCAGTTATCGTTTGGATAGAAGCGGGAGAGAAGGTTCACCGTCACTGCAGGGAAGTCAATAGGCAAACCCCCGCTTCGAAAGTGTTGTTGGTATTCATCCAAAATTTTCATTTCTGGCAATAGAAGCCACTTCCCCTCGTCGAACAAACGATGGAACTTGGCGCTCACTAGAAAGGGCGTTAGCTCGATGAAGGGGCGTGGTGAAAAACTCACATCGAAAGATGTTGCGATGGGTGTTAGAATTTACCGTCCCCCGTTCGACACCCCAAGAACGCTCGAGACTGGACATCTGTTACATTGTCAGATGTTTTTGAGGTAAAAAAAAAAGGCTGCTAAAAACTCACCAACTCGTTTTTCTTGCCATCTGCGCGAGCCAGGACGTGGGCATAATCCACCACATGGCGACACTCGATGTTGTCAATGAGGCAGCGTAGTTGAGTGATATTGCCGGGCGCTTCGTTCACCCTCTTGAGGACGTCCTCCGGAACATGATCAGCGTAATTTCTGTTCGTCGGCGTAGTATCAGCTTTTGAGGCGGTTTCGGGCGAGGGCTGAAAATCAGCTTCGTCATAAGCTGTCCCAGACATGATGAAGAACTTTGGGTTGGAGTACCATTTGAACTGCGTTTGCGGTGATTATAACTTGAGAAGAACAATGGAGATGTTGGGTGGCTTGTCAGCTGCTCGTGGGTCGTGGCAGGTCGTGGCCTTCGGTGGCCTTTCTTGTGGCCTTTCTTGTGGCTTGGTTGAATCACAGCGGTTTTCGTGATGACCTCCGCATTTGAAAATCAAAGTCTTGGCGATAATTATCAAAATAAACAACTGACCACAGGCTACCATACAACCTGCACACAACTACCATAAGCACACATAGGGATTCCATCGGGCGGCCTGGGCTAGCAGCGAGTAGCGAGCAGGAGCAGGCAGTAGCGTCGGAAGGGCTGAAAATTCTACATTTATTCATGTTATTTGCTTCCACTGTTCACGTGATCAAAGCTGCGCCTGTCAACTTCAAGCTACTGGGTATAGCTTAAACTTTCGCGCGGTCTGGCGCGTCTCCGTCTTTTTGGGCGTGTTTTTTATGCTGTTTTATGTTGTTCAAAGCTCTGCTCTATACGAGAACAACCTTCGGAGGTTGCTGGGATCATTTGCGGAAACAAAAGTGTTGGCTGTGCAGGACCTTTTAGTACATACCGGCCTTCTCCCGATTCGTCCGCACACGGACGGACTTTGCACGCCTTTTCAACGAGGCAAGTTTTCATCAATTTGACGCCTCGCTGACCTCTGAAAAACAGAAAGGGATTGGTCAGGTGAAAGGAGCTTGTGGAATCCTCTACTGGTCATTGCCTGACATTGCTCGGGTCGTCTACCTCCAATCGATCATCCATCGACCCCGGCTCCAAGCCAGCGTCATTCCCCCGCCTTTGAGTTTGCCGGAGGAGGAAGTCGGAGTAGATGCAGTGACCCCGCTACGCGGTACTTGAAAATCTCCTCGAACATTGGACTTTATCATAATTACCCGCCGCTGCGCTACCTATCATGGCCGTCGCTGTCGATCCCCGCCAACCCACGCACCACTGGCAATCCCATTCCCTTTCGCACCAACACTTACAGCCGGTCCAACACCTCTCGATGCCTCAGCCCTTCCCAACAGAAGCTTCTCTACCAGCTCGTAATGAAGTTGATCTCAATCGGGACAAGTTAATGTCCATCTTGAACTACTTTTCTCAGCTGATCATGGGCCAATTTAATCGGCCACTGCGCTTGGTGGTTCATGGCGGCGCATGTATGCTTCTTCACCCAGGTCTCTATGCCCTATCGCAGCAACAGCATCAACTATCATCCTCCCTGCCCCAGCGGACTACAACCCGGGATGTGGATTACATCCACCGGGCTTTCATTAGAGAGATGGGACAGATGGGCGTTCTCAACGCCGCCGAAAAGCTCAAGGCGTGTATACAAGCCACTGCGCGTGCCTTTGGCCTTGGAGCCGACTGGATGAACAGTGATGCGGACGTTGCGCTCCCAATGGCGACCGAGTAAGTTCTATTTTATCGCCGCGTAATCTCATCTTTGATATCTTGCTGCTAGCCCATCAGGCAACCAGTACGACCCGATCTACACTGCTGCCATCCAGCCAAACAACGTTGACTTGCACACTATCTATCGGTCGTCGAACTCGATGCTGACACTCATAAGTGTCACTCCCTTCTGGGCTGTGTCTCTGAAGTTGGTGCGATACACACAGAATGACGCTGCAGATATCTGTTTGCTGTTGAGGTAAGCCGTTTGTGTCCAAATGGGATCTAGCGGAGTCCTACGCTATGCCTGGGTCTATTGTTGTTTTCTTTCGGTGATCCATGTGATGGGAGCAGGGGGGCTTCTCGAGCGCCAGCGTTTGGTCTAAAGATGGCTACAACTCCGCTTCGACGGCCTTTGATCTTTCCCTGTATGCTAACTCCCGTTCCTACAGAAACGGAACAATCTTATCAGGAGCCCAATGGACCCCTGAGGTTTTACAAAATTGGCTTTTATCCAACTGTTGGTCCATGGGCTACGCCAACTACGACGCACAGAAAAAGCTCGAAATGAATACAAGAATCAATCACTCGATCCAGCTCATTTCAGGTTGGAATGCCACGTTCAACCACCTTCCGCAAACGAAGGTCAGTGCCCATGCTGCAATGGGTGGCGGCGACGTTATCGGCGGAGAGCACAACAAACATAGCTGGGGTTCCTTTGCCGTGGCCGGGCCGGGTTTGACCCAGATGCAGAACCAGCCACCGAAGAGCCATACCCCGAATATCCGTGATTGGTTAACGGCGGACCCTGAGCCAAAACGCCGCAGTGCAAGCAGGGGGCGTCCAAGCCCACCGCAAAGCACTGAGATCTTCATCCCTCCCGTGTTTGACGGTCACCAGCCGAGCCAGGCTCCCTTTCCCATGCCTTTGGCCCACAGCCGTGGAGCAAGCCCAATTCCTCCAGTCGAGGAGAGATGGTCGTCGTGGCACCAACCTTCCCAATCACGTATTCACCAGATTGAAGAATTTGACAAGTCGTTGGGCTCGATGTTGTATGAAGGACGCAACGTGCGTAATTCAAGAACAGGGTTTATCCCTCCCGGTGCGGATCAGGAAACCGCTCCTCCGTCTTTGAATCGCAAGAAAGAAAAGAAGAAAAAAGATAAAGCGCGCGATAGGGATCGACAATCCAAGTGGCTCCGAGAGCCTGCGAATGAAACCGATACGTCAAGCGACGATGAGGTATCTCATCGACAACGGCCAACTGGTCACCAATCCTTCCACATCTATGCCCCACCCAGTCAACTTTCAGTACCAAGCCTCGAGGTCCCTACACGCACCCGTTCTCGGGCTCACTCAGAAACCCGACCTGCTTCATCTCAGGAACGTCGTCGTCCCACACCTTTACCCATTGGAGAGTCTCTGAAGCCAATACCCCCTACGATATTTATACCACCTGGTGGCTCTTTCCCGCCTACGTTCCAGCCACAGGTATACCAACCTACACAGGGACAAGCACCGCAGCTACAGCGGATGGCTCGTCCTCAGCATCTACAGCACCATGCGGAACCGCATGTGCAGCAAGCGCCCGTACCACATACCCAACGTCTCGCTCGCCCTCAACATTTACAGTATTCTCAGCAGCATCATCCATCTCACTCTCAACTTGTACAAGCGCCCGCTCATCGTCATTCAACCTAATAATTCTTTTGGTCTACTTACATAGACAGACAAACTTCAAGCAAACGGACGGCACAAACCAACTCCAACTCCAACCTATTCTCAATGTATTCCAACGCTCAATCTTCCCAACGTCCGATGTATGACCACCTTTGTTTCGACACATAATTTATGTATGCAATTTCCCCTCACTCAGCCTTTTCGCCCTCCGCGTAATGGGAAGAAATAACTCTTGTTCTCTTGGCCTCGTATCCACTTTCTTGTACCCCTGGTTCGTTCTTCGTTCTTCGCACATAACCCTATTCCCTGGTGGCATAGAATCCCTTGGCAAAGCACTTCCTATGCACGTACAGTACGTTCGTAGAACGATAATTATTAATAAAATTGAACTGCCTCTATATCCATCCCATAATGCAAATCCACTACCATTTGCTAAGCAAGAGCAGAGCTCCTTGCAATACTCAGAGTCATCTTTGCTCGTCCACCACAATCTGCTGGTCATCGGGCCACTCTAGACGGCACTCATGGTATTCATTCTACCGTCACGCCCTCATATCCTCATCCTTCTCAACCGTTATCCCAAAAAGTGGCCACATAGAGGCAACGTTCAGGTCTGCGTTATCGCCAACCATCGTTCCTACTTTGTCGCCTATCTGGTATACGAATTTGTTCTATTCGCATAGCCCTCGTGAGCACGGCTTTCCGAAATGAAAGAAAAGAGGAACAAGAAAACACAGGGAAGAATAGGGGAAGAGAGAATCAGAATATAAAGACATACCAGACCAAGGGAGACTTTGATAGCTGGTGGTTTGGGTGTATAACGCTCTAGTTCTAGTATCTCCTTTGGCTCGGAGTTGATGAGTCGAATGATGTTCCGCGCAGCTACCTCCGTCTAAAACACACCCAGTCAACCAAAAAGTCCCTAACAATGAAAGAAGGAAGTACCTGAGCATAAGCGTTATGCCCCGCAGGGATCGCACCAAACGCGTCTGCTGCATCGCCAGTGACGAATATGTGTGGGTATGGGGTATGTTTTTCTAAGTCTACCGTTTCTTCGGGTACTACCACGTCTTTGGCTGGTGTGTTGTCGTTTGTTGAAATCCCGATCTTCAAGTTCCCCAACACTACTTCCAAATCGGATTTATCATTCTGAGGCTTTGAAGTTGAAGTTGTGGAAGGACGGGATAATTGCATGGTCTTCAACACCCTCGCGAGCTTATTATCCGGGTTTATAACGCCCGGGTCCATGGTTTGGAGCATTGACGTGTTGGGTACTTGCCCTGTGCATAGCAGCTACCGACATCAAGGTGTCAGAGAGGAGAGGAAAGGAAGGCGGGGAAAGAGACGAACCAACAAGTCCGCGGAAATTTCACGCCCTGTTACGGTACGGACGATCGTAGGTTTTGTTAAATCCGCTTCGGAGGGTATAGAGTCGAGGTCGAGGCGTTCGCCTAGTATGACGTCTACGTTTAGTTCATTCATGGACTTGATCACTATACATTTCGTCAGTGAGTTCCATATGGCCATGATGAAGCGTAATAAGAAGACATACCTTCTAAGTGCATCTCCATATCGAACCTCGGCAACACCTGTTTCCTAGAATGAAGGAGCGTGACTTGTTTGGAGGGGTACACCGATTTAATGTCCGTCGCGAATTCTGTATCTCATCGTCAATATCCAATATCCATAGTTCCGTGCACTTAACGGCGGAAACTTACGTATACCCAAAGCACCACCCCCGACGATGAGTACACTCGGCACCTCTTCGACTATTCTCTGCTTCTCCTTCATCCATTCAATACCTTCGACTTTGAGGCCGTTGTACTTTACCCCCGTTGGCGTCATTGGGTGTAGGACTCTGATCTTCCGCGCTTCATCAATAGAGGATATAGAGGATGAGGAGGAGCCCCATAAGTCGAGAGGCGTGGGCAGGTGCGAGCCGAGCGCGTATATCAGGTAGTCGAACGGGATAGTTTCCTTGGTGAGATCGTGGTGGGTTATGGAGATGCAACTTGGTCGGATGGAGGTGACGTGAGCTTGGAGGTTAATGTGCTTTGGGTTTGGGGGTTGGTCGCGAAAGACGTTGGTTAGTGGAATGACTTTGTTAGTTAGTAGTGTCAGTGGGGGTGTGGGGAAGAAAGAGGGTAAGAATGTACACGCTTTATATTCGTGCCCTGGAAGAACTGCGAATCTGGGCATGACGTATACATCTAAGAAGGTGAATGTCAGCTCGGTGTCGTTGCAGGACTTTTAGGTTGACAGACGATTCATGTGCCTAAATCACGCAAGCGGGTCAGTATGAAGCAATAAGGAGAAAGTGGAGAACCTACGAGTTCCTATCGATAAGTATCAATCTCCACTCTTTTGGAAGTTCAGCAGCCAGAAGTTGGGCTGCACGAGCACCTTGTACGCACATCTATATTTAGCTCGCGATCAGCAGACAGAGAAAATGAAGCTCACCTCCATAGGAGGCTCCAAGAACGATAACAGTTTTGGTTTCTTTGGTTGGTGCCGCGCCTCCGCCCATAGTTGTAGAGGATTTATGAGAGAGAAAGTGGGGGGGATAAATGGGAGGGTGAAAGTTCAATCTCGTCTTATCTGATAAGCCGATAGATCATGTGACTGGCGCGCTTACGCGCCTCTTCTGACCAAACTTGGTTAGGTTTTGTCGAGACGCTTGCGCATCGTTCAAGCAATGCCGGAACAATGAATAATGAATAACGAGATTCATAAATGACGAGGGCGTTGGAACTTGGGCATCACAATCCCCCGATATGATAATCTCGACTTTCAATTTCTGGGTGAGCATTGTGCTGCACGCCAATGGGTTTGGGTCCAACGATCTTGACTAACGTTGAGAAACGAGAGGGTTGCGAATTTAGGGAAAAGCGAGCATATAAACGTCTGATAAAGTGCGGGATGGAACGGTGATGTATCATGCATGATGGGTGGTACGTCTTGTTTCGAAGGCGGATTTATCACGAATTTGTGAATGAGAGCAGTTCAAGGTGAGTCTGGGGGCAGCGTCGCAGTATGAGATTTTTTCATAGATCGTCTTTGTCGAGGTCGTCGTTGGACATCTAGATGACGACAGTTGGGATATGAAGAAATAATGTACCTTGGCAACGAGTTCAATGCCAAGTAAAAGTCTGATTGGTTGTTGTGATGAAAAATCTCACGGATCCATCAGACGGTTGCAGTTCTGTTCCTCGCTACTCGCCTGCCTCGACTGTTGCTCTCTCCCCTTTGTCCCCCAAAGGTCCTTCCTCTCCGTCTTGTGGCCAATTCTCCCCGTCGTCTCCTCCATTCTTTTCCGACACCGCAGCTCTCGCGGCCACGCTCGTTTCTGCGTCTTTACGACTCTCTAATCAACTCCAAGGATCATCTGCTTCATCCTACTTCCCTTTTTTCTGTAACCTTTCCTCTTCTCTTACTTAAAAATGGCTATTTCGCACTTTCAACTCGTCCACAAGAACCACAAAAAGCCTCGTTCATCAGAGGTGGTGAAGCGTGCCGCGAGTGCATGTACGTCCTTTCTTCTGACTTGCAAGATTCTTATCTGACGACCACAACCCAGCATGCAGCACGGGTGGTTTTTACCTTGCCCCAAAGATGGGCGACACCATAAACTCTCTCACTCCCCTACCCATCACCTGGGACCCATCCTGCCTCAACAGCACCGACATAGACATCTACCTCATTTCTCCTGGTTCCGCCCTTCCACGCATCCACATCTGGACGGGCGTTGCCCTCAAACGCGGAACATACACCGCAACACTTATGCCAAGATGGTGGAACGCCACCAGCTCCCAGTCCCTCCAAATCTCCATCGTCCCAGCCGGCCAAGCTCCTTTCATGTCCCAAATCGCAGGAGGGCCTGTCTTCACTGCTACCTATACCACTCCTTCCACAGGCACACCAGCCTCTGCGGACGTTAACCAAATCGACTCGGGTGTTACACCTGTGAATGACGCAGCCAACGCGAAGAAAAAATCCATCTCAGGCAAAGCAGCTGCTGGTGTCCTCATCCCACTCTTGTTCATCTGCTTGTGCGTCGCTGCGTGGTTCAAGATGCAGCGCTCAAAGGGCAAAGAAAAACGAAAACGCTGGAGCGAGGCCGTCGACAAGCGCATGTCCACCATCTCAACCGACTGGAAATCCATCTCTGCAGCAGGCGCACAAGCCGCCATCAGAAATTCTATCGCTGTTTCTGGGACGGGGAGCCGTAACTCTGCTTTCTCCTTTGGCGCCATTCGTCCTTCTAGCCAGTTCATTGCCGAAGGGGAAGAAAATACAGCAGGGGTCGGGTCTACACGGAACATGTCGCAGATGCGCCCTGGAGTGGGTCTACGGAACCCTGCAGCTATGTCTTCTACGGAACGCGTGTCTCGCGTCTCCTTTGCGGCTGATACGCGTACTTCTCGCGTCTCGTTCGCCGCAGACCCCAGGCCGTCTGGTGAATCCCGCCGGACGAGGGCGTTCCATAGCGCGTATATTCCGCCTGTGCCTGCGTTGCCGACTGACGACGTGTCGGATGATGGGTCTGGCTCTCTGTCACCTAGACAGACGCAAGGCCCATTGACGCTCACTCCTGAGGACATTAGGGCGAGGATTAACGGAGGCAGATCGGTATCTCCCTCTTCGGCTGAGCAACCCAGAGACGAGAATCAGATGGACGAGGTTATGCCTGCGCTGAGCAGTAAGTTTTTCTTTTTATTTGTCCCCTCTCTCTTTTCCTTTCTGATTCCTTCTTCTAGTGATGCGTACAGGTGCAGACTCCTCCACAGGGGACGACGACTTCTTATTCTCCACTCCAGCAGCACCAACGCCCTCCCACCCCAAACCCACCGCCTCCTCTTCCTCCGCAGGCCTAACCAGCCCCGTCATGTCATCTATGCCCATGCAGCCCATGCCCGCATCCGTCATGTCCCCCGACGACATGTTGCGCGCATACGCAGAACGTAAGGCCGCAGGCGCCAACAAGGGAGGCTTTGGAGGGGGTATATCAACGGCGCAGATCAGTTATCCCGTTCCTGCTGCCAATACGAGTACTAGCAGCGGGAGTGGGGGGATGAGGACGTTGTTTAATGCGAGTGGCGTTGTGAGCCCTACGAATACGGGTAATGGTGGGTATGATGCGTATGCGGGAGGGGCGAGCTATGCGATTGGGGATGAGGGTGATGTGGGGCATGACCCGTATGGAGGGACTGTTTGAGTGAAATGAGTGAGTGGTGAGAGGCAGGCGTGTGGAGGTTTGGGTTATTTATTGCTGCCTCTCCCCCTCTTTCTTTCTCTTCTGGTCCCCTCTGTCCCGCTCCCTATTCTGGTCGTTCTCCACTGCGAACGGACGAACGAACGCCCCTCAATCGACACCCGCGACATCTCCCTCCTCTTGCTCCCTTTCTCTATGTTATACTACGAATGTGACATTATCCTCCGTGGACCCTTTGGTTCTCATAAATCCACCCCCCACCTGCCAATCAGTACCACCTACCTCTGCTTCTTCTCTTTTCTTGCCCACTTCTTGCCAGTGTTTTATTAATCATTATGACCCATTACACTCTACCACCCTATCTCTGCGCCTTTCCTTCCACCTACCTCCACCTCCTTCGACCTTTTTGCTACTAGGCGTAGCAAAGTTGGTCAGGTAACCATCGCCAGTCCTGCGCCTAGATTTTACCCCCATCCACCCACACACGCACTTCAGGAAGAACTCTCTTGACTTTTTTGACACTTTTTTTCTTTTGATTACGCGAACGCGAAATTGTACGCCTACCCTACATACTGTAGACACAAACATACCCCTCCCCCTCCTCCCCTGTTCACGTATGTTTTTTTTTTCTTCTTTTCTTTTCTTGGGGCCGTGAATTACTTATTCTTTTTTTTATTTTTTACTTTCTACTTTTGTGAGTTGCATTGCAGAAATATATTTGGTTGGTTGAAATTCGGTTCGATCTTTCAGACGTGAACCGAATTTGAATTTCTTGAGGAGGGTGGATGATGAACGCGTTGGCGCGTTGGCGTCAAAAGATTAACTTGATGCTCCCAGTCTCGAGCGTGAATTTCTCGCTGCCCACCATGTGGTCAAAGGCTACCATTTATCTTGCTTGCCCAAGGACGTGGCGACGCCTTCGTTGAAGCCGTTTCACGACGAGCTCGATATATGGTTTGAGCGAAGGCATCCAGACACCACGCACCATGGCCTACGAGTCCCTATGTTTAATTGCTTTCTGTTCATCCCATTTGTCAAAATCGACATGCTTGCGAATTGAGAATATGGGCCAAAGTGCTGGATGGTAGCCTACATGATACTGCCAACGTCCTTAGATAGCATTCCTTTTTTTTATTTTAAAGTTTACAGTTTCTTCAGCATTTGCTAGGTTCCCATTGCGAGTTGATTGCGAGAGCGTCGCAATCGTAGGCATGGCGAAGGCTTTTAGAGTAATTGCCATCGGGCCTACCTACGCTTTGCCATTAAGGAAATCAGAGCTCCATTCGAAATTAGTACTGATGAGGGCGTAATAAGTACCGTTAAAAGATTGTCTCCTTGATGCTGGAATCTGGCTGAGGTGAGAAAAATCATTGCAGTGCAGCAACAGAACCAGAAGTCCTCTATCGAGGATAAAACGATGGGCATAGACTTATTCAAATCACAGGTAAGGTGGTTTACACTGCATTGCAACAAGGCCGATTTGCGCAGAGAAATAAAGGACGAAGTGTTGGGACAAATCTATAAATCAAGTTGTTGCTGCAATGATAAGAGTGTACAGGAGATAATAAACGAAGTGGAGGCTACGGATGGTAACACTGCTTCCACTGAGGGCCAAGGGCTGAATGTGCGAAGTCAACAGAGGAACAAGAATAGCGTGGGATAGTAAGAATATTGGAAGCATCAGGAAGGTGCAACTCGGGGAGGGCATTCGTGCATTGGAAATTCCGGCGCCGTAATTACGGCGATCATTTACGGCGGCAGTTTCCGCCGTCATCACGCGTACTTACTATAATTAAAGTACGCGTCAATTCACTATTCCTCTTCACTCTTCTATTTCCTCGCGCTACGTGCGATACCTTGTCCTCAAGATACGCGATGCTGAGATATCCTGATGTCAACGGGAAGAACAAGTGTGGGACCTGCTACAGGGACATACTTGTTGAAGGGCCGTCAAAGACTGGGAAGAATATAGGGTGCTTTTACATCAAGGTACGCGCATATACATAGCCATCAGCCGCGTTCTCATCAGGTACACAGTGTTTTCGACGCCCATGCCAGTATTTTCACAGCTTTGCGCAAGGCGACGCCCCCACCAACTGGAGTCCAGCGCCTCAACCACCAATGCACAAGTCCAACAACAGCGGCGCACAGCGGACATGTTCTCGTGAACCTTGCAAGAAGGATGCCCACGGGAGCTGTGCAAACAAGGCATGCAAGTTCTGTTGCGTTGTCTTGGGAGGTTGTTCCATCAAGGGACACAATGAGGCCGCGCTCTCCCAAGCGCAGTTGTCCAAACTCGTCGCCTTCAAAGGATCTTCCTCACGCAACCCTCTTCCATCCCCCCCTTTGACGACACCACTCCGAAATGCGCCCTCCCATTTCCCACTGGATCCCCGACTCACCACCCAACCAGAGCGCTCATCCGAGGAGCTTGCCTGGCTTCGCTCTAAACCCGTGTCCGTGTCACCTATGCAGCAAGAGGAGGAATTGAATTTAAGGAAACAGCAGGAAGAAGCAGAACGTGAGGCAGAGCTCGAACGCTTGGAGGACGAGGATTACCGCAGGGCAGTGGCAGAGTCACTTTCCCTTCTTTCGTCAACATCTGCCGCCTTAAGTCCTCCCGCTTCTTCTCAGGTGCTTTCTCCTGCATCTGAAACCTCGACTTCCATCCTTGTTCAAGGGCTTCCTGTCACCCGCGTCAATGCCTCAAACTATCCCACCATCACCTCGCACCTGAGTGATGATTGGATGCGCCGTCATGAAGACCGTACAAAGGTCCCTCAAGCTATCCGCAAAGGCCAAGTTGATTCGGAGCTGATCAAGCGGTTCCGGGTTGTCTGGTGGTCAAAGGTGCGCATATAATCAGCTCATTTTACATATTTATTAATGCTCGTATTAGGCTGGCACGAAGCCGGTGACAATTCCCATCCCCAGCTCAGATATTCGTGACTGGCCGAAGTTTAGACTCGCCGACTCACCAGGTCTTCTTGAACGCCTTGGGGAAGGCGACATTGATTTTTATGACACGTTGACTTTCGAGTGGATCGAGTGCCCGATATTGTATGCGCACGCAGTCAAAACCGATGGCTATCTTCTCCTTCGCCATACTGGTATTGAGTGTGAAGACTTCGACACAAAGCTCGCCCTCGCTACCCGAAAGGGTGACTCTTCGTCTCGCTCCTACATTTCGAATGTCCGTGTTGCAATGAAAGCCAAGCGTAAAGGAAAGGGTCGGGCCTTGGAGTTGGATGATGGGGAATCCGAGGGAGAAGTGCAAATCATTTCAGATATCAGTACGTTGTTCGTTGCACCATTTCATGGTTCTATTCATAAATTCTTTTCAACCTGTACAGCTCGTAAGATCAAACAAGAGCCAGGTACTGAGCGTCCGCCATCCAAGCGGCTCAAGCTTTCCCCTCTTGTCATCCCCACTGCGCCTGGAGGCCTTTCCATTCATAGTCCTATCTCCATCCCTAGTTCTCCACAATCTCCTCCTATGACTACGACATCTACTTGTTCTACGGCTTCTTTCTTCCCATTTTCGGCGCTCTCCTCAGCGTCAGCGACGCCACCAGCAACACCACCTACACCTACAAGTTCTATCCCCCTTTCACCAGACACGCTTGCCACAGTCTCTGGTGTGCTCTCGCCACTCACCGGGCCACCACCCCAAATCCCTGGCTCGTCTCTCAAATGGCCGGCCAACATGTACGTCGTCGACATGGTCCATGGCTTTCGAAAAATGCATGAACTTCTCAAGGATGGTGGGGGTACATACCAACAACGTTTCTTAAAGGTTTTCGAACAGAATCCTCCAACATCAAGCACCTACCATGACCAGGTAAAACGGTGGAAGGATGCCCCGCCCAAATTACGCAAGGCTTTTCTTGATGCCGGACACACCAGTGTTGGACACTGGTCGCGTTTCGCAAAGGGTCTTCCATTGAAGTAGCTCCCCTATTTTGTAGCATCATTCGTTTTGTATTAGAGTAGCTTTGTATTGTTAGCTCCCCTCGCTCTCCCCGTTTTGTAGGATCATTTGTTTTATATTAGAGTAGCTTTGTATTCTTATGGTATTAGATACATGTAATTATAATTTTTCTTTTCGATGGTAATGACAGGATTACGAAGCTATCCCACACATGGTTCGTAGTGAGGGTATCACTAAGCCCCCACTCGTATGGTTGGAAATAGTCACCATCTGTCATTGTCGACTTGAATAGCCTGCTCGCGTTCGAAGCCGAGAACCTTATCCATCAATTTTTATAAGCTGCTTGATGAACATGCCTGAATACCAACTTACCACCCATAGAGCATCAACGCGCGCCAATGATTGGCCACCCGAGTCTCCACAAATTGGTGTTCTCCAACTTGTATCAATTTAGGAAGTCCAGGGTAGTACGTTCGCAGCCCTTTGCTAACGCTGTAGTTGTTGTGATAACTTGTATGACATTCTATAGTATTATACCATTCAGAACGACGCTTGATCATGCAGGGGTGATGACTTACTTGGACAGTAGAGTGATGTATTCCACGCAGGCTGAACCCCTGAGTCTATCGTGTACACGACGGCCTTTTTGTGATACTCCTTCTTAAGCGGTTGATTGTTTGGACAATTTATATTCATACAACAGTCGTCGGGCGGGTATATGGATATTGCGGCTACAACGTACTAGATAAGAAAACTGAGTCCATTTACAAATGAGTATCTACTCAACTCAATCCACATGGCCATCCAAATTGTTTGAACAAATGAAAGTCCGTTGATGAAAGCGGCACTACAGGTATCTCCCACACATAATCTTGCAAAATATCCCAACAATCATCAATGTCATCGGTGGACATTCCCAGAGAAGCTCCAAGAAAATTCATAATAGGCAGGGGCAGGACGGCGGGCGGAATTGATGGATTACTCTGTGGGATTGGTTGTGGTTGGAGGATATCGCGTTTGAGGTGGCTCGCAAGGCGTGTGAATGTCACAACGCCATCTAGGCTGAGGTGTCGAAGTACTGGGTGCTCCTTGAGCTTGTCGAGGGCGTTGGCGGCGGGTAGCATTGGCGGTATGTGATGCGGATGCAGCGTGCACTATACAGGGGTTTCAACGCATGGTGTGGCAGGTCACGTTTGTTACGGAAACTCCCGCCGTAAACGATCGCCGTTATGCGCGCCGTAACTTCCAATTCCCAAACTTACTGAACTCGGGGGACACAAACATGAGACGGTGTTGGCCATCAGGGGAGAGAAGCCACCCAGTATGATTTTCATGGTGATTGGAATCGGATATCGTCTCGTGGATGTAAAGAGATCCAAAATCCCAGACCCGTACAGAATTGTCGTTCGAGCCAGAGACAATCTGATTGCCATCTGGCGAAAATGCGACTGATGTGATCCAATCTGTATGGCCCTTCAACACCTTCAACTCATCACCTGTTGACGCATCCCAGACCCACACTGATTTGTTGTAAGAGCCAGAGACAATCTGTATGCCATCTGGTGAAAATGCGACCGATTTGACCAGATGTGTATGGCCCTTCAACACCTTCAACTTGTCGCCAGTTGATGCATCCCAGACCCACACTGATTTGTCATCCGAGCCAGAGACAATCTTTTTGCCATCTGGCGAAAATGCGACCGATTTGACCAGATGTGTATGGCCCTTCAACACCTTCAACTTGTCGCCAGTTGATGCATCCCAGACCCACACTGATTTGTCATCCGAGCCAGAGACAATCTTTTTGCCATCTGGCGAAAATGCGACCGATCTGACCAAATGTGTATGGCCCTTCAACACCTTCAACTTGTCGCCAGTTGATGCATCCCAGACCCACACTGATTTGTCATCCGAGCCAGAGACAATCTGTTTGCCATCTGGCGAAAATGCGACTGATCTGACCATATGTGTATGGCCCTTCAACACCTTCAACTTGTCGCCCTCGATGCATCCCAGACCCGCACTGATTTGTCGTCCGAGCCAGAGACAATCTGTTTGCCATCTGGCGAAAATGCGACTGATGTAACCAAATCTGTATGGCCCTTCAACACCTTCAACTCATCGCCCATTGACGCATCCCAGACCCGCACTGATTTGTCCTCCAAGCCAGAGACAATCTGTTTGCCATCTGGCGAAACTGCAACTGACCTCACCAACTGTATGGCCCTTCAATACCTTCAACTTGTCACCTGTTGATGCATCCCAGACCCGCACTGATTCATCGTAAGAGCCAGAGACAATCTGTTTGCTATCTGGTGAAAATGCGACCGATCTGACCAAATTTGTATGGCCCTCCAACACCTTCAACTCGTCGCCTGTCGACGCACCCCAGACCCGCACTGATCTGTCATTCGAGCCAGAGACAATCTGTTTGCCATCTGGCGAAAATGCGACTGATATGACCGAATCTGTATGGCCCTTCAACACCTTCAACTTGTCACCCGTTGACGCATCCCAGACCCGCACTGATTCATCGTTTGAGCCAGAGACAATCTGTTTGCCATCTGGCGAAAATGCGATCGATCTAACCAAATCTGTATGGCCCTTCAACACCTTCAACTCATCGCCCATTGACGCATCCCAGACCCGCACTGATTTGTCCTCCAAGCCAGAGACGATCTGTTTTCCACTCGGCGAAACTGCAACTGCCGTCACTGAACTATGCACGTTTAAAGTCATTAATAGTGTGCCGCCCAACGACGCGTTAATGAAACCCGGAATTCTTGGAAAGTGGGACTTCCAACGTCGACAAGGTTCCAAGTTCCGTGGCCAAGTTGCCAGTGCAGAGATGTAGAGATGCGGGGTTGACGACGATGCGCTGCTCGCACTAAAATATAATGCAAAAGATCCGGCTTCAGTTAGCTCTTCTGCTACTGACAAGCTGCCCTAAGTGACACAGTAAGTAAGCCACTGGATATTCAAACAACAAAAAACTCACTTTGGAACTTACAACCCAGTCATGCACTGTTCGAAGCATCGACCCGCAGACGCCGCGCAAACCTAGGAGGTTCATGGCCTCGATCCAGAATAGAGCACGAAGTTGCAGGAATTCCGATATGCTGTCATGCAGACCATCCGGGATGATCGATGCAGCAGCAGAGAGGTGGTAACTCCAGTTCCGGGAGGAATAGCTCAAGACAGGAGCGATGTTTTCTTTGACGGCGTCCGCAAGTATGGAGTTGTCTATATCAAGTACAAATGATGAAGGGATATTTGCTATGTTGAAGCGCAATCCGTCCTTCATGCACCTGAAGCAGGCATCGGCGAGAACCCGATGGTGCATCGCTTGATTGCACCCAAAGTTATCTGAGCGACCCTGATCGAGTATGAAGTCCGAAAAGGATTTGTGGTAAGTCAGGACTTGACCATGTTCGCCGCAGTAGAGCACGGCATGAAGATCTGAGAGGAGCTTTTCCGCGACATCGGTGTAGTCCGAAGTGAAGAGAAGGTTGGCAACAACAGAGGTTGATGTCCGCTCAGCGGTACACAGGAATGTGTGTAGGATGATGCGCCGGACTTCCCAACCATCCTCTTGTGGGCTGAAGTCGTGAAAAGCTTTGTCAAGGATTTGAGAATACAGCGTATTGAGCAATGTGAAAGGCCCACTGGCAGTTGACAACGATTGCAGTTTAGATGAGTTGGAAGAAGCTAGGAGCTTTGCCAAGAAGCTCTTCTGCTCTGAGTGCCCACGTCTTGTTAGGTACTTTACAATGGTGGCAGCATATATGAATAATCCGGCTGTCAGCGCTACAAGATTTTCAAACTCTTCGCACCCTGCGAAATGCGGGAGTTCAACCGTCAGGTATGTCCTGATATCGTCCTGCACTTCCTCCGGGGGCGCCTGCTCAAGGCGGTAACGTTGCTTGGACTTCAGAGAATCCACAAGCCCGACAAGGTTGGGGTCTGGCCGACTCGTGACAAAAAACTTGAGTCCTTGTAAGCGGTTTTCGTTTTTGTCAATAACCTCAATAAGAACCCGTAAAAACTCGGAACCACCTGTCCCGTCAATCTCGTCCAGGGCATCAATGACAATAAGGTAATGTGGGGGTGGGTTCAGTGGATCTGGGCACCAATTAGGTTTCGACGCCTGCCAGGGTGCAATGAGCAGGTCCTCAAGCTGGAAACGGACGTTCTGATTAACGATTTCAAAGTTCGCATCATTGAGTTGATCGGCGAATGCCCTGCATTTGAGCGCGAGGTGATGCACGACTGTACGAATGATACATTTAGAGAGCCGAGTCTCCTTGAACTGCCGCGAGCAGAAGAAGTTTCCTCCCAAGATAATCGTGTCGTTGGGATCGCCAGCGAACTCGAAACGGCGAGCAATACTATAGGCGATCGTACTCTTTCCTGATCCAGCCTGACCAGAGAGCCAGTAGACATTTGGGCTTCCTGGTGAGGTATTCTTAGCCCAAGTAATGATATCGTTGAGTATACGGACGCGGGTTCCTGGCGTGCATACCTCACGCCGCACGCGCTGCTCTTCTTCACCCTCTAAATGGTATTTGTGGTCGGCAATGCTCGAAGGTTTGAGACCATTCAACAAGAATTTCTGTCAGATCCGTGAGCCATGAGATGCCTGAAAAAAGCGATATGCGAACTCTGAACGCTTTCTCCATGTCATACACACTCTTAAAGACTCTGATATTGATCGCCAGCTATTGGAGTACATAGACGCGAAATTTGAGACGAGGGATGCGAAAAGGAAGAGGCGGCACACACCTCGAACTGGACTCTAGACTCATTAATGCGCTCGAAAATTTCCGTGATACGCCCTTTCTCTTCCTCATGGTCCGCGACCTTCCTGACGAGCCACTCTTCGCTCAACTGGATCAATTTATCCAATTCTTCTTTAAGGGCACTAAATTATCATATGGTTGTCAACCCAACATCAATAGGAAAACAACAAACTTTACTTTATGAACAAGTCTGTAAATTGGCTTTCTTGAGCAGTCTTCGGTGTCCAACCATCCAATTCCTTCTCCACCGTCTCCAGCTGAGCTCGCGTCGAATTTAGCCTTCGTTTGACGGCATCCATATTGTCTGCCACAGCCTGGGACGATAGTCAGGGGATTAGCAGTGTGAAGAACGACGCCGAACCTGTTGGACCTCGATGATCAGCTTCACAAATCCAAGAGCTGTTTTGACTGGGTTTGGGTCTGCGATGTCTGGCGGCCTCTTTGCGAGTGTCAGGATGGACCTTCCTGTCAACTTTAGGATATCTTTTGTACTTGACCCAAGCTTCGGCGCTGTCTGACGATTCTCTGGGGGGTTACTGGCCAGTCCTTAAGGAAGGTTACGGAATGTAAATACCCAATCGATATAATATGTGACTGCCTTCTCACCATGAGATTGATTGAGAGATGCGGTTGTGAGCGTGGTTTGCTGGGCTGGAGATGCCAATCAGCCTGAAAATCGAGATAACTCAGACAATAAATGACCTTGTAGTACTGAAAAAATAGCTGGCGTTTGCGTCTCAGGTAACGGCGCTAATGGATGACCTAGGATTGTGGTGAGTACGCCATCTGCGAGGTGATAATACGACGCCTACCACTTGGAGTGGTAACAATAGATGATTCTACATTGAGTTTAGAAAGAAGTACGAACAGTTAGATGATAGCATGCTCACCCAAAGCAGAATCCACTGTTGAAGAGCCCAACGGGGGCGACGATGTTGATTGAGTGAGTCTCGTGCTTCGGATAACGGCCGTCCAAGGATGTTGAACCTACTGGAGGACTTGGACAGTTTGGAACTCTGTGAATTATCCTTTGGCATGGTGATCGGGGAAGGAGTCAACAAGCGTTGAAGGTTGAGCGCTGTTCCCTCGGCGTACATGCGGCATTTTGGTGGTCAATCACAGACATCCGGAAAATGGCCGATGTTCATTGGTGAATGATAGCAAAAGGTGAGTCTGAGGAGAGTGTCGCAGTCCAATATTTTGTCGAGGTAGTCGTTCGAGATGACGGTGACCAACATGATATAAATGACGAGTCAAGCGTGGTTTTCCTTCCTCTCTGCCCATTATCCCCGTCGACTCCTCCATTCTTTTCCCTTCTCGACACCGCAGCTCTCGCAGCCACGCAGATTTCTGCTTCTTTATTGATAAGACTCTCACCAACTTCGAGAACATCTGCTTCGTCCTACTTACTTTTTTTTGTAATCTTTCTTTGTGTCTTTTCCATTTCAAAATGGGATAAATCTAATCAGAAACCCCCTTTCCGCCAGAAACCCAGGGGTCTCTCGTCGTCGGTTTGAAACCCCCCCTCCATCCTCTGTCAAATGTTGTTTGGCTATGTTTTTAGAAACCTACGTCGGAGATTGTTTGAGTACTTGCCGAGCACCTGCCGTCTGCACAACAGTAACAACATTGCCTCGTATCACCCCAGGCTCCTAAAAGCAGCCGCTCGTCTCGCAAGGTTTTCGTACTCAGGAGGAGAACTATATTTGTGATCGTTATATAATCTGATGGGAAAGACCAAATAAACAAACCTAAGAACTCAAACTCGCGAGAGAGCGGCTGCCGGGAAAGTCAGTCGGGGAACTCGGAGATCATTGATTAACCCTAACGTTGGGTCCCAAGTCAGCACCATGGGAAGGTGCGTCACATTTCTGTCACCAACACTGTTTTGGAAAAAATCCCCTATCCGGAACCGCATCGGTGTCGAGAATAGTGTCGAGGTCCTCGATAATGGACAGCGTGACGGGATGGTCTGCAAAAATGTTTGACGAAAGAAGTACGTGAAGAAATTGGTGGGCAGTGACTAGTGATGTCTGAATCCTCAAAGGCATTCAAGATAGATTTCACTTCGTTGAGGTATTGTAGTTTCGACATTGGGTAGTTAGATACTATCTTTTTGTAATGATGGAAGCAAGGATGGAAGGTTGTACTTATATAGTTTTGAACTGACACGACATCGGTAAAATGTCCACGTTGGAGACTGGGCATGACAAGCATATTATTGTATCCTACTGCGGCACAGTTCTGCACTTGTCCTACGTGTTTTCGTCCTACGTGTTCCGTAGCCTCTCCTCTAATGCCAGACGTAGTATTTGTCAATGTTGGGTTGGAGCCCCAAGTCCAAACCGGACCATTGTCACGCAAGCCCAGAAAGGCCTTGGGGTTGGGACCCAATGTTAGGGTTAATCAATGGTCTCGGAGTTTCCCGACTGACTTTCCCGGCAGCCGCTCTATCGCGAGCTCGAGTCCTTAGTTTTGTTTATTTGTTCAGTCCCATCAATGATCACATCATAGGATTTGTCATACCGCTAATAGTATGTAGAGGCTCATCGAGCGATACGAGTGGCTGCTTTTAGGAGCCTGGTATCACCCCTCAACGCTTCAAGTCCATCCTTCCGTTGTGTACGCAATGACCATGTAACCTCAATTATAATACCCACCGCTGGGGTCCTCTCCACTGACGGCCTCGTGTGGCCTCGTAGAGGACGCAGGCCATCAGTTGATGCTTGCCATGCACATCAGAGTCATGGTGCAGCCTGAACACAGAAGGCCGTGCCTCTTGCCTGTGTAGTCAGTGCATTCCAATTAAGACCACATAGGGTGACAGCCGCCCTATGTGGAGGAGACGAAATGCGGGTATGTTGCCAGGAAGGCCACACACGCTCAGCGGCCAGCCTGCCCACTAGTCCCTCGCTCTTGGCATTTCAGAGTACAGCACATACCTGTAATTATAATTATCATAGGCAAATAATACACGCTCTCAGCTTGAGCACCAGTCGGGTGATGTGCTGCTACATACAAATTCACTCCCGTTTCGGCAGTGAGTGAGCCGCGCGTCGGACATCAAATATCTTGATTGTGGGCTATTGACAACACCCCAGGTTTCTGCCCAACCAATTCAGAAACCACAGGGTTTCACGTGGAAAGGAGGGTTTCTGGATAGATTTATCCGCCGCAAGCAGTCAATTGACGCCACATCCGGAAAGCTGCTCGATGCTCTACCGCTCACTAGCCAGGACCTGGCCTAAGGCGTTTCAAAAATGTTAATATCGACCAAAGGTGAGCTATAACTTTAGCTGCATACAACCCAAATCTTCTCTTTGCGCCATGACGCTCGATGGCAACTCGATGGACAATCGTCTGAGACGTAGATGTTGATGTGCTGGAAGGCAAGCTGAAAGTTTAGCTGCACAATGGAATAGACCATTATACTTACATCGTCTCTGCAGGCAATTTCCCGGGACGGTTTCGTGGTGAACAAATCGTTGGGGCACTCTGTCGATCGATCGAAGGTAGGTAACTTTAGCGGATCAATCTACTCAGAAACCCCCTTTCCGGCAGAAACCCTAGGATTTCTCATGGTCAGGTAGAACCCCCCCATTACTAACTGAAAGAAGTATTTATAGAAACCCTACGTCGGAGATGATGGAAAAATCGGACTTTAAATTTCAGGTATGACATAATCGAGTTCAAGCGACGCGTCATGGTCTTCCAACTCAATAGAGGAGATATATGGAAAAGAGTCACATGCAAACCTTGGACCATTCGGGAGGGATCTAGCCACTTGATGAGACAATTATTGCGAGGGTTTTTGCCATAGTCAAGGGCAGTGGATGGGATCAATGAGTTGCACTGTACACTCCCAAAGGGATGTCGGAACCGATCGGACCTCAAATATTTTGACCATCGGCAATCAGTGATTTGCTTGTGGTTCCCAGGTTTCTGAAGTGGTTGGATAGAAACCTTAGGGTTTCACGCGGAAAGGGGGGTTTCTGGATAGTTTAATCCAACTTTAGCTGCATTATCAGCACGGACCGTTTCATTATCCTTTCTGTAGGTTATGGCATGATGTATGACCCCCGATGTTTACCGACCCTAGATGGTTTCGAAATGTCGTGCTCAACAGGTCGTTGAATGAGTGGAGCTTTCAACACCGTTTGGAGGCGGCCTGTACCTTCGTCCGAGGGAGGAACAGATCATTTGCAGGTTACCGTATGACGCCCCATGTCCACGCGCCCAAGATAGTTCCGGAATATCGTGTGCAACGAACTGTTTGAGCGAATCGAGCCATTGATGTCGATTATGGGTAAGTGTAACTTTTAGCTGTATAACGGAACGGACCATCTCACATTCTCTCTGCAGTTTGACACATGATGCGTGACAGCCGATGTCGACGTGCGCCGACCTAAAACTAGACCCGAACCCAACGCCTTGTTAGCAAATCGCGATGTAATATTTTCATGCATTTCGGTCGTTCTGTTTCGGGCAGGTGCGTTGAGGCTAGCCCAAGACGCTTTCGGAGGTTCGCATTCAAAAGAAACGTTGAAGCAAGAAAGGTTGTTGACGAACACCATTGACGAACTGTGAGTCGTAAATTAAGCTGTATAACGGAAACGGACAATCTTACGTTCTTCCTCTTTGTAGGTTGCGGGCATGATGCATGACGTTCGCCTTCAGTTTTTCGTGTTCAATAGCTCATTCGAGCAAGTTCTCGATGCCAGTTGAAGGTAAACCACTCGAAATTTTGCTCTTTAGTTGCTAACGGAACGGACCATCACATTTTTTTTCTGTAGATCGCGACATTATGCAAGCCACCCAATGGACAATGGTCCAAGCCTGTGTTGGAGTTTCTTGTTGATATCGTCCGGCGAAGACAGGTTGCAACCTCAGCTGCGTGATGGCATGGAGCATTTCACGTCTTTTTTGCAGATTTGAGATATGATGCATGACCTGCAATTGTCCCTGGACGGCTTTACTTCGTCTCAGAAAGGTTGCAATTTTAGCTACGCAACGGCATAGACTATCTCGGCATGAGCCATTTTACACCTTCCTGCAGATCGAGACATGATACTTACACCTGATATTCACTGGCAGGTTTTCATATCAGAGCGTGCAATTCGCCTGAGCACACTGAATTTTCCTCGACGCCGAGGAAATCAATCAACTTTCCTTGTATCCCCGAATGCCCTTTATGAATGACGTCCCTCTGCCACGACGGTCTTCCTTCCTTTTTCTGTCCAACGAGTTCAAACTTTTGTCAGTGTACTGAAAGCAGTTTCGGATTCCCGATGCGATGGTCCGTATTTCTGCCGTCTCTTGATCACTATGTGCCTGCAACGGCCAACTTGCCGGCAACATATCGAAAACTTTGCAGCGTCCTTTCCTGGGTAGTATGTACTATGGATCTCCATCCCTGCGCAGAACTGGGATACTATGACGTCATTGACAGTATTCTATTGCCATCACTGTGTCGGGCGTTTTTATCACCTGGAACGGAATCTCTTTGGAGAGAGGCAATGCAACTTGGACTCTCTGTCTACGCTCGACCATTTTACTAGTCTCACCTTTCTTCATGCGGATGTTTCTACGGCTAGACTTTACCCAGTCAATCACCTCACTCATGAGCACTAGTCAAATTTGCGCATGTCAGTTTTACAGAACGGATCTGGTGACCCGTATTTGCCAGCTTTTATTCGCGCATTATCTTGACAGCGACGCTCTACAGCAGCCAGGCGCTCTGACAGCCTTGTCATGCCCATCCCGAAATTAACGAGTCTGGCACACCTTTCATATCCGTATGCAAGCTTGCCTGTTGTCGATGAGGAAACACATATCCTGTCTTTTGGATCCGAATTCCCTGCCGTTCCTCGCCCTCCAATGCATCCTGTTGCTGTAAGGTTTGACGCGTCTGGTCGTACCTCACGGATTTCGGACAAATTAGGCCTTGACCCGCCTTAACTCCCCTCCACTGTCTACCCGTGGAACCAACTTATCGATTCGAATGATTGAGTGATATGAATTCCTGCCAGCCGCTGCATGTTACCGAATTTCCTGTAATGTGAAAGCCAACTATATCACAAGCATAGCGTGTACTCCTCAATGTCCAGACTCCACCTCCGCCTCCACTCAAACCCCTTGTTCGTTTGGGGAATCTTACCAAACTCGTGTTATCGGGGTATCCTCGTCGTGTTACTTCGATCGTCACTAGTGGTTTTCAGCTTCGGAGAGTTGCGTTCATACCCACGGATAGGTTTGGCCACCCCAGTTTCGACCCAATACATCTCTTCTGAACCCATGACCTCCTGCGTCATACAAGATCTAGATGTGAGCACTGAAAAGATGCAAAGGTTAACCAACACCGGTCTCGGTCTCGGTGCCGCCATCTGTATTGGCATTAACATCTTTTCACGGGAACGAGTACACGACTTGCCCCCAAGCTCTTGGCTCGCTTTGAACGCTCAGAAATGAGACCTCATGACCATCCCGCTGACAGGCACCTGTCAATAACCCATTACTGGTGTCCTTTCATTCTGTGACAAGCTGTAGAAATGATGTTCACCTGGGAAGTAAACCGGCATACTTCCAACAACAGGCGCCTACAAGTGCCGCCTGCCTCAACAAGTCAAGGTGCTCTCAAAATCGGTCCAAGTCATTGGAAATAGAAGGTGGTCGTCCGACAACCCACCCGCACCCTTCAATTCATACTAGTACACGATAAGATCCATAATAAACATACAAGATCCAGTAATTTGCACTTCTTCCCTCCTTCCCTCCCCACTACGGGCTCTCAATGAAAATTCGCTTTGTTTCCTTGCTTCTTCGTCACGAATACGATCTTGAAAAAAACCAATGCGAAATAGAACTGAACCTCCTACTCCTGTCCGATAAAGTGAAGCATGATACATATGGCAAGTGCATGTTTTGTCGAGCCTATAGGTAGCTCAAGAAACCGCGGCTGTGATGATGGCTTGACGATCTCCTGTGATGCCGCCTCCGTGGCGAGGAGAGGATGACTGTTGGGGCACCGCCGTAGTACGGCTGCTGGTACCCGTAGGCCGGGGCCTGGTACACGATCGGGCTGGCTGTCTGTGGGTACGCGTGCATTGGCATCGGTGGTGGGTAATAGTGCTGTTGGGGCATCATGGCCGACATGGGTGGTGCATGGTAGGGTCTTGGGGCATGATGATAACCGCCGCCATAGGCGGACCCTCCGTATGAGGACCCGTAAGATGAGCCACCGGGGAGGATAACGCTGCCTGCGGAGCTTGGGTAGAACATGATTGTTGATGTAGAAGAAGATGGGGGGTTGTTGGTAAAGGTAGGTTTGGAACGTGAATCAAGTTCAAAAGAAGTCTGGATGGGTGAGAGCAAGCGGTGTGGTGAGCAGCGTTGAGTGGGTTTGTTGAAGAGGTCGTGAAAGGTAGTCGTGAACAAAAAAAGTCGTGAGGTGAATGTGTTAGGGGAGGTTCAAACAGGCCAGCCTAATGAGAAACTGAAGGGAAGAACCTTGGGTGGGCGGGTTTATATGTGATTTAGCCAGGTCTCCTGACGACCGGATGCAGTGCGTGGAAACGATCAGAAACAGACACGGAGGCAAAGGCTGTAACGTCCGCGAAGCTGATCGTAGTAAAAAGTACGTACAGCCTCATGTTGTTGCTTCAGCGCTAATTTTGTATCAGCTGCGAGTCGAAAGCCGTGCGCGTGAAGCTTTGAAGTCGCCCGACTATGACAGCGTTTAATTTTGCTCAGTCAGCTTTCAACGATTCATCGCTCCTAGTCAAACTCGCATACGATCTCTGATAAGTATCTGATGGAGATGACATCAAATCTGCATGCAGACTTGTCACTGATGAAGGAGATTAGTTAATGATTGGCAGATAGGTCTTGCGACTTTTATGGGGACGACGTGAATAGAAACGTATCGCCTCCGTCATGCAATAAACCATTCTTTACTTTTGTCACTAATCAACAGTTGTCAGAGATTGATGGTAGACCTTATAGATAAAACAAGAACATGGCTTCTCATTTGTGATACTACGCACCCCTATGCATCTTCCGCCCGGCGAGAAATATCCGTGGTTCATGTTCTTCCTGATACTAGCATGTCCACTCCTCGAGAGTGGACAGGAGGTCTCAATGGTCAAGATTTCAAAACGCTCTGGCGCTACTAGTTCCATCTAAAAAAGGTGAGTGGCTACAAACGGAAATACCACACTCTATGCAATTTACTAGGTGGATGCGTCACAAATCCTGCGGCGTCCGTCCTGAAAAGAGCCCCTCTCATGATCAAGTTGACCCCAGGTATGATGCGGTTTCCTGTGTAAGTGTATATGTATACGAAGGAATGCGATTGTTTATGCTGTGGAAAACGAGGTAGAATTTACACCCAGATCGGGCGCGTGGTGCCCGAGGTATAGCATTGGCGAGGCCGGCGTCATAAAGTTTGGAAATCGAGGCAGTCCTAGACGGCGCAGCGGCGGGGAACCGGGGGCCTCGGACCAATGGCGGCCGTAGAGTGGTGGCACCTCCGATTTAGCAGTGTAGGGAGTGGATGTCCTTCCGGGAGGAGTCCTTCAAAACGCGTTGAGGCTTGCCGCTGCGCTGCAAGTGCATCAGATCACGGATAAGTCACGTGCGTACTTAGGGCAGGTGAAAACGTGGATAGGCTGACCCGCTGAGTTTGAAAAAAAAACAACGAGAGATTGGCCATGATCGTGGCTGGACTCCTCTAATAAAATGACCTCAATCTCACCTGCGTCATCCTCTCCCGCTCCTTTCGACTTTGAGCCCACCATGTCTTCTCCAGGCGCCGCAACCAGCACAGCTGCATCGTCGCCTCCACCAAATGCGTTATCGGAATTTAGCTGCGCCAGCAGCGATGTTGCGGTCAGCTTTTTTTTCATTAAAAATCCCTCCTGGGCTTACATGACGCGTCGCAGGATACGGATTTTGACGTACCAGAGGCTAGTGCTTCCGTTGATGTAGAGCCTGAGGTGGAAGACACGGTACGCGTATACCAGACGCGTTTTATGTGGTTTAGCTTTCTAACTTTGACCAGGAATCACAACGGCGCCTAGCTAGGCTCCAGTTCGTTCTTAACAAGTCTGCCGTGTATTCAAGCATCCTTAAGGAACGCATGGACGAGGACAAAGCACGCCAACTGGCTGCGCACCAAGCTCAACGTCAGAAAACCGGTCAGAAACGAGGTCGTGGCGCTGCTAGTGGGAGGGGTAATGGGAAGAAGAAAAAGGGTCTTGACGGAGAAGCTATTCCTGTGGATGTAGAAGGACACGAAGATGACGAGCCGGCTGTGTTCTCACAACCATCCTTAATCACTGGCGCGAAGCTGAAGTCTTACCAACTCGAAGGACTGCAGTGGATGGTCTCTCTCGACCAAAATGGAATCTCTGGTATCTTGGGTCCGTCCACCTTTCTTCCCTCTGACTGTGCGTTCCTCAAAAAAAGTTTTCAGCGGACGAGATGGGTCTTGGGAAGACCCTCCAAACGATCGCATTTAGTGCATACCTTCGAGAGCACCACAATTCCAAGCCATTCCTCGTCGTCTGCCCACTTAGTGTCCTCCACAACTGGGTTGACGAATACGCAAAATTTGCTCCCGACGTGACTACCTTCTCCACTCCTTTTCACACCATCTCCTGATTCCCTTGCTCCCTTAGATACCCGTATGCATGTATCACGGCACACCAGCTGAACGCGCCGAGCTCAGAAAGACGGTCATGGCCCTTCCTGGTTCCAAGCCACCACAACCGAAGAAGACAAGTCGGGGTAAGGCTCCAGCCAAAGGCAAATCAAAATCTGTTGCGAAGAGGCGTCGTAGTGAACCCATGCCGTCGACCTCGGCTCCACCTAGACGGCGTGGTCGACCTAGGAAATCTGTCATCGTCGTAGAAGATTCCGATGAAGAAGAAGCAGAAGAAGAGGAGGAAGTCGATTCCCAATCCAGAACAAAGGACCAAGACGTCGAGGACCCCTTTGCCTCCTTCCCTATCGTATTGACAACGTACGAAATAATCATCAAAGACCGGAAACACCTCGTGCACTATAATTGGGGCTACATCGTCGTGGATGAGGGCCATAGATTGAAGAACCTAAATTGCAAGCTTATGAAGGAGATTAAGCAGTATAAGAGCGCTGGGAGGATGATTTTGACGGGGACGCCGTTACATGTGAGTTGGTGGCTGTACTCCGTTTTGGGGTTTCAGGGTGCTGATAAAAAGGCCATAGAACAACCTAGCGGAACTGTGGTCGTTGCTAAACTTTATTCTTCCTGATATTTTTGATGACATTGATTCTTTCCAAGAATGGTTTGTTGTCCTCGTCATGGTTTCAGCTCGTTCTCCCTATTAATAACCCTTTTGCGTGTTCGTAGGTTCAACCTCCCCGAGTTACAATCCGCGCTACCCACAAATCAATCCTCGCAGATCATTTCTTCTCTCCATGCCATCTTGAAACCATTCCTACTCCGCCGATTAAAAGTGGACGTGGAAACGAACCTTCCACCCAAGAAGGAGTACGTCCTGTACGCGCCGCTGAGTATGCGTCAGCGTGAGGCGTACGATCGGGTACTTAGTGGTGGACTGAGGAGGTGGTTGATCCACGGCGGGACGGGGGGCGTGGAGGTTTCTAAAGAGGAAGATTCTGTTGAGGTTGAAGAAGAGGAAGGGGAAGACGATACTCAAGCAGAGAATCGGACGATGAAGAGGCGGAAGACGGGTAAGAAGACCTACGACATTGATGGCGATGACGACGAATACTTTGATATGCTCGAGAAAGGCGAGATAGACCAGTGGGGCGTTAAGCAGAAAGTCAGCAAGGAGGAAGAAGAGGCGGAGGAAGCGAGGATAGGGAGGGAGCATCAGCAGCGTGCTAGAGGTTTGTCTTTTTACTACTACTCGCTGCGAGTCAATATTTATCACCGTCATCAGTCCTGAAGGTGAACAACATGAAACTTCAAAACGCAGTGATGCAGCTGCGGAAAGTGTGTTCCCACCCATTCCTGTTCGACTGGCCTGTCGATCCGGATACGATGATGCCTATACTTGGTGAAGAGTTGGTCAACGCAAGTGGGAAGATGATGGTGTTGGACCGACTCCTTAGGGAACTGTTCAGGCGGAAACATAAAGTGTTGCTGTTCAGCCAGTTCACGACGATGTTGAACATCATTGAGGTCAGTTCATTCCTTCCTTTCTACATTCTTCCTTCATCATCTCATCAGTGGACATACATAGGACTGGGCCACTGATTACATGGGCTGGAACATCTGCCGCATCGATGGGTCCTCTAAACCAATGGAACGTCGCGAGGCGATGAACAGGTTCCAAAATGGCGGAGACGACCCCGACGCTCCGTCCCTCTTCCTCCTAAGCACGCGGGCGGGTGGACTGGGTATTAACTTGGTTGCGGCTGATACGGTTATTTTTTATGACCAGGATTGGGTATGTATTTCCTTGATTGGGGAGAAGTGTGTGCATGAACACTGAACTGGGTCTACTACAGAACCCACAGATGGACGCACAGGCGCAAGATAGGGCGCATAGGATTGGACAGACGAAGCCTGTGCTCATCTTTCGGCTGGTGAGCGCGCATACGATCGAGACGAAGATCATGCAACGCGCCACGGAGAAGAGGAAGTTGGAGGCACTCGTCATTGCTAAGGGTAAGGTTTTATCTTATTATCCTCGTAAGTGACTAATTACAAGACATCCTTACCAGGCAAATTCAAGATGCCAGCGGCAGCAGCCAGCACGAAACGCGAGACGATTGCGGAGATGGCTGCGTCCCTGCTCAAGCTCGAGGGAGAGAAAATCGAAGTGGTGCCCAATACCAAAGAAGGGAAGAGGGGGGTCTTGAGCGATGAGGATCTCGATATCCTTCTGGACCGCAGCCCGGAGGTGTTTGCTGAGCGTGGTGAGGGGTGGTCGTCGAGGAGTGCTGCTGTTGGGAAGAGGAAGGTGCAGGACGTGGCGCAGGATGCGGGCAAGAAGGCGGCGTTTGCGGTGTATGAGGCGCCTGTTGAGGAGGGGAATGATGCGCTTGCGAAGATGATGGGTGAGGATGTGGATGATTTGTGAGGGCCCGTCTGGATTGTTGTGTTAGGATACCCATCTTGAGGCTTAAAATCTTGAAGCTTGAAGTACTGTAATTGATACTATTCGTAGATTATTTGTTATAACTCGTTGCTTTGTAGATACTTCGCTTGCTGCTTCTTGCCAGCCTTTGTGCAATTGTAAAAGTCAAGGAAGTGACCACATACTCTAACAGGGAGAGGCCCATATATTATCGATTGTTCACCACATGTTTTCGTTATGGCCTTGGTTGATAGTGGTAGTCGAGAACAAACCTGAAGGTCCATTCAAGATTAGGCGTCTCTTGCCAATCTCTAGCTTGAAGTACTGTAAATGATATTAGATTATCTGTTGCTTGTAGATACTTCGCTTGGAATTCGGACATGCATCTTACAATTAAACCAGAGAACCTAGGGCTTTAGCATATTCTGACGTCTCAGTTGCTTTCTATGTAAAATACTGGAACATCGGCATTACGCGATCACCCATTGTACCATCTAACACACAAACAGAATTGTCCTAATTCATGACTCGCCGATCGACCTTGACCATAGACTGTCTTCCGGTATCCCTAGAACATACTGTTCAATTTTTTTGGCCCATTGATGTGTTTCGTTGTCGTCAATGAAAGGTTGTTCTGTAAAGCTTGGAGCGATGTGTTCCGGCACCACAAATAAAAGAAACCAGTGCTTTCCCGAAACCGAGGGGCGAAGTTGATCGAGAGGTGTTCAATGCTTGAGCCATGATAAGATACGTCTTAATCCAGCAGTAGCTATAGGATGCTCCGGTCGAACAGTAGCTTGGAAACCGATGAGAGTGTCTTTAGGAAGGAACAACAGAGAATCGACAGAGGGAAAGGTTGACTTCGGTACTAGATGTCTTTGCTTCTTGCACCAGACTGCATCGTCAAGCTCAAGACCCGATGAGTGAAGTCCGACGGACTTGACAGGAGCAGGATAGCACCATTCACAGTGAAAGAGTCGGACGGACGCCGAACTTTGAAGGTGGTTGGTTCCCGAAGATCCCGAAAATATGCTAGCACCCGCAGCTGGAAGATCATACGGAGGGTCCCCGCGGAAGGTATGTCGGCAATTGCGTGGTAGAACTGAAGCGAGATGTTTTCCTGACTCCTTTCATAACTATGTGATATGAGCTCCAAAGCCCAAGGGGAAACCGGTGTTACAATAGCATCGTCGAATAATCGCATATCGTTCATTGGCGACAGCTGAAATATGGAGTGAGAGAGTGATCTCTGTAAACGCGTCTGAGAGAATAAATCCATCAAGTTATTCTTCGTGGAGAGGTCTTGAATCTCTCTTTCAAGGTTCCGCTTCAACTGAATGATGCTAGTGGGGCTAAGGGAGGCTGAGAGGCATCTACGAAGGTTTGGGCCACAGTAAGTCAGTACATCATGTAGGCAAGACCAGGGGATGTCCCTAGGATTGAAAAACATTCTGGAAAGGAACATCAGTGCATTTATCAGCTTCGTAAAGCGATCACATACGCAACAGTGAAAAGCTCCCGAGGTGACCACAGTTTCGTTACAAGCTTCATGACATGCGACGAGCCAGGCATTGTCTCTGTCCAGTTTTCAGACATACCATTGAGTGGGCAAACAGCTATAATCTGGATGGTGTAATTTTCCATCAAAAACTGAGATGGTTTACTTGAAAGGCCATCAGCATCGCAATAGGCGACAATGGGTCCACCCAGCCAAGAGTTTACTATTTTGATGGATCCGTCAACCAAATACACGGTGCCCTCCATAAAAATGGAGTGCACGCAATCATAGATTCAAGGACTTTGAGGTAAAGGTACCTATGCCGAGATGAGATCGAGAACTAAAGGAAAAACAGGGTCGCACCGGCACCAGGTTGTCCGCTAATCATAACAGAGCCAGCACTATCCTTTGGCAGTTTACTTAATAGTTTAGAGAGGGCGTGATACTCGCGCCGAATGAGAAGCGGGGCTGGCATTCGCAGTGACATCCGCCGAAGTCCCAGCCTGAAGAGGTCCAAATATTGGAGTGTAATGGGGAAGAACGAGTGAACATCATCATCAAAATGATCACCGTCAATAGCTTCCTTGTCGTCAAGAGGGCCAGAGATGGTCGAGGGTAAGGACCACAGAAAGTCAAGTTTAATGTCTCGTATTGCCCCCGGGCTGCCTGGACGGACCTCGGCTAAACGTTCATCTAGTCGTTTGTAGTCAGCGTACTCAATTTTGACAGTGCGTATAATCTGTTCTCCGCTCTTCTGTATCCAGATTTTTTGGTGAAGATCCGAAAGCCAGGATGGAACTTTTGTAAAGGTTGAAAGTTGCTATAGCAGATGGGGAGACAGGGCGCTGTAACGTACCTTCAGCTTCTGCGTCCTGCCGACTTACAAACAGGGTCCGCGAAGAAATTGGATGAGCTGTAGATGATGTTGGCCTCAATGGGAGCACAACATTTGCAACGCACCTGGATACAACACGAGGGATCTGTCAATCCCTTCTCCATGATCAGCATGAGTTACCATTCTTAAGGCGGCAAGAATTTCGCCTCCAGACAAAGTGACCCTCCAATCCATGGGCGGGGAAAGGTAACTTAAAATCTGTTTCTGGATTAGAGATGAGCATTCACGACGGAAGGGAACTTGCTGTATCGATCTGAGAACCTGGAACACGAGAATATCGTCCTTGGAGCCAACCTCTTACTCTTTGGCTGTTTACCACCATTTTGTCATAAAATTCATCGTCCTTGGCCTCTTGGATATCATCTCTGGATGCAAACTCGTCCAAAGATTGCCTATAGCAAGTGTGTTCCTCGTCGATTAGAGCTGCGGTAGAGAGATGAAATGGCGTTTCTTTCCTAACGTTGATAGAGATGCCTGTGTTGCTGTGGCCCTTTGCGGTAGGTAATTTGATTTTGGCTGCAGTAGAAGTCGATGGCGTCCCAGCCGCACCTGTAATATATGCGTTGTGCTTTACCGAACGAGTAAACAGAGACCACTACCTGGTGCCTTTCCAACCTGATTCAAAGGTCTCCTATGAGGGATTCTCGTAGACCCCTTTGCCTTCTCCAAAGCCAACTCCCACTTCGCCACAATTTCTAACGCCAGATCTACGACACGCTTCGCAGCATGCGTTTGAAGCCTCCCAACTGCGCGCCCGACTTGGCTCTCCTGTCAATCAAAATGGCGATGAAAGAATCAAAAAAGGGAGAAGAAGAATGGCGGGAAAGACCCACCTTGAGGGCGGTTTCAGTGACTTCGAAGTCTTTCTTCAGGATATTTAAGATATCAATGATCTCCTTCACAAAAAAGAGGGATGAGAAACGCAGAGCACAAAGTTGGTGCGTTTGACGTAGAAACCACTACTCGAGTATACCTGTTCATCAGAATGATTATATGCACGCTTTAGCTTGTCGGCGTCCCGGACATCAGCTGACATGACGTTGGGTTTGAACCTTGTATGTGCAGAGTCAGCGAGAGCCATGTCACCAGCACTATATCTACTATGCACCTGTGTCTGAATGTATATGGGTGATATGCGGTGGGCGAGGTCAGGGCGAGCCCGGCGAGGTAAGCTGTTCGCGTTAGCCAGATTAGTTGAGAGCATCCTTCTAAATGAAAGTAAGCAAGAACAAACATGCCTGGATCTGAGACCAGGTCAGCCGCATCTCACTTTCACCTTGCTTTCACCTATGACCAAGTTGTGTGTACTTTTTCTCAACGACACGCACACACTGTTTCATGTCACAATTCAAAACTATGCGACAGTTCATGACCTGAAGGAGGCGATCAAAACCAACAAATGTTGCACCGGTAAACACTACAATGCCGCCGACCTCCTTCTCTATAAAGTAAGTGCATTTTAGATCAATTTAGTTCTTTCAGCTGAACATATAATAGTTAAACGAGTCCCTGCCCATTGCCCCTACAAGCGATCTTGCTCGAAGCATCGCAAATAAGGGAGATATTGAACGTTTTGCTGTTCTTTTAGAGGAGCCTACTCATAGGTTGCTGGGGGGTGTCTTCCCAGGCGAAGTTGACGATATGAGGCTTCACCTTCTTGTGAAGCTTCCACTTGGTGGGTTCAGGGTATGTCACAGCCTATGCATTAATTTACAATAGCTCTCTCCTTTCGTGAAGAAGAGGATGGTGAGTCGTGAGCCATGTTGATTCATACTTTCATGATTGATTTGACCACTATCAGACGAACCCCCTGCCAAACGAGCACGTCTCGAAAGCCTTCATCCCTCGGCTTTGAATGACGAGGAATACAGCTTCTACAGACAAGCTTTGGTCGACATTGCCGGCGTCCCGGAGGGTAAAGGCGATGAATACTACGAAAGAATTGTTGTAGGCATTCGAGAAGTCAGGGCTTGGCTCCTAGGACGATTCCCTCACGTTCTATCGTCTCAGATCGATACGGTGACTTTCCTTCTTTAATAATCGTCATCGTTCATCTTTGATCCTAGAAACAGATCCTCAACTATTTTTCTCCGACCATGGATCGAGGCGATACCTTGTCTGGCGGCCAATTTCTTGCTGCCTTGAGATTGGTCAGATACGCTGGGCAGGGGCAGGAAGAGGGGATCGACCGAGCCCTCGTCTTCGTTCAGCGTGCGTTGTTACCTTTTTTCTCCAATCTCAGCCTCACAGTCTACAGCCCATTCGACCCCTGCTGAACGGCAATCCCGACATGAAACAAGTCAACCGCTGGCAGGACTGTCCCGTTTGAGGAGTCCAATTTCGGATCAGAAAGGTCCAGAGGCCGAAGGTGGGTTACAACGTTTTCTCCGTGTTAGCTTCTAAAACGGTCCTTTTGGTCAGCTGTCCTCGACTGCCCTCCTCGAGGGATTGGTGCATGGCTCATGGAAATCCATCGAAAGATCTGGAATCAAAAAGACCAACAACAGAATCTGTTCCGCACTGTCAGACTTGAGTTCAGCGATTATGAAAGATTGGAAAGGCGTCTTGCAGGGCTTCGTTCGGGTCGCCGGGAGGCAGCTGACTCTGCTGATATCTTACGTGTCAAACTCGCGTTTCTCCAGTCTATCTCCTCAGTCACCCCCGACCCTCGTAGTGAGGAGAAAGTCGGGGACAGTTGTGATCTTCATGATGAACTTCGCGCCTTTTTCCCGTTCACACTTGAATACTTGGATACATCCAGTTTGGAACTCCGGGTTTCGTCACCTCGAATACCAGTCCCGCTTCTCATCCGGCAAGAATACCACGCTCTCTCTGGACTGTTGGGCGAACTGCCAGTGGAATGCGCCGGTTCCGCAATCATTACCGGCCAACCAGGCACGGGTGCGAATATGTCTGTCACTCTCCTCTTGCTTGGTCTAATCTAGGTATAGGCAAAACTGCATACCTTTATCTCAAAATGATCGAATTTATGATCGCAGGCATTCCATTTTTATTTCAAACCATGGAGGGCATTGTGTATCTGGTTCAAGAATCCATCGCAGTAGTTAACTCCTGGTTGGGTGGACACATTGTCGCCTTCTGTGATGCAGATGGCCTTTCAAGTCGACCATCGCAGTTCATACTTGAAAGTCACGATATTCAAATTATAGCCATGTGTCCACCAGAAGGTGCGTCTCAGAAATGGATGGAGGAGATGGGTGGCATGTCACATGTGATGAAATACGTAACCACGTTGTGGTCGCCTCAGGAGCTTTTCTCTGTTGGGTGTGATAGCTCTACGAGTCTGAGAATCACTCTAATATATTCTTAGAATGTTTCTCCATCCCGAGGACCTCGTCTATTCACACCTTCAAGAATCAACGACCTACTTTGGTCATAATCCTCGCAATTGTTTTTTTGCTAGCGCCAGTCCTGAGAATTTAGTTCAACTCAGGGAGAATACCCAAAAAAAAGTCCAGGACATCCCGGTTCTAGAACCTGATTTGTTCCGGAGGTTGTGCCGCCAGACCTTTCCATATGAACCGCTTTTCGACTCTGTATTTCATCTGTTCCCGAAAAATGATATGCGCCTATATGACGAGGCCGAGGTAGCGGCGGTTTCCCCATGGGCTTTGGATGTCTTGCTCAATGCGTACGAGGGTCGACAGGCAGGGGTTGCCTTCCAATTCTACAAATGGGTCGTCACATACCCTTATGCGGCGACTCTCCAGGATCAGATATTCAAGAGGCAGGTATTGAGGTACTTCGGTAGTCTCAAGGGAGCAGAGCAGTTCACTATCCGCTCTCTAGCGGATTCTACCGCCTCCCAATGGGTGTATCCTGGACCTACTGAGGCTTCCTCGCTCCAATCATCCACTGCCACTCGGTTGCTTCACGATGCCGTTGCGCACAAGATGCCTTTACACCTGGTTTCTCAAGATCGAAATTTCCCTTCAATCTTCTACAATCCTGGTGAAGCGCTGGCTGGTATTCGATTCGCTACCAAAACAGAGGATCCTGTGCCCGTCGTTGGTCTCGAACGAGTGCAAGCGTGGCTCCAACGAAGTGCTATTCTTTTGGACCTTCGACCTTCAATTTCGGGCAAACACTGGCGACTCATATTTGTGGTGCCGGACAACATAGCTACGAGGTTGATGACACAGTCTTTTATAGGTGATACAGGTACGCAAGAATGGTCTCAGAAAGTTGACCAGTATGTGCTTGGTGTAAAGGGAGAAACGATATGGGCCTAATGAAACAGCTGTGATTTGAACTTGTTTTGTAGTATGCAATGTGTCTAGATCTGAATAGTATCATTATGGAGCTCTTCACTAGTCTCTCGTAGACAGACATCAATATTATGTGAAGTCGTACCTTGGTTCACAACGCAGAACATCCACCAGCTTCTCTTGAATGGAACAACCAGAAAAAGCCCCAGAAACTAAAGCAGAAAGCAATTCTTTCGAGGGCGGGGTGTTGCCAAGAGCTGAAGGCGTAGGAGTATCAGAACCCAGAGAGACGGAAAGGCTGGCAACGATAAAACGTAAAGAGTCCTGCAGGCGGGGGCGAAGGAGGTGAGCGGGGTTGTCAGAGACAGAAACAGGGCGACGGCTGTGGTTGTGGTTTTTGAAGAAACAGACGAGGGTCTTTTTCACAACATCTTTTGGACCCTGCAGCAACTTGGGTAGATGGTGCCTTAACACAGCGAGACTCGAGCAGCTTGCCAAAAGATGGCAACGGGGCGAAGGCATCCTCTATCGATGACGGTCCGAAGGGCTCCGACGTGGTTGATGTCCGGTTGAAGGGCACGGAGGGGACTGTACGAAAGGGGACAGTGTTAGGACAGGATCAATCTGGCCAAGCCATGGAGTTGGATGAAGCTCGGAGCCGCAGTAGTAAGCGACATCGTACAGCAGAGATGATGTAGGGATGGGTGGGGCAAAACGAGTTCAACGACGTGCGGCGTGTGGGTTACGTTTGGCGGTCACGTTGAGTATCGCGAAATCTCCAAAAATTTGGCCTCCCGGACAGTTTCCGGATCCCATTTATCCTGACCGATAATCTCAAGCTCGTCAATCAAGCCTTCGTCCTCAAATTGCTTCAGCGCACGGATATCAGAGCCGCAACCAAACCTCAAGACAACCTGCTTCAAAGCCGTGATCCCATATTGCTCCATGCCAAAGCGGGAGGAAACCATTTTGGCAAACAGGCCATCCGATCCCTTAACTGCGCGGTAGTCAAGGTCGACGCTTTCAAGTTTAGGACAAAGGATCACGGGTGATCTTGAATGCGAGTCGTCTTTTGTGAGTCGGTGCAAGATGGTTTTTGACATGTATTTCCCTGGATTGGAGTGCGGTCTTGCACCACCATGCCAGATGCACAATCTGACTAGTGTCGGTGAAAGTAATCCAAGAAATAGTAAAAGACAAGCTTCGCTTATTCTGACGCCATGGAGGGTGAGATCCTCGATGTGACAGGAAGATCGGGGGATAAAAGCCGCAAATGGGTCAAGCGAGAAAAGTCTCAAGTCGTACAGAGTAAGTTGACGGAGAGTGGGCATTGTCGTGTTTGTTAGAAGAAGATCTGTAATAAAAGGGGAGGTGGACCCGGAATAGCGTAAGGAGAGTGACTTCAAACTAGTGCAGAGGATGGTTGAGGGGTATAGAGCGGAAAAAATGTCATCATCGTCGTCATCGTCGTCATCGTAGATATAATGGAAAACGCAGTCCACGAGGCTGGGACATTCTTTGAGGAACTCTAGGCATTGCGCGATACTTTGTGAAGCGGTGATTGCGAGGGTTGTGAGCTGGCCCCATCGCATATGAAACAATCTGCACAGCGAGCCCTAGGCTACATCAACGTCATCCGCGTCAAGGCGGAATGTGTCCAAGAGTGTGGAATTGCGCCAGATACTGGAAAGACTCTGGTTTGCAAAATATAGAAGTTCGTAGTCCTCGTGTTCTAAAGACTGGGGAAGAAACAAACAGAGCTTTTGGAGAAGCGGCGCCCCAGATTGTGGGATAGCTTGTAAGACAGCATCAACTATTTCACTGGGACACAGCCTGAGTGACTTCCATTGTGTGATGCGGCCAAAAAGAATACGAAAAAAATTAGTCGACTCCTTTTTAGCCGGACGACGGCCGACCGAGGATGCTGAGAGCTCAGTCTCAACACCGTATTGGCCATACGAAATCGATAGCGGGCGATCCTTCGCACGCTCAAGCCACAGCTTGAGCAATTCTACTCGAGGAAATCGCCCGAGCTTGTCAAAGTGCGTGCCGACGGCTATGGAGGCCCATAGTTCGGGCGTGGCTATTGCGGAGGCTCTCCAGGCGCAACAAACCTGACATAAAAGGAGTGGGGCGGATCTACGACTGGGACGAATGAATTCGTCGTTCGGGAGACATTGAAGAAAGACTTCGCGCAACAATTCTTCCGGAAGAGTGGCGATGGAATGTGGCATGTAGAGGGTTGGATTTCGACCTGGGCTCAGACTTGAGCTTTTGACAAAACTTGGGCTATTCTCGAATCGAGAATCAATGAGAGTTGCGTTAACGTTGGACATGGTATGGGTATATAGGTTGTTTGTACCAAGTTTGGTTTGCACCAAGTTATGGCGAAAAGCCGTTTTCTTATTCTCTACCTACCACATAGAAACCTCTTAAGAATAAAACACTATCGCACCACATCAGGTCTCGGCATTTCTCGTCCTAACAAAACGCTCATCGACCATAATCAAGTATCAACTCTCAGGCGTTTGCGATTTTGCTGGGGTACCTGTAGTATAGTTCTAAAACATGAAATGCTTTGCCAAATTATCTGGCCCCCGACATCATTCGCAATCGGTCAGGATGAATTGTTGGAGGAACACCTTGAGCTGCAGGTCCATTAGGATCGGAATCAGGAGGGCCCCCTTGTGAGGGAGGTGGTGGAGCGTTGAAACCAAGTGGGGGGACACCGCCTGGCCCACCAGGCGGGAATGGAGGCATGCCAGCTGGAGGTCCACCGCCAGGAGGAAAGGGAGGGGGACCTAACCTCATAAGTTAAGCAGCAGCCTTCTCAAACCTAGGAGACAAAACATACCGTTCATGAACCCTCCTGGAGGTCCCATGCCATTTGGGGGGAAAGGAGGGGCGCCGGGAGGCATCATCGGGGGGAATCCTGGACCAGGAGGAAAGGGAGGTCGCGCTGGGTAGAAAAGGAACGGTGAGAGGGAATTCGTTGTACGAAAGGCGATCAGACATACGTCCACCGAACCCAGGTGGGGGCATGGGCCCACCAAAACCCATTGGGGGGCCACCGTATCCAGGAGGTGGGCCGCCTAAATGCTGAGGCCCAAAGCCGAACCCTCCTGGAGGCGGGCCACCTGTCTCATATGCCGATGTAATCTGGTCAATGATGCTCTGGGCTTGATCGTGACCCAGCGCTGTAAAATTATTGTGTCACTCAGCACTGAACTCCAATGTAAGGTCATGAGAACGCACATGCATAATAATCCCTGACGTTTGAGAGATGATTTCTTCCGCTGTTATGGGCTTTTCGTACTGTAAAACGGTGAGTTTCGTCGAAACAAAGAAGGACCGATACAGCCCACCAGAAGTAGAATCGTGAGTCAGAAAGACATCACAATAGTCGCAGTAATGTTTCTATTGCAAAAAATTAGAATCACCCAAGTGAAAGATTGAAGACGCTTACTGGCATGGTAGTTCAGTCAAAGTTCAGTGCAAGTTCAGTTCATTCGGGGATTGCATGTGACTAAAACGTAATTAAATCGCACGTGATGTCTCATTTCGATCATCAAACAGTGCACAAAGTGACAAACCTACTAACGTAGCGGGAATAATGGACCTTTCAACATCGGGCATCCAGGAGCCTTTTGACCTGATCAGGCTTTCACTTAGTGAGCGAGTGTTTGTAAAACTGAGAGGAGACCGAGAGTTGACCGGGATCCTGCATGTGTGTAGTTTTCTTGCCTGTATCCGTCGCGTTTTCTTTTGGAATAACTCGATTTTCGTGCAGGCTTACGATGGCCACATGAACTTGATAATGAGCGACGTCGAGGAGACGATCTTGATTGTGGATACAGACAGCGTGCCGAATGGCCAAGGCGTCATAAATGTAGGGTTTAATCTCTGCTTTTTATACGAAAATAAGCTGAGAGCTACAGGTCGCAAAACGGAAGATGGAAATGCTCTTCGTAAGAGGGGATGGTGTTATCTTGGTGTGTTTTGGCTTTATCTTGCGTTTTAGCTTCTTTTGAATCGTGGTCTATCCAGGTATCACCACCAGCGCGAACTTAGCGCTTCCCAGTGGCAGTCTCATTGGATTGTGTGCCTCAGGCTCTATCGTCGCGATGACGCCTAATTCAACCGCATGTTCTATGACATGACATTGTTATACCTTGTCGCAATGGTGTCTAAAGCCTTTTAAAGATGGACGATCACCAATAAAACAAAATCTTTCCGAGGTCGTACAACATTTCATGAATAATAAATACCTCCACAGTACAACTCCCTGATATCAATAACGATTTCCAGCAACGGCTAAAATGGACGCATCTCCACGCTGTCGTTGGCATCCTTAAGTATGGGTGCTGGTTCAGACGAATAATCGGTGTGGGATGTCGGGGTATACACCTGAGCAGAGCTCGAAGGTAGAATAGAATCAATGTTGACATCGTCGGCCAACTCATCATCAGGCTCTGGGGCTTCATATCCCGCTGGCCACGTTTCGTCACGAAGCCACGCCGCATGCACAATTTTGATCTTGATAAGAGGTTAAAAATGATAGGTCAAGGAATGGTCAGAAATAACGAACATACAATGAGACTCATGGGAAGTCTGTGCTTGAGCTTTCCGCCGCCAGACAGCCCATTCCAAACTTTCTCGATGCCGCTCCGCCAGGCATCATCGTCGTGGACGACGTTTGGTTCGCTAAGGACTGCTTGGAGTCTTTGACGCGACGCAGAATAATCTGGTAGACAGGGAACCCGCGGAGATCGGGGGGTCAGCCACAATTTCCTTCTCGCAAGATAGTACGCTGGACCAGGAGGAGGAAGTGGTGTTGTTGCAAGTAGTTCGTCAATGTATGATGTGGTGGGACTATCGAGAAGTACAGGGGGCGCGGTTATTGGGGAGGGATTGTGATGAGGGTTAAATTGACGGTTAGGCATGAAGCACTGGCAGGCGCGGGTCTTTCACAATCAATAATACTTTGTCACGCTTCGGTCAAGTTGGCCAACATACAACCAACATATTTCACGCAACCGCTTTGGCATGCCCTATATTATTTGCAAACTTGGACTCGAAGGCGACTACGATTGGCTTTCTTATTGTTCTCACAGAGATACCGGCAAAGCGAGCCTTGTTGGAAGTGAATCATTGCGTTGGCTCTCATCATCCAGGACACCCTTGCACAGAGATGTGCAGCTGAAAAGACCGCTACAAGCCTGCTGTCTCTCCAGAGGAGCCACATTAGCCGTCGCTCATTTCAAGTTGTTGGTCGACTGTCTCCTGGGGAGAAGATGCTTTGGGCTGAGCTCGATTTAACCCTGGTCGTTTCTGACGCGACGAATAGTGTATTGTTGGACTGCTTTACGATCGTGCGGACCCTTTGCCACATTGGATCACCTCGTTTGCAACCCGTCGGCCCAATGCTAACGCCTCCCCCAACTCAATTCGTCTACCTGTTCATACAACGACCACGAACACATCAATGCGGTCGGATATGTTACTCTCCACTTTTACTTGGATGACCCAGCGGACAAGTCTCGCACATTATCTTCAGCTCCTTACTTGGCTGCAGCAGTTCGAAAATCCTCCAGAATGGTTTTAACCTGTACAACCACGTGAGCGAGTTTTACACATTTCCTAAAAATTGCCCAATGTCTCCTAATCCTGCCTCGAGTGAGACATTTGAATTGTTATGATCAAGGAGGTCTTTTCAGACAAACGTGTAAGCCACTTGTTTCACTTGACCTGCCACTCTCACCAAAATGATCAAACAAGTCAAGTTGTGGTGTCTACTTTTTCCCAACGACGCCACCCATCACACACTCGTTCATATTATGTACAATCCGCAACGATAAGACAGTCGATGATCTGAAAGAAGCGATCAAACCCAAGGATTGTCACCCTGGTAAACACTACAACGCTACCAAGCTCCTTCTCTATAAAGCAAGTGCATTTCAGATCAATTTAGTTCTTTCAGCTGAACGTATAATAGTTAAACAAGTCCCTGCCCATTGCCCCTGCCAAAGATCTTTCTCGACGAATTAAAAACAAGGGAGATATCAAACGCTTTACTGTTCTGTTGGAGAACCCTACTCATCAGTTGCGGGACGTCTCCGAAGGCGACGTTGACGATATGAGGCTTCACTTTCTCGTGAAGCTTCCACTTGGTGCGTTTATAGCATTTGTCACAGACTACAAATCAATCAACATTAGCTGCTTCTTTCATCCAAAAGAAGAGGATGGTGAGTCGTGATTCATATTGATTCGTGCTTTTATGGTTGATTTTACCACTATCAGACCAACCCCTGCCAAACGAGCTCGCTTAGCAAGCCTTCACCCTTCGGCTTTGAACAACGAGGAATACAACTTCTACACGCAAGCTTTGGTCGACATCGCCGGCATCCGGGAGGTTGAAGACGATGAATACTACGAGAGAGTTGTTGTAGGCATTCGAGAAGTCAGGGCTTGGCTCCTAGGACGATTCCCTCACGTTCCATCACCCCAGATCGATACGGTGACTTTCCTTCTATAAGAATCGTTATCGTTCATCGCTGATCCCAGAAACAGATCCTCAACTACTTCTCCCCGACCATGGATCGAGGCGATACCTTGTCTGGCGGCCAATTTTTTGCTGCCTTAAGATTGGTAAGATACGCAGGGCAGGGGCAGGGAAAGTGGGTTGACCGAGCCCTCGTCTTCGTTCAGCGTGCGTTGCCACCGTTTCTCTCTAGTCTCAGCCTAACAGTCTACAGCCCATATGACCCCTGCTAAACCGCAATCCCGACATGAAACAGATCAACCGCTTGCAATAATTTCAGATCAGAAACATCCGAAGGCTGAAGGTGGGTCACAATGTTTTCTTCGTGTCAGCTTCTAAATGGTATTCTTGTTCAGCTATCCTGAACTGCCCTCCTCGAGGGATTGGTGCATGGCTGATGGAAATTCATTCAAAGATCTGGGATCGAAAAGACCAACAACAGAAACTGTTCCACACCGTCAGACTTGAGTTCACGGATTATGAAAGATTAGAAAAGCTTCTTGCAGGGCTTCGTTCGGGTCGCCGGGAGGCAATATGTTCAGCTGACACTGATATCTTACGTGTCAAACTCGCGTTTCTCCAGTCTATCCCCTCGGTCACCTCCGACCCTCTTGATGAGGAGAAAGTCGGGGATAGTCATGATTCTTATGATGAACCCCGCGCCTTTTTCCCGTTAACACTCGAATACTTGGATCTATCAAGTTTGGGACTCCAGGTTTCGGTTTCGCATCCCCGAATGCCAGACCCACTTCTCATCCGGCAAGAATACCACGCCCTCTCTGATCTGTTGGGCGAACTGGCAATGGAACGCGCCGGTTCCGCTATCATTACCGGCCAACCAGGCATAGGTGCGAATATGTCTGTCACTCTCCTTCTGCTCGGTCTAATCTAGGCATAGGCAAAACTGCATACATTTACCTCAGAATGGTCGAATACATGATCGCAGGCATCCCATTTTTATTTCAAACCATGGAGGGCGCTGTGTATCTGGTTCAAGAATCCATCACAGTAGTTAACTCCTGGTCGGGTGGACACATTGTCGCCTTCTGTGATGCAGATGGGCTTTCGTGTCGACCATCACAGTTTATACTTGAAAATCACAATATTCAGATTATAGCCGCGTGTCCGCCAGATGTGCTTAAAAAATGGATGGACGAGATGGATGGAATGTTGCATGTCAAGAAATATGTAACAACATTGTGGTCGCCTCAGGAGCTTTTCTCTGCCGGGTATGATAACTCTACGGGTTTGAGAATCACTCTGAAACGTTCTTAGAATATTTTTTCATCCCAAGGACCTCGTCTATTCACACCTTGAGGAATCAACGACTTACTTTGGTCTCAATCCCCTCAATTATTTTTTTGCTAGCGCCAGTCCTGAGAATCTGGTTCAACGCACGGAGCTCATTCGGAAATCAGTCCACATCCCGCGCTTAGAACGTGATGTGTTCCGGAGGTTGTGCCGCCTGACCTATCCATATGCGCCGTTTTTCGACTTGATATTCCATCTGTTTCCGAAAAATGGTATACGCCTATACTGGCACGAGGCCGAGGTAGCGGCGGTTTCCCCGTGGGCTTTGGATGTCTTGCTCAATGTGTACGAAGGTCGACAGGCAGGGATTACCTTCCAATTCTACAAATGGGTCGTCACATATCCTTATGTGGCGGCTCCAGTCCAGGATCAGATATTCAAGAGGCAGGTATTGAGGTACTTTGGTAGTCTCGATGAAGCAGAGCAGTTCACTGTCCGCTCCCTGGCAGACTCTACCACCTCCCAGTGGATGTATCCTGGCCCCACTGAGGTTTCCTCGCTCCAATCATCCACTGCTACCCGGTTGCTTCATGATGCCGTCGCGCACAAGATGCCTGTATACCTGGTTTCTCAAGATCGGGATTTCCCTTCAATCCTCTATACTCCTGGTGAAGGTTTGGCTGGTATTCAATTCACTACCCGAACAGAGCATCCTGTGGCCGTCGTTGGTCTTGAACGAGTGAAAGCGTGGCTCCAACGAAGTGCTACACTTTTGGACCTCCAACCTTCAATTTTGGGCGACCACTGGCGACTCATATTTGTGGTGCCGGACGACATAGCTTCGGGGTTTATGACACAGCCTTTTATAGGTGATACCGGTACGCGAGAATGGTCTCAGAAAGTTGACCAGTATGTCCTTGGTGTAAAGGAGGAAACGATATGGGCAGCATAATGAAATGGCTGTGATTTGATCTTGTCTTGTAGTATGTACCACGTCTGAATAGTATTATACGAATTGCAGATAGGAAACGGACTCGGAAATCTGCGATAGTTAAGCTTTCTTCTGATAAGCTATCTCGTAGGGTATTGGCGCCCATCTGACTACTTGCCTTGCGCCGTTTGAGTCCCTCTAGTCCGCAGCAGAAGACGTTAACACCTGCGGCGCTACAGATGAACTATAACGGCGAGAGGTTGAAGGCATCGCTTATGGCAGGATTGCCAACTCGCATGAAGAGCGCAGGGGACTACGTCGGGATACCGATCCCGCCTTGTGGTGACTTTGGAAGCACCACATCGATTGGCGTCATCCCGCCCTGGATGCCGTCCCAGCAGGGAAAAGACAGTAGATTGACGTGAGTCACAACTTTTTTACTTCGAGATGGACAGCAGATCTTGAGCGATACCAGCCTTCACGAAGAAATTCAGCTTTTTATGGCTTACATGAAGCCTACTCGTGATGAGGTCGCAATGCGCAAAGATCTCGTAGCGCGATTCATAGCACTTATCGCATCATTCAATGCTGGAGCCACAGTTCGCCCTGTTGGCTCTTGTGTCACCGGTCTCTATCTGCCCACGTCTGATATCGACATGGTACTCACCTTCCAATCCAAGAGGGGATACACAAGAACTACCTTAGCGTCCTTTGAACATAAGATCAGGATATCAGGATTTTCGAGCAAAATCGTCTCCGTACTGCAAGCCTCTGTCCCTCTGCTTCGAATCACCGATGCAATCACGGGTATCGAGATAGATTTGACGGAAAGCGATAGTCATGCCTTCGAAGCAACTCGCCAGGTCACAAAATGGATGACGGCGACTGATACACAGCTGGTGAAGACACTGGTGTTGGTGGTTAAGCTCTTTCTGTCGATCAGGAGATGCGGAACGACATACACTGGTGGCGTAAATTCATATTTGCTGGTGTGGATGGTTATTGCATGGGTGAAGCTGGACATGCCAACGGCACAGGTACGCAAGGTAGTGGATGGTGGGGTAGATGCACTTGCGCAAGCAATGGAAGCATTGTCGACGACTACAACAGCGGGGTCTGCTGCGACTCCCGTCAGCGCAGGCATTCAATCCTCGGTTTCCCAGACTGATCTCGGCACAGCCTTGATTGCGTTTTTCAAGTTTTGGGGAAGCAAATTTGATTACAGGTATAAAGGCATTACATTTTTGCCGGACCCGTCATACAGGAGTAAGGTTGCGAATTATAGCCAAACCTACCTGCTGTCGATCCGCGACCCAGCAGACACGACTGTGGATATGGGGGCTAAGGCATACGCGATCAAGCATGTGAAGGCTTCTTTCGAGGAAGCGTACCTAATCTTGAATCGCATGGCCAATGGGGATGGAAAAAATCCCAAGGGAATTTTGGGAACCGTTCTTGGAGGCAATTTTTCGCGGTTCACGGAAAAGAGGAGGATGAGTTTGAGCATGTACACGGCAAAACAAAAGAAGGCAAGGTTGGTTTAGACTAAAGACTTGGTCTGTATTGGAGAATAAAATTCAATCGTGACACACTCAAACGCGATGCACGTGATGATGGTAACGTCACGCAGTGATTCAGAAAGCGTTTGGAAAGCCTTGGGAAAGCCTCCTCTCTATTGCCTCTCTATCGACATATGGAGCTCGGCGTTTTATTCTAACACTTCCCATGACTGAAAAATCCTCAAGCATCAAGGCCATTGATCGAACTTCCATCCATCGTATCACATCGGGCCAAGTTGTCATAGACTTGCAAACTGCGGTGAAAGAGCTCGTCGAAAATAGCATTGACGCAGGCGCAACGAGCGTTGGTGAGTTTGATCTCTTCATGTTATCAGTCTGAGACTGCTTTATGCAAAGCATAGTTGTGGTCGTCTCGGTGGATCCCTCAAGTAGCCGTTCATCACAGCTAACGCACCTCCTGCAGAGGTTCGATTCAAACAGTATGGTCTGAAGTCCGTTGAAGTTATAGACAATGGGTCTGGAATCCCAGAGGAGGATTATGATAGCGTTGGTTAGTCTTTCTCTTCATTTGCCTATTACAGTCTTGGCCAATATTTTACGAAACAGCCCTCAAGCATCACACCTCAAAGCTCGAGACTTTCGAAGACCTCAGCATAGTGCGCACTTTTGGGTTTCGTGGCGAGGCACTGTCCTCTTTATGCGCACTATGCGAACAATTGACCGTGGCGACTGCGACCAAAGAGACGGTTCCGATGGGCGTGTCTCTGGAGATGGGCTCTAATGGGCATGTCAAGAGCAGGAGTACTGTTGCCAAACCGGTTGGACAATGCACTTGGACTCACCTATCACGTTACTGAATCTTTTTTCTCACAGAAAGGTACTACAGTGACGATCAATTCTCTTTTCTCCCCACTCCCCGTTCGCAGGAAGGAGTTTGAGAGAAATTCCAAGCGTGAGTTTGGAAAGGCCCTCGCGCTGCTGCATGCGTATGCTTTGGGTCCGTGTTCCGCCGGGCCAGGTGTGCGTTTGACTGTCAGCAACCAGCTGGACAAAGGGTTCGTCGTGTCATTGACTGATTTATTTATCTCCTTGACAGTTTCTTCAAGGCAGAAATCTGTGCAGATCCGCACCAATGGAACACCATCTACTCGCGCGTCCGTGACCGCACTTTGGGGTCCCAAGGCATTGGACAACATTGTCGATCTCAACCTTGCATTCTCTGTGGACCGAGAGAAGCACACCTTGAGAGGACAGAGGTGAGAATATTTTGTATGTCTTCGACATACTTTGACTGCTAATTTGCTAAATCCAGTCAGAGCCAAGCTACAGAGACAGTTTTTGTGGAAGTTAAAGGTCTCTTATCTAAGTTTGCTGTCGGCTGTGGACGACCAGGGACAGACAGACAGTTTCTCTACGTCAATGGACGACCCTGCAACCTTTCCAAGGTCCAGAAAGCCTTCAACGAAGTGTACCGCACCTTTAATGCGAATCAAGTGCCTTTCATCCTAGCAGATTTTATTCTCCCAACCGGTAAACTGTGCTGTCATGTTCTTGGTATGAAATATGTCTTACTCTTCCGGCAGAATCGTGCGATATCAATCTGAGCCCCGACAAGAGGACCATATTTCTGCATAACGAGGGCAATTTGATTTCGGCCTTGAAGGTCAGTTTTGGAATCGTTTTACCAACGAAGTGAATGATTGATAGCTGTAACCACAGAATGCTCTTGAAACACACTTCGCCACTAACCGCTCTACATTTGACTTGGGCGGCACTCAGGCCAAGGCTGGGACTTTGAATCAATCCCAGCTAACGCAGGGAGCTGCTGCTTTCAAGGCACGCGGGAATACCACTTCAAGCCAGAAAACAATTTTGATTACTGAGAAGGAAGATAACGACAAGGAAGAATCTGCTAAAAGCTCGCCAAGAAAAGCGAAAGGAGAAACTTTGACATCCTCCGATGATAGCTCCCAGCTTGTAAGCCCAAATCCAACCCAGACCATACCTGCTTCACCAGAAGTACGCCGTCGTTCGCTGCCTCCTTCGTCTCCGTCCGCCTTGTCTCAACTTCACACTTCCAAAGTTGTTGATATAGAGAAGGAAGTCCATGGGCCATCTCCAGAAAACATGGACCTTGACCATGATGGACTCGATCCGAATCTCATCCCAGTGGATTCTGTACCTGTGCCGTCACCCGAACCTTCTAAACAAAGCATCTCTCTTGCTGATGGCCATGGCAAGGACATCGAGATGGTTGTTTCTACGAGTCACACGACTTGGAGTCAAGCGCTCAAGCCGTCGATCTCTCGATCATTGGCCACTAGTGACGTGACTATGGACGAGTTGTCCTCAGACGTTGAAGATGGGCCTCCAAGGAAAAAACGTAAAGGCCAAGAAGCGACAATTCCGCGACAAGAATCAAAAGCTGCAGATGAAATGATCCAGGAAGGCATGGTTTTATCGCGAGAAAGGCCCCTTCAACGCAAGGAGACCCTCATACCCCCACACAAGAACCCCAAGGCCGCAAGAGAGTGTCTCCGCAATCGGTTAGCTAGCTTTGCATGCAGCGGAAGTCAGGCCTCGGTGCGGCTGAAGCCGTCGGATGACGGAGATGACCCTGATGATGACGATGCGCTATTCTCAGGGTCGAACGTCGGAGGTCGACTTGAAAGCCGGGAAGGATCTGCCAAGAAGCCGAAGTCGACTGGTAACCTCATTGAACTTGTGGAGGACGAAATTGCTGAGGACGACGACGACGATGAGCCAGACCCCTCATCAGTTCTCAGCCAGGCTCGTTTAACAACCTCTTCATCGCCATCATTGATTCCTCAGGACAGGGTTCCGCATCCTGAGATCCTGAAAACTACTGACAGCACAAGTGATGTCTCGCTCAGGTTCGACACTGATAAGGTTGTGAATGTTTGGCGCCAAATCCGCGACCGTTCTTCGCAGATGATGCAGGGAGGCAGCAACAAGGGGAAGGAGGCGCTCATTAGCTCCAAGGTTTTGGTAGATGCTGGCGTATCAAATACGGAGAATGATGACAGGGCCGTGGACGCGCTTGCGCGAGTGATTGAGAAGGAGGATTTCGCTTCGATGGACGTTGTTGGGCAATTCAACCTCGGGTTCATCATCGCACGGCGCCGGAAGGACGCTTCCCCATCCCCTTCTCGGTCCATTTCGCAGGAATTGCAAGTGATGGATGACCTTTTCATCGTGGACCAGCATGCTTCGGATGAAAAGTACAATTTCGAGACCTTGCAGCTTACGACTAGGATCCAGTCTCAAAAACTATTTAGGTTTGACATCCATCTTGCAGTGATCAAATTGAGATTAACAGTGAAATATAGACCTCAGCCACTCGAGTTGACTGCGGCGGATGAACTCTTAGCCACAGAGAATATAGAAGTCCTTCGGCAGAACGGCTTTGAAATAGAGGTCGACGACAGCGAATGCTCTGGTCAAGGAAGTCGGCTGAAATTAGTTGCGCAGCCCATTAGCAAGAGCACTGTGTTCGGTATGAAAGGTAAGTTAGTCATGTCAAACCTTGACGTGTTCTGAGAGTTCTTGTAGATCTCGAAGAAATCATCCACCTGATGCGGGATCGACCTACAGGCCAAATGGTTCGATGTTCGAAGGCTCGAGCCATGTTTGCGATGAGGGCCTGTAGGAAGAGCGTTATGATCGGCATGCCACTGAATTCTCACCAGATGCTTACGGTAACTCTAAAGCTCTGCTTTCAGAGTACCTTCTAAGTTCTCGTAAAACAGGTGCTGCGACATATGGGAACGATTGACCAGCCCTGGAACTGCCCTCATGGTCGTCCAACTATGCGTCATCTTCTTGATATAACCACGATTGATTCGACTTCAATCATGCAATCAGCCCCCATTGATTGGTCTGCTTTTCAATGACATTTACACCACGGTTTATGAACGTGGTTTCATATCTTGTAATGTATGGACACCATCTAATTTCATCTTTCTATTGCTATTTATTATCCAGCACCAATTCTGTCGATCGTCCATGGATAAGTAACAGGTGCGTTGTGTAGTCTTATACATGCATGTGACAATTTGAAGTATAACGCTCGCTTACACGTGCTGCCAGCCATACCGTGGATGAAACGCCGAAGCTGCCTCATGGCAAAGATATCGCTCTGGTGTTCACACAGCTGGACCAGGTTAATGGTGTTTGACAACGGCTTTTACTAGACCCGCTTGTCAATGTCATGCCGGCTGGATGGCCGCCAATTGGGGTTGGAGGAGACTCTTTCCTTGATTCGAACTTTAAAGTGACAAATGCCCTCGATCAGCGCTAAACCATGGACACTCGACAAAGAACGCGATCAGCGCACGCACGGATGGGGCATACCATATCTTTACAACTTGTTGCATCTTGCGCCACAAATCCATGGAGCCTTGTCAGTAGGTCCCCGTTTGATGCAAATAGAAGTAACATCGATACCGCGTATCCCAGTTAGGAGCCTGCAGCCTATATGAAGGTAATAATCATTCATTTTCCGTTTTTTTCTTCTGCAATCACTGTCAACAAGTCTGGTCACCGATTCCGAAGGCCAGACGAGGCCAGACTTCACTCCTTCATCAGGGCTGACTATTTGTAATTTTTGCCAGAGCTGTGCGATCACCAAACACCCAATGATCAGCAGGGGTACTGATGTCTGCCGCTCTGACGCCCATGATGACAAGAGGATGTTTGACAGCTCGCAAAGATCGGTCATGCGCAACCTCCAGTAGCCTCCACGTCCGAAGATCAAATGACAAACAGCTTCAAAAAGGAGGTGAGCCATCTCTGATATGCAAACGTAGGGTCGTCACGCTGTTGGGATGAACATCACGTCGCGTTCTGACGCGTTGCATCCTCATGAACTCATCCAGCAAGGCGTTCCTACCCATCAATGACGGTCTGAGAGAAACTATCTCTGAATCAAGGTATCTTGTTTAAGTTTTCTCCCGTTGATAACCCTGACAGAGTGCCCAAACTTCTCAAATTGTTCATCAAATCAGACTCCAAATGAAATCACTCTTTTTCGTGCTCTTGTGGTACTTAGTTTATCAATCTGCAAAGAGCGAATGTTTAATTATCGTTGGAAGCTAACACGCGCAGGTCTCTCAATACGAATACAGATTCCTCTACGCGCGCCTCAAGCCCTGTTAGCTTGAGTTGCTTCTCCTTCCATTCCTTCAAGATGTCCTTCTCCATCCTCGTCAACAAACTTTCATCCTGACTTACATCCGTCCTCTCACACTTTTCTAGCACGGCAGCGACTTCAGGGACTTCTCTCTGTGCCCGGCGTCGCATGCTGATATTGTATAGGGTTTTGAACACGTTTCCCAAGATCGCTAAATGGGCTTTGTTGTGGTCAACATACCTAACAAGCGGGATTAAGTGCGGGTGAAGCTGATTGGTAAACAATGATTATACCAGAGATAAAATGTACGAGTTGGGTTCCTATCAGCACTCTTGGGCACCTCTTGCGTACTGATCAATGAATCAGAGGCGAGGGCGGCCAAGAGCGGACGGACATCTTTGGGTGCCATCATAACGATTTTCGAAATCTGTGAAGATATCAGACCCGTGAAATGTTTCAAATTTGACATTTGACTGATACCTGTTTTTCGTCCATCTTCCCAGTATCTGATAACAGACGCAATATGCGAACACCCTCCACGCCGTGTTTCTCTCTAGCTACAGACTCCACCAAACGCCGCCGCAGGCGACGCCCGACAACTTCAAACTCAACCTGAACTTTCGACGTTCCGAAAGAAACAAAAGAGGATTCACGCCCAGCTGCTGTAGGGTTATCAGCTGACGAGAGCATCCCAAGATAATCCTTGATGCAGGTGGCATTCGAGGTCTTCTTGGAGGAATGTGCAAGGCCTTTCCCCAAATCCTCGTCCTCCGGAAGTTGCGTCATAATGTTGGCCACCGAGATCGGCTCTGGTGAGGCATGAGTTTGGCGGCGCCCCGTGCACTGAACTGACTCTTACCTGATCGCACCTCCGAAACGCTGAGTTGAGACTGTTCCGTGACTTTCATTGCCGCTCGAATGACAAGAGCCGCTTGATGATTGAAACGTTCTTTGACAGCGGCAACGATTAACTGCGAAAGCGTCAGCTATTCATGTTCTTTCTGAAAAGAGGGAAATTTACTCCATTGCGAAGGTGAACGTTGAACCTTTCGTAGTTCACTCGGAAGTAAACTGCGTCCTATCCGGTGTTCAGAAACTCGAACTATAACCCACAAGAATGAAGCTCACGTCGACGCTCTCCTCACTCTCCGAGGCTTTACGCTATGGAATCTTTAACGGCCGACATATATAAATTAGACTGATCAACTAACCTTTGCAGAGCGGCCCGATTGATCTTTTGCTTTGCGTTTCTAAAGGTGAAAACCTGATTTCTTTATGATGGTACGACATGATGACATGAGAGGGACGAACAAGACCAATTTTTTCAGCTTCTTCCTCTTCGCGCTTCAGACGAGCTTCAGCGACTTCCTTTGCTTGGCGAAGTTCCTTTGCAGTTGGAAAGCCAGATATTTTGCGCTTTTCTTCAGCCTCATATTGAATGCGCTTATCGCAGGGAGATATATGGGAGAGTGTCGTGGAGGGTTTAAGATAATGTCCTGAAACCAGTTTATGTATGGCTTGAGTGTAGGCAATGATGCCTGGCCATATTCTCAGATATGGAAACAAAGAGACGCCGAGCGACATACCTTTCCCATCGTAGATTCCCAACAGGGCCATGATATCAGGCATCTTTAGCTTTCCGTGGTCCAGTATGACTTGCACTACCTCAGCCGCCTGTTCAATCACAATAAGAATGATTGAACAAAAAGTCAGATTCAATCACGTACTGGCTTGCCGAATAGTTCCTCTGACTTGTAAATGAATTTCCCAAATCTAAGGCGCATAAGACATTCGTCGATATTGACTTCGAACATCTCGCCCTCGTCCGATAGGACATGCCAGATTATGTTGTGCTGCACAAGAACGAGAATACAAGCTCGAACCGTACGTGGTCTGAGAGCCGTGAAGCGAGTCAATTGAGGCAGTGGTAGGCGTCCACGAACGAGAAGCACCGAGGCAATTTTCTGCAGTGATGTTGAGAACGAGAGTCAAGGATCGACAAAAAAAGGGCGACAACGCACTGCCGTAAGGGGACCAAAATTTGAGTGAATTATCTCAACGCACAAGCGTGCCGTATGTGAATCGGCCATGGTATACGTCTGCCCGGGCGGGCGGCTACCAGGCGAAGTGGTTGAAGAGAAAAAAAGACTATTATTATTATTACTATTATTACAGCCGTTTCGGAAAAGCTTGACTACGCGTGATTTGATGTGACGAAAAATCAACTAAATCCAAAAATTCAGAAAATGCAAAAATGCCGCGAAAGAGCCGTAAGACGTCGTGAACGACTGTAATAGATTGCTTACGACAATGCTGAGATGTATGTATGAGCAGTAGTCTATCTAACATCGCTGTAACTGCACCGAGCGTCGTCACTGAGGACTGGATCATATACAGCTGGCTGTATAGGATGATAACCTCTCACGAAGAAGAGGGGAAGAGGGGAAGGTGACCAGCATAAGGCTCTAGATATCGAAGAAGAAATTCATTTGGAAAGAATGACCGAGGGAGGGAGGCAAGGTGAGAGGGAGGATGGTAGAGTTGTGACAGCTGCCAATGCCGCATGTTCTAACTCGAGAAATCTGTTGCATCGGGTAGAGCTTCTCCGAATCACACTAACCATGGAGCCCTCGGTGTGTTTGTGCTGCAGATGTTGTGGGAATCCATGAGAGCGCTACACACGAGGGAGTGCGTCACCATGTGCGTGGTGCATCACGACTCCAGGAGCGATGGGCCAGAAGGGGGGGATGATGAATGATTAATGAGGCATTGGTTCATATCCTGTGTTCTCCTCTCCTCCAAGTATGCTCTGGCGCTTCTCGGGCGTTCGCGATGTCGAACCGTCGGTGTTGTTTGCGATTTGTCGTCCGCGTCACGGGCAGCATGCACCTTCATAGCGTTTCAGTTTCAAATTGCACTGAAAAGGCTCGATTCGTTTGATACACCCTATAGGATGCATTTGGAGTCGACATCGACCATCAGACGGATGCTAGACTGACAAAAAAGCGACAAAAAGCCCTAGACTCGTTTTTTTGAATTTTTTGAATTATTATATTTTCCATTGCATCAAATCACACGTGGACAAGGTTTTCCGAAACGGCTGTACATACTGTGCTAATGATACACCCAAAATGAGAAATTAGCTTCAACAGATTTGAGCACAACCTTTCTCTACAAAAACTACATGAAAATCTCAGATAAATTCCCTTCTATCACTGTACCAAATTTCAGAATGTTTGACCCACATTTCACAAAGAAAAATTAAGATTATGGGTGTATCATTGAGGGGTGTGACTGTATTTGGCTATTTCCGAAAAACAGTCCATTTTGTATGCTCCACAGCTTTGCTAATTCTGCCTCAATTGCATCCAAATTATGTACGGTGGTAGATATGAGTTTGTACTACCTGTTACAACTTGTTTTGTAAAAATCGGTCTAGTATTGAGAAAGATATTGGCTAGTCAAAAGTGTATCAAATGGGGGTGGCGTATCATTAAGGGGTGGATGACTGTATGGCTAAAATAATTATTCTGGAAATTCAGAAGGCGATAAGATGAACTTCCAACGAAGTGGTGAGTACTTTCCCATTCTATGGCCATTGGCAGTTCGAATTCTCCTTCAAGCTGCTGACGATTTCTTCATGATCTAAGTGTGTAACGACGGGACAGCCTTACAGCAGTGCATAACTCATCGCGACATCCGCGACCGTTGGCAACGTCTATTTAAATTTATGCTTCCGCCAATATTCTGAATCAGTTTGGAAAGTAAGTCGGCGATAGAGCTTGAGCTTTGAGATTTTTTACATCAAGCATATCTCATCCGCGTTCCGAGTCGGAAACATACTGGGAGACTGGGACAAACTTGTCACGATCAGGAGGTGGCTATGAGACCAGTGGTAACCTCAACTTGTACATGGACGGCCTTTGAGCTGTTGTTGTAGACGCGGAGGAATAATCTGCCCAGGATGTGGTCACATTGGTGCGCATCAGAGGGACTGCCGACCAGGATGCTTGGCGATGGTGGCGACAGTCACAAAAGCGCTCCACATCGACGATGACCAAATTCACCTCCAATCCTGGTATTTCGCCGGAAGCGGGTGCATGACATCTCCTGGAATGGTAGAATCTACCCAACATAGGGGGTCCGGTAACCGGTGTCTTGGTCAAATCATCCGAACCTAATCAGGCTGTCATATTCCCATTCGGTACCAGGTCCAGGATGTCAGGAACGGATAATATGATGAAACTGTTTCCCTACAAGCTCCTACAAGCCAACACTCTCTTAATCTTCCTCACACCACTCGGTCTCTACAACGTTTGCTTCTTCTCCCTCTTCTTTTCAGTTGATGAAGGCGAAAGACAAAGTCAAGATGGCGTCGTTTACCTCGACCAACCCTTTCACAACCAAGTGGTCCGGCATACCACCAAACGAAACGGAGGAGGAGGCGCAGATTCGGGTTAAGCTGATGCAAGAAGCAGTGCGGGTGTCAAAGGAAATTGACCAATCGCTAAACGAGGCCAAAAAAGCTATCGAAAAGAAAAAGAAAGCTGTCAAGATTTTGTTGCTTGGTATGCACTTTGTAGTAGACTTGCCGCCGTAGACCTGTGCTGACCTGATTTCAAGGACAATCAGAGTCCGGAAAGGTATGACACTGATGCGCAACGGTAAAAACAAGATATTGACATCGTCAACCCCGCTGTGTTCTAGAGTTCTGTTTTGAAAAGTACGTGGTCAAGCCACGTTCCTTAAACGATGCTGAGCTGGGGTTTCAAAGATTTTCAGCTTGCGTTCGCACCCAAGCATTTCGAAGAGGAGAGAGCAATCTGGAAAACAATCGTTCAACTAAATCTTATTGCGCAAGTTCTTCACCCCTATTCCTCGCATCTTTTTTGACGCTATATTTCCAGGTCAATACGGACGATCTTAGATGCGCTGAAAGATGAGTATGAGACGCCTGGCGCACCCCCACCAACCCCTACCGAATCATCGTTGCGTGGCCCTGCTCGTAATCTGCGCCGCATCCGACTAGGACTTTCACCTCTCTTCATCATCGAAACCAACCTTATGAAGATGCTGTCGCCAGATGTCAGTGACGCGCGGGAGCTTTGTGTTCGAGCGGGAAGCGGGTGGAAAGAGCTCTTGGGTCACAGGGGAAAGAAGGGTGATAACGGCCAGGAATCTAATGGTCGACCACGCTCACGCACGGTCATCAACCATGAGAATGACCCAACGAACATACTTTCTGCACAAAAAAGCGATATCATTGCTTTATGGGAGGATCAGACGGTACAGGATATCCTTAGAAAGCGTGGTATACGGTTAGAAGACCAACCTGGCTTGTGAGTGTGCTTCCGGAACCACTTGCGCTTTACTGATTGTTTCTCTCAGTTTCATGAATGACGTTGCACGTATCGCTACACAGGAATACCAACCAACCGATTGTGTGTTTATTCATTTGTATCTGCATTCGGTACTGATTATGAGGAAGCGGACATCATTCGGGCACGGATACGAACAGTTGGGGTTGAAGAGCATCACTTTTTGGTTGAACGAGGTTGGTGGTCAATGATGTTCTATTTTTGCCTTTATTTGAATAACACGGCCCCCTCACAGGGGTTGATGCCAACTCTGATTTCTACATCACGGACGTTGGTGGGACGAGGAACCAGGTTAGTGCCCAAATAGTTGGTTTCGATTACTTGGCCGTTAACGTTTGCGCAGAGAGCCTCTTGGGTGCCATATTTCGACGACGGTAATGATCACGGTCTCCATAGTCGGGATACCCAGTGGTGACATCATTTACAGTCCAAGCCATTCTATTCCTTGCGCCACTTGCTTTTAACCAATCATTGGAGGAAGATTCACGGGTCAATCGACTGGTGCGTGTTGCGTACCTCAATTGAGCTCCTTCCGTGTGAATGCTTCGCTCAGGAGGACAGCCTTACGCTCTGGAGGGACATCTGTAGCAACAAACTGCTAGCATCCGCCAATCTCATCCTATTTTTCAATAAGGTAGATTTACAGGCACCTTCCACTGCTCTCAATTTACCCTGGCACAGAAAGACGTCCTGAATGCAACGCTTGCTGCAGGAGTGCCCGTCAAGAAATTTGTTCCTAGTTATGGCGATCTACCCAACGATGTTCCTCATGTGACAAAATGTTCGTCTTGACAGTTATTTTATGCCTTCTGTTCTCATTTCGTGTCTGTTTTGCAGATTTCAAGGAAAAGTTCAAAAACTATCATGTTGGTTTTGCTGTCATGCCCTTAACTCGTGCTCACTTCCCTACCAGAGAAAGATGTCACCTATGGCCAGGCCATTTATGTGTTACGAAACTTCGGCTATTGTAGGGTCATCGTTTCGCTTGTTCAAATTGAAGCGCTGATGAATTTTAGGATATCAACTCTATGGCAGTATTGCTAATGGGTGTCCGCGAATCTATTCTCCGACAGCATTTACGGGATGGAGACATCATCTGATTCCAATTTCTAGGCATAAACACCTTCATGCTTGTTAACTCATACCCAACATTCCCCTGCATTCACCAACATTCACCGGTATTCCTCGGCTTCGGTCTCTCAACTTAATTTCGATCTAATTTATCATTACCCCTTGCAACGATTATTAAGTGTATCACCCCTGTGCCTCCTTCAATCCAATTTACATAGATATCTACCCTTATCTACCCTGCTTTATAACCGGATGTAACTATATTACGAAGCTTGTACATCTATGGAACCTCTCATCGACCCTCTTGACATCTGCACACCAGTGAGTTCTTTTTCTGGATAAAGGCGAGGGTGCGAACAGGTTGGTATATCTGACTATTGGAAGGCGGGCACTGCTGCTTAACTGACCTGCTATTTACTTACGTATATAACAATTTGTCTTGTACTACATTTCGTCAAGTTTCAACGTCCATGATTTTTTTTGAAGTTTATTCAAAGTTTATTGATGTATTTGCAGGACCAGGTTAGTGCTGTATGATATTATTCTGTTGTGATCCAAATTGAAATTTCTGATGGAATCCTGATAGAATTTGAATATCGACTACACATATGAAATCCCCCGACCTCATATACATATATCACCGTGACCGCCACCGCTGTTGACCATGATCCGAGGTCATCAGAAGTTGTTGGCGCCTATTTGTCCGTGTATCGATCCCTTCCTTCAGCGCGCAGATCCAGGATCACGCGTCTTCAAGTTCGTCCGCTATTTCAATTTACTTTACAAGGCCCAACAAGTTACTTAGAAGAGGTGGTTAAACGTCAACTTGAAAACCGACGAATAACTTTCTGACTTTTCTTAATAGGAAGGATTATCACCTTGAACGCGAGGTTCTCTTTGAGCAAGGTTCCGGCTCTACCGAAACGTGGCAAGATGACATCTAGCCGCCTCGCCATTCTTTTGTGGATTTGCCTCGTAAATCTCGCCGGGATTTATCTTTTTACAAGAGGGTTTCTCTTGACTCGTTTATCGTTATCGGAAACTTCCAATTGTTCAAATGAGCCTTGCACCTTGCCTGCTTCACACCGACGGGCCGTTTTTCTCATTATCGACGCCCTCCGGTTCGACTTTGTGGCTCCGAACGCTCCCTCTCCCCCTTCTCCATTTCACCACAACGTATTGACGCTGCCGCAAGAGCTCACAGCGCTCCACCCGGAAAGGTCTTTTATTTTTAACGCCTATGCGGATCCGCCAACCACGACATTACAACGAATCAAGGGCCTTACTACAGGCTCTCTCCCAACTTTCGTGGATATTGGGAATAATTTTGGGGGTTCCTCTATAATGGAGGATTCGATACTGAGGCAACTCCAAACATCAGGAAAAAAAGTAAGCCTTACTTCAACTATTGGGACTGCACTGACGATGTTTGAAGCAAGGTGGCATTCATGGGGGATGACACGTGGATGTCGGTCTTTCCTGACACCTTCGAACAGAATATGACGTTCCCATTTGATTCCTTCAATGTTGAAGATCTGCACAGTGTCGACGAAGGTGTCATTAAACACCTCTTCCCGCTTCTAGAGGACAAATCGAAGCCTTTTGACTTTTTAATTGGTCACTTCCTTGGCGTTGATCATGTCGGTCATCGTGTCGGTCCTGACCATCCAAGTATGAAAGCAAAGCTGCGACAGATGAACCATGTTCTGGAGAGTGTCGTTTCCCTCTTGGAGGATGACACACTCCTAGTTGTTCTTGGTGATCACGGAATGGATCGTTCTGGCGACCATGGAGGTGATGGTACATTGGAAACATCTTCGGCACTTTGGGTATTCAGTAAGGGACCTGCTCTCACTGTAACGTCATCGCCACTTCCATCTGGTCTTCTACAGTACAAGACGTTTCCAGCAATGTCAGCTCCCCATCGATCTGTTCAACAGATTGATATCCTTCCGACACTCTCTCTTATCCTTGGGCTTCCCATCCCTTATAATAATTTGGGGACCGTTATTCCGGAAATTTTCTGGCGCGATGAGGGAAAAATGCTCGAGCAGGCCCTTGAGCTCAACTCAAGGCAAATCAAAAGATATCTCGACACCTACCGCTCCAGTCCTTCTGGCGGGGAGCTAGATGACGCTTGGCTCAGTCTGGAATCGTCCTGGAGTTCTACACAAGCGAAAACTCTACGTGATGCGGCGAAACTTATCACATTGACGAACTATAACAGGGTAGCTCTTGGAGCATGTCGGGCGATATGGGCTCAATTCAACCCCGTTCTCATGAGCTTGGGTTTAGTGCTCATCGGTATGGGCATATGTGCAGCATGGTCTGTTTACTCAGGTCTATCTGCCTCGAAACATGGATGGGATGATTGGTTAGCTGCCCAGTTACCACTCTTACTTCGTGGTGCGGCTGGAGGTGCTGCAGTTGGGATTGCCGTCTCTCTTGCCTTTTCCTCGTACTTCCCGGGCTTTGGCGCTTTCGATTTCGCCCTGTTCACAACGTCCCTAATATCCTGCATGGTCTTGATTGTATCATCCCCGCCGACGATAACATGGGAAACTCTAAAGGCGACCCCAGTAATCCTCATCTTACACACTGTAGCGTACTTCTCCAACTCGTTCACGTTCTGGGAGGACAGGATCGTCCATGTCCTCATCGTCTCATCCACTGTGCCTAAAGCCATTACCGGCTTTACGGCCCCAACCTCTCGCCTCCGGCACCGCATTCTCGGCTTCTCTCTTCTGTTAGCTGTCTGTGTCCGCCTCATAGCAATCAGCACCATCTGCAGAGAGGAGCAACAACCCTATTGTCACGTTACGTTTTTCGCCTCTTCGTCCATCCCATCGCCTCCTTTAACCGCGTTGTATCTAATCATCCCGGCAAGCTTGGCTCTACCATGGATGATTTGGCGTTTCCTACGCATCACACGCTCTGAAATGGGCCTGGCGAAGATGTATCTGCCCCTCATATTGATGCCATCTCTCCTGGCTGGCTCGGCATACTGGATCCTGGAATGGGCAGATTCTGCTGACATTCTGGGAAGCAATTGGACAACCCTGTTACGAGTCGGAAGAACATGGATAGCAAGGTTCACTTTTGGCTGGATCTTAATCGTCGGTGGCGGCTTTTGGTGGCTTGTTCCCGTGTGCCTGAATGTTGAAGTTCAGGAGCCCACTCAAGGAGAGAAACGTCAGATTAAAATCATGGGATTTGCCAATGCATTCGGGGCGCCTTATCTCTTGTTTTGGACAGTCTCTCTCGTTATCGTTTATATCACCACCCAAATTACAGGCCAACTCGTTTTGGTTCTTGCAGTGGTGGCGGTGCTAGCATATCTAGAGGTGCTAGATAGTGTTCGCGATGTTCAGATCATCGCGGCCGCCTTCGAAGCTTCAGTTCCCTCCACGATTCTGGATCCTACGGCTTCCGTTGGCCAATCGCCCCCAATCAAGTTCACAGATATTATCCCACTTGCCCTTCTTGGCCTCCATGTGTTCTATGGAACAGGTCATCAAGCAATTATCTCCTCAATCCAATGGAAGTCCGCTTTCCTTCTGACATCAACTGTCACATATCCGTTCTCTCCCCTAACTGTCGTAGCCAACTCCTTTGGCCCCCTATTTCTTATGGCCTTGGCCGCTCCGCTGCTGGCTCTCTGGAATCGCGCTCCACTAGCAGAGGGTGGGTCTGAAGAAAAACCGGATGTTCAAGTGAAGGGTGAAAGCACACTCGCAGCTTTGGGCATGATGATCTACTATACGACACTAATGCTTGGGACTGCTGTCAGCGCCGCGATATTGAGACGGCACTTGATGGTGTGGAAAGTATTCGCTCCACGATTTATGGCTGGCGTCCTATCGGTTTTGGCTGTTGATCTAGCCGTTCTCGTTGGGATCGGCATCGGGGTGGAAAGGGTCACAAGCAAAGTTGCACGGATGTTTAGGCGAAGACCAGGTGTCGGGGACAAATGAAGGTGATGTAATTCAATTGGTATATGTTTCGTTGTCCTGAAGGTTGTGCGGTTTAATTCATATATTATCTATTCGAAAATTGCACAATCCAACCAGTTGGAAGCAGCTCCCCTATCACAAACCACTCACCGCCATCAACCAACAGTCTTAGCCTTTCATAATCACTTTCTAATATAGGTGCAATGCATTCGACTATAACACAGAGAAGTGGTCGACACCCATGGCGGTCAACTTCTTGAGGATCATGATCACGGCTGTTCACTGGGAAGCGGCCGTACGTCTCTCCGCCAGTTTAAAGGTAGTACTTATTACGGTCACTTCTAATACAAACCCATCACCCCATATGACTTCCAGAATACCTAGTTCACGCTTTCGCTTTGCCTTCAAAACTTCAGGTTAGCGTCCGATGTGAATCTTAGAAGCTTGACGCCTCAAGCTCAAGAATCACACCACGTTGATTATTTTGTGCACACTACTAATCATGTGTATAACTTGTGTATAACCTTAAACCAACAGTGAAAAAGAGATCGGATTACCGGATTGGGTCACCAAGCCCCAGCCGGGCCGAACAACGCATCGATGTTCACTTTGGAACTTGCTCAGCAAAACTTACGATAACCGATGAAGAACACCATATATCCATGCCTATTGGACGTTTTACCGAGCGAGATTATCATTCAGATACTAGCAAGTCTGGATTATCGCCAATTGCTTCGATGTCGTTCAGTGAGCAGCTAGATAACTTTTTCTTCATCTCTGACTTCACCGTTTTGTGACAGGTATGCCAACATCTCAACCGAGTCATTGCCACAGAATCCATACTTCAGTATACTATTGAGGTAGCAATGGATTGCCTTGTGCCACATCAGGGAGACAAAACTGTGGCTTACGCTGACCACCTGTCCAAGCTTCGGAGGCTACGGAAGGGGTGGAGAACATTGAACTGGAAGAGCAAAACAAGTATACGTGTGCAAGGCTCATGCAACAGTTATGAATTGGTCGATGGCTATTTCGTTAAAGTGGATATCCATGGCAATATCTTGGTGCTGGAACTCCCCTCAGCCACCGGAGAAGGTCGAACTGTTTGCAACGAGAATCTCTCGATGATACCGGGAGACTTTGCACTTGATCCTACCCAGGATGTGATTATCTTTCTCAAGCCTGATGATAGGTGTGTCTCAATACTGCTTGGTATGCACTTCTTTCCACTGACATTTCTGGGAAAAGGCAACAATTGTCTCCAAACCGAATGGCATCCGTCCACGTCCGCACCATATCGACCCGTGAAGTCCATCCATCAGCAGCACGGCCAATAATATCTTTCGATGTTACACAAAGTTCTGTTTGGGGGAATTCCTTCTACAGAGTGTTGACACAACTAGCTGGAGACGTGTTTGCTGTTTTTATCTCCACTGGCGCTGAAAGGTCTCGACTTCTTATTTGGAATTGGATGAAGGGCAACCTCATATTTGTAAGTGACGAAATCAGTCTCGAGTAGCTAGCCATTCACTGAAAACCACAGGACTCAAATGTGCATCCCCTACCAGAACAAACATTTAGCTTTTCATTTATCGACTCTCGCTCCTTCATTGCCACCTCACTTCGGGACAGTGGATTGGTCCACATCTTTTCCTTTGAAGACTTAGATTCGGAGAATGGTCCGACCCATGTGGCGACGCTGCTTATGCCGGAACTCAACGAGTACGCCGCTGTACACCAATTCTCGACTCACTGCGAGCCTTTTTTTGGTGAAGCATCCACCAAATCCTTCTCCACCTTGAAGGAATCCCGGCTGCACGTCATGACTATCCAGTATGTCACCGTCAGACACTTCATACGCACAGATTATACGCTTTTCATACGCAACCAAGTCTTTCTGAACTATATGGAAGATTACAAACGTGGCAGGCTAACTAACACACCCGTTGTCCCATGGTCTGAATGGGGCCCGAAGAACACCAGATTTTTGGATCAAGCGACTCAATATTCATGGCTACGGTTAAGACTGCTTCCCTCGTGGCTACTATTTCTCGCTGACCGGAATACATTCAGATACGTTCAAGGACAACGGGTCGTCTGCCCATCTAAAGATGGTTGTGTTCAAGTCTTTGATTTTAATTTCCACCCCTCGCAACCCCAGCAGTTTAGCTTCCAGCCCGGAATTACGCAACAGGTGTGGACGACTCCGACCGTACTCGCGGCCAACGACATCTTTAAGAGCGACGTCGAGTCCACATTGCCGTACTTCATGTCGAGGCGGACGCTGACCGGAGATTATGATGCGTATATGATTGACCAAGAGCGGATTCTTGGTTTGAAAGTTAGTTTTCAATTGTACCCACCATTCTATTTGGCTTATTTGTGCAACCTATGCTAGGTTGAAAATTCGCAAGGGGACGAAAAGATTTCACAGATTGACGTGTTCTCATTCTAAGGTTCGGAGTCACACGTCTTGTAGCGAAACTACCGATGCCAAGAACCACAGATAGCTCCGAATTTCGTGTACGCTCTACGTGTCTGTGCATTTATCGAAAAGAATTCGTTCAAATGATAACATTGCTTCGGCGGTTATAATATGCGGCTGCTTAATTTAGCTCTCCAATCGCCGAACATAGATAAGGCCTCTGCGTGTTACTGATAAGAACCACCCAAAAGCCGCTTAACAACTTTCCATGCTTGCAGGGGTGCTACGCCAACCAATTCGTAATCTGTTCCCCACGGCACTGGAAACTCGATTTTACCCAACTCCCATATTTCTTGGAGTTGAATTTCCTTATCGCCTTTCTTCTAACTCGTATTGCTTGACTAGATCCGTGAAGCCATGTCTGATTCAGCTTCAATCAGCAAGCCTGGAGGGCACTCTCTACAGAAGGACGAAGCCGAGCTCGCGCGGATGGGTTATAAGCAGGAGTTAAAGTAAGTGTGTTCATAATTCTGCGATGTACCCAAAATCTGAGCAGCCCTCTGTTATAGACGGGAGTTAGGGCTTATGCAGGTACGTTTTGACACAGTAGCTGGCCAACGCAACCCTGACGAGTATTGTTAGAACTTCGGGGTATGCATCTGCGGTGTTCTTGCTACAGGGTAACCGATTTGGCAGGTTTCGTTCTCGATCATTTCTGTCATTACTGGCATCCCATCTTTATTTCTCTATGGCCTGGTGAGTAAACTCTGTGGTTTTCAGTTCTTCTACTCAATCGTGCATAGAATACTGGAGGGCCGGTAGTCATGGTGTGGGGATGGGTTGTTGTTTGTAGGATAATGTGGCTGAGCCTTGCATAGAAAGCTCATAATTTTTAGGTTTCTTCACGATGTCTGTGGGGCTCTCCATGGCTGGTGAGTACGCTTTGCCTCGCTTGTGGCCGTGGCCTCACGACCTGCAGAGATATGCAGGTATGACATTGAAGAACAACAGAGAAGCAAACCCATCTAAAGAAATTTACGCAGCGCTCACCCAACTTCGGGAGGTCCGTACTTCTGGTCGGCAATGCTATCACGGAAGGGAAACGCCCCCCTTGCGTCTTGGATTACAGGTTCGTAGTCCTATTCCCTTCATCGCTTCGTAACATTCCTCTCAACTTAGGATGGTTCAATCTGCTTGGACAAGTCGCGATTACGACTGGAATCAGGTAAGGCTGTTATTCAAGTATACGCCAACTGCGTTGTTAATGCCACAAAGCTTCGCATGCGCGACTTTCATCTCAACCGTATGTACGCTAAACACAAGCTTTGTTCCTACGCCGAAGACAACCATTGGTACATTAAACACTTATGACATCTGCTCAAACTAACTTTTGTCTAGGAATCTACGCTGCTGTCTTGTTCTCGCAAGGCCTGACGAACACTTTCGGAGTTCATATACTGCACTACCTAAATAATGTATCAGTCTGGTGGCACGCCCTTGGTACCACCTCACTGGTTATTGCTATTTTGGCGAAAGCTCCCAAACACCAATCGGCAAAATTTGTCTTTCAGACATTTATTGACGGCACGGGACCACCTGGACAAGGATGGGGAGACAGGGCAAGCCACGCATACGTGGTCATCATTGGGGTATTTCCTTTTTCTCTCTGAGTTTTCAAGAGTACGGAACTGATTCTACTATTTAGGTATTAATGGCTCAAGTAAGTCTCGGTTTGACGGTTTGTAAAACCACTTCTTACTTTTCATTTGGTAGTACACCCTCACTGGTGGGAGTTGTCGTATATCCCTATGGATGAATACTAATCTATCACAATTGTAGGTTACGATGCAAGTGCTCATGTGAGACTCCCGTCTTCGCCAACGAAACATTCACCAGATTCGTGCTTCTAGATGACAGAAGAAACGCGCAACGCAGCAATGTCGGGGAGTATTGGAATCATCATGTCCCTTGGAGTCTCCGCTGTTCTTGGCTGGTTCCTGATCCTTGGTCTACTGTTTTCGATCCAGGACTTGGGGACGACGTTGGCTTCGCCGACTGGGCAGCCGGTAACCCAAATCTTCTTAGATACAGTCGGGGAGAGGGGAGCTAAAGTTCTCATGGTGTGGACTCTTGGCTTTACAAAAAACATCTGACATCTGAGGCATATACTCTATCCAGGTAATCGTCATTGGGGCTATGTATTTCTGCGGGTTCGTCTTTCGTTTGACCTGCTGCTCTACGCAGATTTAACGATGAACCTAGGACATTTTCGATCACATCCAATTCGCGAATGATGTACGCCTTTGCCCGCGATGGTGGTATCCCAGGACACAAGTTCTTCAGTAAGGTTAACCAAAGGTGGAAGTCACCTATTAGAACAGGTTCCGTTTCAACCCTTATGTATTGGATGTCAACTTACCTGCCGGTCAGTATGGCTTGCATGCACCCTTAGTTTCATCCTTGGTTTACCTAGCCTAGGAAGCTCCGTGGCATTTGCGGCAGCCACCTCAATCGCCACCATTGGGTTGTACATCTCCTATGGTACATTCTGCATTGTACACGCAACCGATTGTAACTTAATGCCAAGCGACAGGAATTCCTATTGCGCTGCGCGTCATATACAGAGATCAATTCGTTCGAGGTCCCTTTCATCTCGGAAAATTCTCCTATCCAGTCGCTGCGACTGCCGTCATCTGGATTGCCTTCATCTCCATCGCTTTTATTCTGCCTTCCGTCAATGTGAGGTTCCCACGTGTAGCTTGACTCCAACTTGATTCTAAATTTGTTCCTGCGCAGCCCGTGAATTCACAGACCTTTAACTATTCCATTGTGGCGGTGGGGATCGTCATCATCTACAGTGTTGGGTTTTGGCTTCTCAGCGCTAGGAAGTGGTTCAAGGGCCCGATCAAGCAGATTGCTGGTATGCCTTCTAGCGAACCCGTTTTGATTTGACGCTGACGCTCGTATGTTGTTGTAGTGGAGGAAATGGGTGTTGACGTTATGGATCCCGCAAACGCGGAAAAGTTGGAGGGAATCGTTGTGGAGGTAGCATAGAGCTATTTTGTTTTCTCTCCGACTTCGTAGTTTGCTTCATAACGAACAATATATGATCAGGTCAAGCATCTATGATCAGGTCAAGCGCTCTGGGAATTGGTATCAAACGTAACCGTCTGGTTTGCTCAAACAATGGGAATCAAAGAACGATCCAATAATCCATTCGTACGTCATCACCACATCCAATATATTTATATTATCGTCCTTTAACTTTTTATATACATTCTGGCTCTGAGATTTCCTTGATACTCTCCTCTTGGTATAGTGGCTTGGTTGGTATCTTGCTTAGATCGAAGGAACAAAGGAAAGGACTTCTTCGTAGAGGAGTTCTAAAAGAAAAGAAAATTGTCACAGTTGAGTATGCAGCGAAGGGGCACACACAATTCAGAAATACGTACCCTTTAGTTGATCCTTGCTCAAGTCATCCTTGTGCACTGCCCAGAAAAAAGAATCAGCTGAGCGAGGAAGGACAAGGGTGGGGTACGACTTACAGTCGAACTCGAAGTAGGACGGGCTGAGAGGTTGAACGGTCGGTTCGTCTTCAGGATCGTGCTGTCATGGTTTCGTCAGTCGAATTTGGCATTTTTTCATTTATGAGAACAACAGGGCTCACGTATGCAGTGAGGTAAGGATGCTCAAGCGCCTCATCCACCGTCATCCTCTTCTTCGGGTCAAAGGTCTGCACGACAAAGCATCAATTGATCAACGCCCACAAAAGGGGGAGGGGGAAGGGGAACCCACCAAAGTCTTTGCCAAAAAATCAATAGCCTCCTTGGACGCATGCGGGAACAAGGACTCCCAAGAGCGGCGTTTCCGGATAGGCAACGCGCGGATGTAGTCCCGCGATCGCCGGGACGTGATGGCGTAAAACTCGTCCAGGCTCGGGGTGCCGATGACGTCTAGGATGAGGTCGAGCTGGTGGCTGTAGTCCCGTCCCGGGAAGAGTGGTCTTCCTGTTAAGAGTTCTGCGAGGATGCAGCCTACGGCCCAGATGTCGATTGCCTGTGGGGAGCGCGCAGTAAGCAACCAAGGGCAGTTGAGATGAGATGAGGAAGGGGGTAGGTAGGTACCTTTGTGTACATCTTGAAAGAAAGCATGATCTCGGGCGCACGGTACCACCTCGTCGCGACGTACTCCGTCATGATGCCGACCTCTTTACCGCCCACGACGCTGGTCTTTACGCTCCGGGCTAGACCGAAATCGCAGACCTTGAGGTCGCAGTTGGCGTTGAGGAGGAGATTGGCGGGTTTGAGGTCGCGGTGGACGATGTCGGCGCTATGGATGGATTTGAGCGCGCGGAGGGTTTGGTAGACGAAGTACTATGGGTTGATCAGAATTTATAAGTACGATCGATGAGGGGGATTCATAGTTGCCTGGCAGTGGTCGTCGGTGAGGTGTTGTGTGCGGATGACACGGTGTAGGTCCGTTTGCATCAACTCTTGGATGACTAGTGACTGGGATTAGCATGTGAAGTAGGGTAAGAGGCGAAGGGGATACTTGCAGTAGATTTCCGTGAACGACTCCAAAGTAGGCGGCTTGATGATATCCAAGATGGAGATGATCTGCAAGGAACATTAGCAACGAAAAATCGTAACCTTGCGGGGTTTGCTTGCATTTTCATTGACGCATGTCTCCGAGAAAAACTTGAGCAGCTTGAGTTCTCGCAGCGTTCTCAAGCAAAACAACGTATGATCGAATGGCAACACTTTTTTGATCGCCACTTGTCGTCCCGAGGGCTTATGGAGGGCAGCAGCTACAGTTCCATACGCACCCTCTCCAATAGCGTGCAAGAGCTGATAATCGTCGCCTAGGATGCCGATGAAACAACCAATCAATAACCAAAATCGTAATCTATACATACCGATTTCGAACTTTGGCAAAGGCTTTGATTTGCGGGAAGACATTATTTATGTAACACCAGAGACCAGCCGGTGGTTGAGTGCGTTGGAGGGATGAGGAGAGGGGGGGTTTCCTGGGGATATAGCACGGTAGAATCGACGGAGAATATGTAGGTGCGATATGATATCAGCTTGTAATTGCGGTATCAGCCTATAATCACACACTGATCCATCACATCAGATTCTTCTCATGGCAGCAAATGGCGGTGCTGAAATCCGTTTCATGGACTTCCTGTTTGAGAGAAGCGCGCGTAGCTTGGGCACAGTATTGGTTTCCATCACGACCAACGCGTCAACGGTGAAATCGGTTCAAAAAAGTTGGAACGATATCATATTTCAAACAAGTTGTGCTCAAACGCTGTGAAAAATATGGACACAGATAACGCCCCTTGTGAACTCTATGACTTATTTACTACATATTACCCGCACTCTGCGGGGGGCAAGGCTCGCTTCGCCATCCGAGTTGTGTGGCGGTTGCACATCACATGCATCACAGTTGTGCAGAGATGAACCTATGCTGGAGATATTACATCCGCCATATTTCACTGGATTGCAAGAGATTTTCTGAGCACTACATAATATTAGACTTACAGCAATTAGTCTAAACGCTCAAGGAAGCTGCAGTACACGCAAATACATTTTTTCTTGTCAACGACGATCATACAAACAGTAAAAGAGTAAAAAAAAATAGAAATAATAAAAACCAGCGCTCCGGAATGTCGACATTCCCTCACTTCAAGTTATCCTCATACAGCAAGTGTCCCTCCCACTCCCACTAAAGAGTCAAGACCCCACTAAAAATGTCTATAAGTCAAGGTCCTGCTCAACGCCTGAGCCTTCTTCTGCCTTATCCTAACCCTCCTCAACGAATTCCGCGGTTCCCCCTCATACAGCTCCCCATCATCTTCAAAAGGCGGAGGAGGAGGCGGCGGCGGCGTCGATGGCGGTGTGACCTGCCCACTCGTACTGGTCGACGACGGTGTGGCTTGCCCTTGCGACCCGTACCGAGGTGGTCCACCACGGTACCCCATGGGAGGAGGCTTGGCGGGGAACTGTTTGCACGGGACGTGAATCGGCGCAGTAGTGTGGGCATAGTTCGACGGGCCAGCAACAGCATTAGAGGGGGGACGAATGACGTCCTCATTCCTCGTAATCTTCCTCTTCTTCCCCTCCGGACGCGGTACCTCCTCCTCCCCCTCCTTCTTCCTCTTCCCATATTGCTCCCTACGCTTCCTCACCACCTCCGAATCAGGCACAAACTCCAAACCGGGCTGCATCTTCGGTATGGGAGGATCACCAATACGCCCGTCCTCTTCCCACTCCTCCTTGGCCTTCAAGTCCAGCGCCGCCATCGTGATAATGCGGTCCCTTTCATTCGCCGCCTCCGCCTCCCTCTCCGACGCAGCCCTATTCGCATACCGGTCACTCGTCAATATAGAAATCGCATACAGCTCCAAGAGCAGCTTCCTCTGTTCTGTCGTTGGAGGATCCGTCCACGAGTACGACTTCCAGGGATGTGGGGGGAACGTGTTATCATGCTTCTCCAGCTCGTCCAAGTCAATCTGCGCAACCGTCTTCCTAACCTCTGCCTCGTCAAGCCACCCAATAGTGATAAGCCGGCGAAGCACTTTCCCCGTGATAGGTTTGTCGCGTGGTATTTGCTGCAGGCGGTAATCGTACTCGACCATGCCGCGGAACTGGTCAAAGATCTCAAACGCCGGTTTGACGTTGGGCTGCCGGGGGAGGAAGGCAAAGTCTTTCACTTTGACACCGCGCCTTTGGAGATCTCTCAGAACGTCTTCATGTTCTGGTGTTTCGAGTTCTGTGGGAACCAAGGAAGGTGAGCGCCGGTTTCGTTCTGTTCGTTCGGCCTCTGCGTCCTCGTCTGTGCCCTCTTCTGCGTCTTCGTCTGATGTAGGTGTTGGGTCGGGTGGATTTGTTTGTGATTGTTGGGATTGGGATGGGATGCTCTGTGATGATTGCTGGCTTAGTCCAAGGTCCTGCAGCGTTGGGAACTGCAACGAATCAGAAAGGTACATTAACGTGCCAGCAGAAACACTCACCGGATGATCCATGGGTATATCAAAATGATACTCACTTTGCGAGCGAGTAAGTGGTCGATCGTTGTTGACGTCCATGTCGTTGTTCGTGTTGGCGGGTGGCTCAGACCGAGCGCGTCCAGCAAAAGCGAGGGAAAGTGCTCCCGGAACCATAGTGGATAGAGTAATGCCCCAGCCAAAGGGCCCTTGGACTTTAAAGGTGCGCGCATTGAAAGGCATATCAGAATCAAATAGAGAGTATGGTAGATCGGCGAGTTGGGCAAAAGCGGAAGAAAAGGAGGATGGATTATAAGGCTGCAAAGTGTTTATTGTTCCCCCAAGTGGGCCATATGTGCCAGTGGCCATGGGATGGTCAACGCTCAGGCCACCGCCGCTCCATGTTTCTGACATGTCAATATGCTTTGACTTGTGCGGTTGGGTATCGATTCCTATGTGATTTCCTTTCCAAAGGTATCGCGGAGGGAAAGAAGGGAAGACAGGGAAATCAATATTCCCAGTTTGTGCGTTTTCAACCAAACAACATGACTCAGCAAATGCCATCAAGGTTGTCAACAACATTCAACATGTCCCGAAGTTGACTGTTGCGCCCAGTTACTCCATTGTTTGCCACTTTGGTCCGTGACGATACCCTTCCGCAGCCCGCATCCAACTCCGACAATCTACGCACAAATGACTACTGTATATTCGCGGCAACCCCTATTCTCTGCGTTCCATTTAAAGAACTTTCATTTCTTTTTACATGGAAGACAACGCGTCAACCAGACGCGCCATTCATAATGGCAACGCGTTTAAAAATTACCACAACGGTTGAAGTGACTCGAAATAGGGACACGAGTGAACAGTCCCACACACACGCCTCGACATGAGGCGACGCCTCCAGACGCACATGGTTGTCCTCATCCATCAACATCAAGCCGACGCTTACCCAACTCGGGCGATAAACAAGGGCGTACCTTGAATAGCCTGGCAAGCATCACCCCGACGCGGCGCCTTGGCGTCGTAATGCCGACCCTAGCGGATGTACTTACAGTCGCGGACAGCCAAAGTCAACCAAGTTGATATCTCGGGAAGGACTAAATATTTTGACATTCTGACTTCAGATTCGAACTCGGGATGTGAAAATACGTCCAAAAACACCTCTTTGAAGTTTTTCCCATGAGAAATTGGGTTGGCCAAAATTTTGGACTATTTTTGTCATTCGGTAAGGCTGCTCTTAAGACCCCCTTGGCAGGTTCCCAATGCCGGAGGTGACTGAAAAATTTAGTTGCACTTGCCAAACAGTTAGAGACCTTGCTCTAGTCATGGTCCATAACCCAACCAATTATGTAAGCCGTCGTGCTGTCCCCCAAGGTCATATATCGTTTTTATTTCAGCCGAAGCGTTAGAGACCGCTCTAGACTGGCTGCCAAACCCAACCAAGCAAATCCATCGTACTAGCCCCCAAGGTCATATATCGTTTTTATTTCAGCCGAAGCGTTAGAGACCGCTCTAGACTGTTGCCAAACCCAACCAAGCAAATCCATCGTACTAGCCCCCAAGGTCATATATCGTTTTTATTTCAGCCGAAGCGTTAGAGACCGCTCTAGACTGCTGCCAAACCCAACCAAGCAAATCCATCGTACTGGCCCCCAAGGTCATATATCACTTTTATTTCAGCCGAAGCGTTAGAGACCGCTCTAGACTGCTGCCAAACCCAACCAAGCAATTCCATCGTACTGGCCCCCAAGGTCATATATCACTTTTATTTCAGCCGAAGCGTTAGAGACCGCTCTAGACTGCTGCCAAACCCAACCAAGCAATTCCATCGTACTGGCCCCCAAGGTCATATATCACTTTTATTTCAGCCGAAGCGTTAGAGACCGCTCTAGACTGCTGCCAAATCCAACCAAACCGTGTTGCAAGGTTTTGTTTTGTACTATATTAGGTCGTAGAACGTTAACTTGGACTCATTTTTTCTATTTCAAACCCTCATGGTTGCATTTCGTTATATCTCTTGCTCTTAGGATTGATTGTTTTGTGAATTTCTTATCTTATAAACTCTTATTTGTATACAGTTGAACAAGAAAAAAAGTGTATAGATCACCTCCTCCAAACGTCCAAATGTAAGAGCTCATTTTGCTCAAGAAGTTGAACCACCACGCTTGCGTGTACTCTTCTCCCCAATCCTCCCTCTATATCTCCCTGCCCCTATCCTCTGACTCCCAACTCTGCTCGGGAACAGCACTCAAACTCAACTCTCCATCTGCCTAAGAATTTTTTATCTTTTTTTTATACTTGAACACAAAAACGCACCTCATCCCACCTCAATGATCATTATAAACCTGATCGTCAGTCTATCCATTTTTCAAGCTTAGGGCAAGATAGTGCGCAACACCAAGTCCAAGTCAACCGGATATGGGTGCCCCGCTTAAACGGGTTCACAGGCACGCTTTCTTCCAGACCAGCGTGATGCGCTATTTTATAACACAGTATCACCGGATCTTGAGAAGTTAACACTAAAAAAAAACTCTACCCATTCACATCTCATTTTATCACTATGCAATCCGATACATCTCAGTTGTCTTTGTGGGACACGTCCACTGCAACTTCATGTCTTACCCCCTATACTCGTTCAGAAATCATCACGGCATGGCCACTGCCAACATTGCCTTCTCGTGATCGCCAAACGAGATCTACTCTTATCAATGCTGCCACTGCTTTATCGGCAACAAATCAAACTTACCTTCTAAACAATCTGAGAACACGTCGTCTGGGTCTATCTGGCTCCACCTACATTGACGAGGCAGTTCCTGCATCATGGACAGTCAGTTCGGTCACAAAGGAGCTTCAGAACTATAATTCTTCTCAAATCCTCCTTGCAAGTTATGGCCTTCTGCATGCAACTCCTCGTTATAGGTCCCAAATCATGGAGGCTATCGCTTCTTTGTCTATTGAAGACCAGGTACATGTGCGGAAGTCGTTATCCAGTGTTTTACCCAGTAAAAGACATTCAGATTTTGCTGTTGCTGGACCCTCAAAACGCAGAAGGACAAACACCGAACTACCTAATCAAAGAGAGGTCAGTTTTCAAGAACAAGAAATGCAAATTGGGTCTTCAGTTACCGATCTTGCACAAGAAAACTCAGGTGTTGATTGGACTCCAGAGTTTGATAACCGATTTCTCCATCTTCCCTCCGAACAACAAATGAACGAAGGCATTTCAAATTTCTTGTTGCGCACTGGTAACGAAGCGTTAAACACAGCCGTTTGCGCGTCATGTGCTAGAGAGGTTGGCGCCGATGAAGTTGTCACATATGTCCCCAATGAAATTCCCTTCCGCCATCATTTGCGTCCTTCTCGTCCCCATCTGCATCACCATTTGACAGACGGAATGCTCCTTGAACGTGCAGGTATTAACGCTGCAGGATTTGCTACTATCTGCGATCAGTGCAATCACAAGTTGTCGAAAAACTCCCTACCTCCTCTGTCTCTTGCAAATAACATGTGGATCGGTGATATCCCATGGGTGTTGAAAGTTCTCAGCCTTCCTGAGCGTCTCCTGATTGCAAAATATTACCCAGTGGCCTACATTGTGAAACTGTATCCCAAAGACAAACGTGCCTGTTATTGGAAGTCAGAAATGGCCAGTGGATTGAAAGGAAATGTGTCCACCTACCGCCTTGACAGCGATGAAATTCAAGATATGGTTCAAGGACCATGTATGCCTCCACCTGCTTCTATATTATCATCAATTATCGGGGTGACCTTTGTAGGGCCCAAAGACGTGCCTTCGTCCTTGATGCCTGAAATGTTGTACGTCCGACGGAATCGTGTTAGACAGGCCTTGGAATGGTTAAAGGCCAATAATCCCCTTTATCGCGACATGGTCATATCAGAAGAACGACTTTCCCAGTTACCAGAGACTGGCGTTCCACGAGAGATTATGTCAACTGTGAAGCATTCGTCAGATGTTGGTGCATTAGCTCGAGAACAGGATGGTTACGTACCAATAGATGATGAAGATCGTCCTGAGGAGGAGCTTGATATCCCTGAAGGTTTGTGAATATCTTCTCGTTATTATTATAGATGAAACTCATGCCTACTTAGATTACGCTTTTGGCATTGCATCAGGCGTTGTTACATTTGACAACGATACAGATTTGGACGTAGCTGGTAAGTTTTCTGAACAGTCTTTGACCACTGAGGTGTTGATCATAAATAAATAAAAAGAAGATATTCCGGCCTCTGTGATACCGATGCAAGCCACAGGCATGATCGACATTTCTGGGTCTGGTGTCACAGATAGCGACGTTGTGTCTCATGCTTTTGCGAATGCATCTGAAGAAGATCAAAACCCTTCTTTCCTGATACACAGATCTAGTGCCTTTATCAATGAATACGCACGTAAAGATGAAGTAACGGGTTTGAGATCAGATGGCGGACCAAGCAATCCTAACCATCTCCTGGGATCATTTCCCGTCCTTTTCCCATACGGTGCTGGCGGATTTGAAGTTTGGCGTAAGGAAACTGTACCCTATGAAGTTCACTCACACTGGGCACTCCAATATCACGATAAACGATTTCGCTACGATCTTCAATTCGTCTTCCAGGTATTTGGTGTCATGCAGAAAAGAATGGTCTGCCGTTCCGCAGCGTTGCAAATGCAAAGATCTGCGTATCGGAACAATGAAGTTGCCATCCGTATGTTGAAGCCTGCCGATCTTCTGAAAGCGAGTGCTGAAGAAGCTCGTCGTGTACCTTTCTCAAATCCTTCTGTACAAGCCCTTCGCTCGCAGATAACTGCTGTACGAGCAAACGTCCAAGGCACCGATGAGTCTCACAAAAGCATTAGAACCAAGATATGGAGTGCAACGGTGGTACTTAACCCACCCAACCTTTGGATAACTATCAATCCGAGCGATACTCAAGACCCCATAGCGCAAGTTATGGCAGGCGTCGGGATAGATTTGGACAAG